GTCTCTTTCTTTTTAAGTTATCTATCATCTTCAAGGATCTTCTTTATTCATCATCATCATGTTCATCTTGAGCGCAAAAAAAGGTTACAAGTCAAGTTGAAGCTTGTTCAGTAAAAAAGAGATGAAAGAAAATGAAATTTGTCAATTTTTCTTTTCCAACAAAGAAATGACTTCGCATTGTTAACATTATCAGCTCAATGGTCAGTAATTATCATGAAGGATGAGAGCAACACTGATTATCATCATGAAATTTTCGAGTAACGATTGGAATGAAAAAATTGTCAACAAATGTTCCAAATAAAAGTCATGATAACTTTTCTCTGTTCATTTATTTATGTCAATTTTTACCCTGAAATAAGGAAACGGATATCAAGCTTAGGAAGCTTTATAAAGACAACAATGGAAACCGGATAAAAGTTCAAAAAATATCTTTAAACATTAAGGTGGAATTTTCTGTGTTCTTGGACCTTCTTCTTCCGGATAACAATTGAGATGGACTGAGTTGTGGAAAGTGTAAAATTGAATCATTGAGTTGACCAGTAAATATCCGTTGAATCTTGACTCTTATCTGAATCAACTTTAGTTATCAAAATTTTGATTGTTTCGGCTTTAATTTTCATCTGTTCATGGAAATGTTTTGAATAAGTTCGAAATTGGAAAAGACAAATAACGAAGTTATCATTGTTTGAAATTTTATGGTTCTAGAGTTGTTTCAATTTTCTTATGGTTGTGTAAGTTCATATCATGTTGACCATGGTAAATGGATAATGGCTCTGAAAAGGTTCTGATGGAGACTTTTGGATCGCCCAAGATGAACGATTCAGGAAATTGGAAGAAGAAAATGTTGCTCATTCTCTTCCGATTTTAGTCTCTTTTTATCATCAATGAATAATAATTTAATTTTCTGATTACAAGAGATGAAAAGCTTTTCTTTTTTTAATCATCATCATCATCTTTATGCTCATAATAACCATTCAAGTGATTCCAAATTGATTCATATTGAACCAATCAAAATAAAGCTTTTCTCATCATTATTATATTATCATGTTCAATGCTCATTGGATCAGCAGTTTCAATCTCTTTTCAAGATTCATAATATTATTAGATATTAATATAATTTAGCTTTTAGATTCTCATCTTTTTTCCCTGTAAAAATATTATAAAAACATGAAAGTCTGGAAAAATTAAATCAGATGATGAATAATATTGATTTGATTGAGTAAAGACAGTAAACCTGGAACTGGAACTCAACTCAAACATCAAGCTGAGGGTAAATATTAATCATTTAAAGTGATTATCTGAATGCCATAATCAAAGAAAGTTATCATGAAAGCAATTGGTGGGTCAAATGCAAAAGTATGAACTGATGGTAGATCGTAAAGGAAAGCAAGTGAAAAGGTAAAATTCAGAGCAGAATTAAAAGTTAAAACCATGAATGGATGGAAATCTTTCAATTGATTCAGGTTCAACTCCAAGTTATTGAATTAAAAAATAATGATATAACTTTAGATCGAAGCCAAGTTTACCATCGACCTGGCAAACATGGTAACAGTGGAGAGCTGCTGAGCATTCTATTTCAACAGCTTACATGAGATCAATTGAGGCAAAAATTTTACCATCAGACTGTTTGAAATCGTTTGATTATAAAGTGCAATTTTCAAGTTATTCAAGTTCATCCATATACTGTCTTTGCATATCAGCACTTTAGTTTAGCTCAACATCTACGGTTTGAGAATCTTTGAATAATTGCCATTTTCAAACCAAAATTTACGAAAAATTCGGATAAAAAAGGAATTTTAACTTAATTCGATGAGCATTCGTAAATTGTATCCATAGTTTAAGGTTGAGATTTTGGATGAACTTGAATATCTCAAAAGCTCAAGTTCATGTGCTTTAACCAAATCGTAAAATCTGTTTCTAGAAAGTTTCCCTTGTGTCTCCAAGTGCCAAAGGAAGGCAAATGGATTATGACAAAAGGCAGATATTGGCAACTCGCCTTTGATTGAAAATTGCATTACTTTTCAATTCAATAACTGCCAAAATTGAAAGATAGAAGCTTTTCTGTTCATTGAATTATAAAACTGAGTTTACGAAATTCCGATGCTTCCATTAAATGATATCAATTAAAAACTCCTAAATTAACCGATGAAATAGACTAAAACTAATTAAAATGTGACTTTAATTGAAGGCAAAAAATGTGCAAATTTTCACAGATACTTTTGGAATATTCTGGAGGATTTGCTCATTTTTGATATTTAATCAAAACCCATTATCGATTATTATATGAAAAATTGGGTAAAGAGATTTACAGAGTTTTCCTTGTCAGTGAAACGCTGCCAAATATTCAATTTGAAGTGATCATCTTTTTATTAAGGGTCAAATTTTGATTTTCATGTTTGATTAAATGTTGATGAAAAAATAACAGCAAAAGAAGACAAAGAATTATCTTCTTCTTCTTCTTCTTCTGCACATCAGAAGTCAATGTTTACTTGTTTTGTTGACAAGCTTTAGCCATTGATTAAAATGAGACGATTACTATTATCATCATATGATGGGAATGAAAGTAATGGATGATGAAGGTTAACTCAAGATTTGGAATAAAGAATTGAAATTAATATAAAAGGACGCAACTGAAGAGTAGACAGGGAAGCCAAATTTGTCTTCCATTATTATCATCTTTATCCTTCCTTCCTCAACATTCACTAAGTTGATTATGGTCAAGTCTCTATAATTCTTGAGGCTATTCAATTTCTTCATGTGATTAATGCATGAAATAACTTGACTAAAAACTATGAATTATCAATATTATCAGTATTTCATTATTTGTTTTACCTTCAAGTAAACAAATAATAGGATGAAGGAACCAGAAAACCAGAGAAAAGGGCAACTTTGGTTCAACGGTTACAATTTTGACCAATTTTTGGCTTATTTTACTTTTCCTTGTATTTCAGATTCTCAATGATAACTAAAGGGAAGCAAATATTTCAATGTATTACTTTATGTTTTGCATAATGTTTTGAAAAGGTAAAGCTTTTGATAACAATTTATTGATTGTTTCCATGTTAAAATCAATAAGAGAACAATTAATTGTAGAGGAAAAGAAAAGCTATTCTTGTTATTATTTTCTGGTTAACTGTCAACATTAACAGTTTACAATTTAACATTTTCATTTGTCACAATCAACATTTACCAATCAATTCATCGACATTAGTTGAATGACTTTTTTCATTAAAATCACAAAAACTATTGCCTTTTATCAATATTTTTGCACAGTTTAATGTTTATTGTTGTTGTTATTACAATAAATGATTGCGATCTCTTGTCACAATCAAAAACATTATCGGACAATTAAGCGCAAATCAAGAGTTAAACAGCCGTTAAAGTATTGAGTTTTGGGTTCAAATTAATGCTCAATTTGACTTTGCGATTTTCAACAGTTTCATGTTTAGGTGTTAACAATTAATCATTATTGATCTGGGTTTGATCAAAGAATCCTTTTTTTACTCAACCAAAAAGGCATTTAAAGATTATCGAATTAGAGCAATTAATTAGAAAATCAGTCATTTGTCAAAGAGAAAAACTAAAGAATTTTCGTTGATTTTGAGAGTTGTACAGTTACACAGTTACAGAGCACCAGATATTTAACTTACTCTTTGCTCGAAAGACAGTTTTACATAAACTCCTAGCCCAACAATAAACCATCAATCTGAATGAAAAAAAGTTTTTCCCCCAAAGTCAATAGTAAAAGATACGGATTCTGCATTTTTTCCCCTACCCTGTTTAAACGCTGATTTCTCAGTAACCTGAATTCCGAGAAAGCTCTGACTATTTTTCGTAATTGAAGTTCAATCAGGGCTTTCATTCGATGTGAAAATTTTCTTTAGAATCCTTTTAGTTTGGTCACAATCTTCCCGCAAAAATTTCATAGTTTGACTTTATATATTGTATAGATGTATAGATTGATCTGGGTTTGATTACAATCAAAGAATCCTTTTTTACTCAACCAAAAAGGCATTTAAAGATTATCGAATTAGAGCAATTAATTAGAAAATCAGTCATTTGTTGAACAATCAATTGAGAATGAAATAGAGTTACAGTAATTAAGTATTGATCAACAGACGAGATTACAATTTTGCTCATTTTTCTGCATTTCAAATCTTTGCGATCTTTTCGTTTCATTATTTCAAAATTGATTCATTTTTTTCAGTAAATCAATTGATTGATTTTTTGCTTTTAATTTCCTTTGCCAGACAATTTCATGATATAACAATCATTTGGAATATTTTTCTGGTTTTAACTTTGATTTGTTCTTGAGATGTACCAATAAAATCAAATAATCATTTTATTCAATTAAATTTGATTCTAGTTTGCTGGAAGCACTAAGGTTTAAATTGCTGTCAAAATATCGAGTTTAATTTTCAACTGCAAATAGTGAAGTCACACTGAGTATTGAACCTGACTTTTTGAACAGTTTTAACCCAAAAATGTACAATCCAATCCCTTCATTTCAGTCATTAATTTGCATAAATGATAGATTAGTAAGATCAATGGTTATAATGAGTAAAAATGATGTAAATCACCAAATAAATTAACTCATCAAGTAAAATTCAATGAGAGCAAAACATTCAATGATACAATTCAGTAAATTTGGATAAATTTTGTTCACCAGAAATAAGACAATCTAAAAAGCTCAAAATAACCTTTAGCTTACAATTTGAACGAGTCTGGATCAAAATGTGAAGGAACTGAATGGAATCAGTAATCATTTTGATCAATTTTCAATTAACTATTAAAATGGAAATTTGATTTTTTATAGTTAAATTAAGTCGATGTAAATAGCCATCTATTGACTTTTGGCTCATTTTTTGCTGTCATTTTGAATAATCTAATCCTTTGCTTGAAGGGTTAATTTTAAATCAAACTTTTCACTAAAACCCAGACTGGTTCAACTGTTTAAAGGATTTTCAGTATTAATGACCTTTAAATTGTTCAATACTTACGAGTGTCCCTTACGGCAGTGATTACCAATGTAAAGCCATCTCCTGATTGACTCCATTGGTCAGTTTGATACTTTAAGGTAACATAGTTACTATGAAAAAAGATTAGCCCGTAATCACCTCTTGTACTGCGACATGAAAGGTTCACCTTGAGAGAAAAGAATTCAAAAAAAAGTTATTAATTAGTTGATAAATGGTTAAATTTGTGGTTTACAAAATGAATGTTTCAGTGAAATGGTGAAGGTTTGAGTGAAACAAGGAAAATGGCGAATCCAATGAAAAATTAAACCCAATTTTTGATCCAATTGACTTTTAGTTTGGCGTTTGAGATTCATTTTTTTCTTCTTGTTGTTGCTCTTGTTTTTCAATTTAGTTGATCACTTATCATTAGATGTTCAATTTGCCTCTAAATCATTATTATTATTATTATTTGTGATGTTTGGGTTAATGGTAACATCAGCAGTTTGCAAAGCCTGAATCAGCAACAGCAGAAAGCATCATCATCATTATCATCTCCAATAACGTTCAACTTATCATTTATTATTGACATCCTCGTATAATTGTTGTTTTTGATATTGGCCAACCAAAAAACTTTAATGGGTCCATATTTTGCCTATACATTTCATCTTTCTTTTTGAGCCTTTTTTCACCAATCAATAATGGTTGAAGGATGAATGAAATGAAACAGCAAACAAAATCCCTGTTGATTGTTTTTTACTTTTTCCTCCTGTTGTTTGAAGGGATTCCAGGTTGACTTTGAATCAGAAAAGCATATAAAATGAAAACAAGAAATCAGGATTAAAATCATTATTTTAACATTAAAAGTTATTGATTATCCAATGTAATCATCAGTATCATCATCTGGTTAAACAGGTTGACTTCAAGGCTTTGACAACAATGGTCTAGAGTGAAAAGTAAATTGTGTTGATAAAATTTGATTAAGCTTGATGGCTTCAATTTTACAATCAATTGAATTGTGGGTTAAAAACAAGACCAGGTAAATGTTGATGGTTGGAAAAAAGTCGATAAGGAAAAGGAAAGAAATCACAATTGAAGACACTTAAATAATGATAATCTAATTGAAAATTCAATTCAAAGTGAGACTGAGAAGAAGAGGAAAAAAAGAGTCCAAAATTGTCTAAAAAGATCAATAGACTTTAGTAGAGTATTGATTGTTTTTTGCCTTTTCCAGTTTGAATGATGATTTTAAATTAATTTGTTCATTTTGCTGGTAAAAAAAGCTGATGATGATTTACTACAGACGCCAATGACAAAAGCAATTGATCAAAATGAACTTTGAAGAGGTTGATGATGAGAATGATTAGTGTAAAGCTAAACTCTCGGGTTTGATGGTGAAAGTGAACTACGATCAAGATGAGGATAAGGTCCATGGAAAGAGAAGGAGATGATGATAATGATGATTCCATGAGGTTACATGATAACTGTGTGACTTGAATTTTTTTTGTTATTCAGTTGCGTGAAGATTGAACAATGTGTAGATTGTAATGGTAATGCATAAATTTTCATAAATTGTGTGTGTGTGTGATCCTTTTGTTGAGTTAAAACCATTAACAGGAGGCAAACAAAAAGCCAATACAAATAATAATAGATCATGTTTGGAGTAACATTTACCAACGGTTATCAAAGTTGATTAACTTAAAAAGTTTGATGATAATTAGAGGCAACAAGATGATTAAGAATCAATAATTTAACAGCGAACCAAAAAAGTAACACTATTTTCACATTTGGACATTAAGAAGAGAAAGGCTGACAAAAATTTCATCTCATTTACTTATCAAGATGGATTTTGAATTGAAACACTGGAATAATTGTGATGACAATAAATCAATGAAAGGCTAATCAGAATGGGAAAAGCTTACAATTAGAGAAAGATTGATTAGTTGATGAGAAAAAAAGTGGTGAGCAAAGAGTAGAAGTGTATGAAAAAAACAAACTCAAACAAGACTTGTATTTATATTATTTGAAGGGAAGGTTATTATATTATGGAAGACACTAAATGATAAACTAACGTCACAAATCATGGAGACTTGGCAGCATTTGAAGCAAATAACAACAGCAACCTACTTCAACATCTGATGCAAGTTGATAAAGTGAAAGTAAAAGTACAACTCGAGAATCGACAAGATTGATTTTAATTTCATTTCCTTCAATGTGTAACCAATTTGCTGATGAAAGTTAATTAAATAGTAAAGCTTTGGGTTGGTGTTGTGTGTGTTTGTGTTGTTGGTGATGTTGATGTGAGTAAGATGGTTCATTGAAACATATTTAACTCCATCAATCATTTTGCTATTAAAATCATAATCCATGGTGAATTTTATAATGTTTAATGCTGGTTCATGATGACATTTACATCATCTAATTTGATAGTTTCTGCATTGAAATAGCTTTGAGAATAGCTTTTGCATTTCTTGTATTGTATTAAAATCATCTAGACTTTTTTATTTCTCATATTACAATGTCTTTTCTCTCTATGTCTAGCTTGTCTGTTGTGCCAATTTGGATGTTAAATGGTTTTTGGTTCAACTTCCCTGAAGGAAAGTTGAAAATTAACATCATCTACCAACAATCAACCTTTAGCTTTAGACTTTCTGGTTAACATAATCAATTCATTATTGTAGGAATATAAAAGTAAATCAATTACGCCATTTTACTTTCACTTTGTTTTGTTTGCTTTTCATTAATAATTGAATGGGTTGAATGGAGTAATGGTTGACAACTAGGAAACTGTGAAACTTTGATGGTTTAAGGTTAACTTGAAAGCTGGCAGGTTTAAACAAGGCTTGACAATCAAAACTTGAAGACACTGAAAGCACACATTTCACCGAGAACACAATTGGTTCAATTGTGATTTAAAGGTTGAAATAATGTTGGCTTCGTGGAGGTTGTTGGTTAACTGAGAAGAGTGTTGATGATGCTGATGATGCTGTTGCTGATGAAGGTTTGAAAAAAATTGCTGAGGTATTGGGATAATCCATGTACATGTAAACACACTTTTTCCTTGTTTGGGTTTCACTGTGAGAAATAGATTTTTGATAAGCAACAATATATGATTGGTACCTTTGATTGACCTGCAAAACCGTCACCGTCATACACATAAAGGTGATCATAACAGTCAAGGCGAAGGTCATCAAACCGAAGCATGAATCGTTGAGAGACAAGCTCCGTTTGAAATGTTAAAGTACAATTCATATTTTCATCACGAGAAGATGTAATTACTGCTCCATCAATCTGCTTGGACAATGGCGTATATTTTTCCCTCATACAAAGTGTTGACATGTGATCTGTGTGGATAAAAAGAGAGAAATTAGAGTAAAAATAATTAGTTAATTTTGTAAGTTAAGAGTTGAAAAATTGAAATAATCAGCCTTAACAGAATCCACTAATTCTCAGTGTGCATAGAAAGTGTTGAGATTGTAACAAGCTACTGATATTACCAGTTTTATTTTCTAACGGAAAACAGAAACTGTTATTTGGCTGTTAATTTCAAATGTTTCATGACTCATGAAACATTTGAACTGGTTAAATTGATCAATCAGCACAATAAATGTTAGATTTTTATCTCTAAATCATGTTACATCCTCACTCGACAATTGGTTATTTTTTCATTGTCAAGATTGGTTTGCCATTTTGTTTTTTTCAGTTTTCAAAAATGTGATACTCAACAACTGTAAATCAATATTTACTCATTCTGTTTATTCTGTTTAGTCATAATATCGTTTATTTTAATTGATTAATAGCCGATTCTCAAAATAAATTAGTAATTTAAGCTAATTTTTTCATAATTTTGAGTAAAATAAGAAAATAGAATGCATTTTAAAAGCCAAATGCATCGACTGTTGGAAAACCAAACGGTAAATTCAAACTGAAGCCAGAGTGTTTGAGTTACTGTTATAAAATCTGAAGCTATAGCTTAATGATTCCTTTAAATGCTTAACTTATAGATTTAGTTATTGTAGCATAGATGATCACAATTAAATGATTATATAATTAAACAATAAAGAGAGGAAACTGGAAATGTAAAAGAAGATAAATCTATCTTCTGCTCAAAGAAAGATAAGAGAGACTGTGTAAATCGCGAAAAAAGACAGACTCGAGAAAGGAAGAAATGGAGACAGGGAAAAGGTGAGAAGAAGCACATGAGAATTGTTAAAGGTAAGCCTTTTGTTGAAAGCTGATTAAATTCAATTTAATTTAATTGAAATTATTACTTACATCTTTTATTGGGTTCAGAAAGAACCTTATTCCTGGAAATAAGATGAACAATTGTCAAAAAATAGTAAACAATTTGTATATATGGGCGTAAACCGGCACAAGATGCGGCCATTTTCTTTCATCATCGATCCATCACTTTCCCTTTTTTATATGGTAGACACACACAACAAGAGAAGACGACGATGAGAAGATGATGATTATCAAGATGATGATGAGGATGATGAGGAAGAAGAAAAGGCAAGGGACAGAGAGAAAGAAAGAGAGAAAAGAGGAAAAAAAGAAAAGCTTCAATGTAAACTCATATGAAGAATCAAGGATAATGTTGAGCGCGAGTTTAACTCAACAAACAGTCTAACAAATATCGACCCGAAGACTCACTTCTTTCAAGGCAGACTCAAAACACAATCAAATTACGAGTTTGCGTTCAAATTTACATCACCTTTGGCTCTCTCTTCAGTCTCTTTATATTTCTCTAGCCAACTCTGTCTCTCCATCTTTGGTCACTACCATGTATTAATAGATCAAAACATTGATTTGCCGACAATCAGTTTCGATTAAAGTTGAAACATGAAAACCTTGACTTTACAATTTTCATCAAAAGATGGAGACAGTGAATTGAACCCAATGAACAAGCTTTTTGCGGTTCTTTTAATCTTATGCAATCCTAAAATTAAACATTCTTCTCGCAGAAGCCTTCGGCCATGGATTTCAAGTTCTAATAATAATAGCTCGTTTCGGAGGTCCTTTTTTGCTAGTGTTTTTTCTGGTGAGTTTTACATTTTTTTAAGATGAACTTCTAACATTTAAAATGTATCCATTTCTTTTGATGTAGGCTGTGTAAATATCCTGATGCAAATGACTCCTGATGTCCGAGAAGCTCTAAACATTAACGCAACCGAAAATGGAATCGCTGCTATAACCAAGATACTTCAATATAATAGCAGTCAAGTAAGTTGTCTTGTTAACTAATGAATAATATTGTCATATAACTGTTAATGATGAACTCTGTTTAATTAACGCTTTTTTCTTAGGTTGATGTAAATGAACTATTACCACTTTGGTTTTCTTACCCGTTTGGGAAGATGAAGAATTGCTTCATTGCTATGGATTTCTTCTATCTCTTATTGGACAGCAAGCATTTTAAAAATTGGCCTTAATTGTTAATTGTTAATTACCCATTTTCTTCTATTCATCAACAGTAATCACCCAATGATCATGGGCGAAAACAATTCCAATCTTCCTAGAATAGCTTATGTATTTATGGAAATATTAGCCTGAAACGCTATTACATTGTCATCTGAAGTTCGAGTCATCGATTACTCAACAGGAAGCTTTGAAGCAAGTTCTCAAGGTACAAGTCTCAAGTACAGAAGTCTCCATGTGGGTTGTAATTGGCCATAATTTATGTACCGACTGTAAACAAACAAAAAATCATTGACGTAATGGTTGGCAAGATGGATAAGTGTGTGGCTAATAATTTGAATTGATTTAAACTTACATTCCAAAAAGCGTCCCACCTAGATGAGCAGCGTGGTCAAATAATTTCCAACGCCTGATTATACCCATTGTATCAAAGGCTATTATACCGCTAATACCATATTCAGCTGGAAATAACGAGTTTGGGATGAATAATATTGCCAGTTTAGCATCAGGATTAATCATACAAGAAGCTGCTAGGATTCCAAGGATAGCTCCTGACTAAAAAATGAGGAAGAGTTTATTAATTTAGTAATGTGTTCTTGAAACAAATATTCTTGAATATTTTCGCACTTTTCAGATTCTTAGGATAAAATGAAACAACTTTCAGCTCCAAGGGAGCGCTGATGTATGCCTCTACAGCATTTGTGGACAATACTAATCAATGAAGCAATTGATTATAATGCGAATAATTTACAATGAACGATAATATTATTAGGACGAAAAAAATGAAAATAACTTTGGTTTTTCTCTTTCTATCAAAATGTTCATGAAAAAGTATTCTTTTCAATCAACTGTGATTAATTTCAATGAAGAGGAAGATGAAAAGTGACTGGCAATCGGTTATGGCCAAATGCCTTGGCGCCCGACACTCGGCGATGTTACCACAAATTCCTGATATTACCATGTCAGACGCTGGAGAGCCTTCCGGCATTTTTCTTCCATGGAGGACTCACAAATCGGACGTGATATGGGAAGTATTTGTCACCCCGCCAACTCGCCAATTTTACCAAGAACTATCACCGAGAGGGTACCAAATTCTCCAGTTTCTTCTCCCTTCTTTTCGCCATCTCCAGTTTCCCATGAGAGCTCACCCCAAAAATCATCCACAGGTTCACCACAAGTTTCGCCTGAACCATCACCACGATTTTGTCTCGAAAGTCACTTAGAGACTCGATTCAACCCTCACTCACGGGCTCGCCTCAGCCTGAAGAAATAACACACAACTCCATCTAGACCTAGACATCGCCAGACAACCTCACAAAATGAGAAACTCATACCGCTACAGATTGACTCGGACTCGTGTCACGCTAAATTGATTTAAATTTAAATTTTTCAACATCTCATCCCTTTATATTATAATATTTACTTTCTCTAATTTAATTTTCTTGAATTGTTTTTTCATTTTCCACTTTTCATTTTTCAAACTATTATTTTACCTTAAAAATGTAACTTTATTTTTTCATTATTGTGAACGGTTGTATATTCCGTACCCTGCAGTGCACTGCGAGTGTATTTGTTGATTCACTCTGCACAGTATCGAGTAGTTTCCTTTGGGATTATCGGTATTCCTGTAACAAGGTGAAATGAAATGAATAAAATGAATTTTAACGGTTATCTTAAAGTTTTCATTTTTCAATTCAACTTCTCTTTTAATCATGAAAAAGTGAAGTTTAAATGCAACAGTGATTTCAACCGACTCTTCAATTCATAAGAAACAATGAAAATTCAACAAAAGCCAAAAACTGTTAGATTAAAATAACAGTAAACATAAAAGTTGCGGTCAGTAAATAATAAAAACTATGACTAAATCTGGTAAAAACAAACTCTTAAACAAGCAAATTTTTCAAGCAAAAGTGTATCAAATCAAGACCAACTGTCCAGTAAATATCAGGTCAGGATTTTATCTGCAAACCATTTTTCATCCAAAAGAGAAGAGTGAAAAAATGGATTCATAAATTAACATGAAATTATTTACATTTATAACCTAATGAATCCACACCCTGAATAACAGTATCTCTAATCGCGTAACAAGGTGAAAGAAGATCTCAGTTAAGAGTCTTGAGTAACCATTTTTCTTGCTTAAGACTGATTCTCAACAATTTTCAAACCACTTTTTGAAGGCAACCAGTATTTAATCAAATGGTTATATTGTATAATCTCAACTGTTTTAAATTGCTTTAAAAGTTAACCAACACTATTAAGCACAGTTTGCTCAAAAGACAATGATAAGGCCTGATGAAAAAAGTCTTAAAATGAAGATACCAAAAAATCTAACAATTGTAAGATGAAAATATAATAGGAAAACCCATTGAAAGCAGTGAAAAATGAAGACAAAATTATGTTTACAAAATTAAAAAAAGTGTTGAGATTAGATTAAATATTGATCTAAGCCAGCTAAACCACTAAATCTCGTTGAATGGGTTAACTATCACTTAATTTCCTAGAAATTTAGTTATCATCTTGATCATGACATTTGATTAAACACTTTGATTTATTTATTTGCTCAGTGATATGATTTATGAGTCTGAAAACCAGTTTCCCATCAACTTTCCCCATTATTTTTGCTAACAACCTTTTTTGTTGTTTGATTAATATTTGCTCTTCTTAGTTTTTTTTTTGGTATTTTTGTTGCAACTTTCATCTTAATTTATCTTAGACAACATTATTAATTTTAAAGTTAATCAAGTGTGTTGCTGTTGATTATGAGAGTTGATCCCAGTCTAATTTATGATACCGTAATCTGGTAACAAAGGATCGATGATTGTTATCCAACAACAGGTGATAATGGTGATAATCAATATTATTGAATATGAAAATGAATAGCGAAAAGTGTTAGGAGTGTTTAGCATTTGATTTAATGTTATATTGTTGATGTTAATCAAAAGGCAACAAAAAGACATTGACCTTAAATGATGTCAAGTTTGAATGGTAACAAGTGAAAAAGTAACAGCAATTTTCAAAGTCAACAAATTTTTGATTATTATTATTGCTATATTTTCACACTTCGTAAAGCACTTTAATCGATTAGTACCAATTTTGTAACAACAAAAAACACATCTTTACCTTTTTGAAAAGATGAAGATGGCAAAGGTAAAATCATTATCAATCAACTGTTATTGTTATTACTGATGTTATGCTACAATAATTAGCCAAAAACAATTAGAATCAATTATAAATCATTTCTGTCTCAGATTCATGCTGATTATCATGTAAACCTGGCATTTCCTCTTTACTCTATCCAAATGTGCTAATTGTTCATCTGAATCGTCTTTGGTTTTAATCATCATTCTCTCAATTCTCAACATTGACCTTTTAGGCTAATGTAACTTCTCGTTGTGAGACTAAACATTTTTACCTTAAAGGCCTTAAAATTGTTGAATGCAAATGAAGAGTCTAATGAGTAAGGCAAACATTAAGGCTTCTCATCTTTGCTCTTTACCCAAAACAATAAGGTCAAACTTTGTTAACTATCAATAATCGTAATAATTATCAAACTAATGGCAAGTAATTAAGGTTTGGCATGATTGAATTACTTGAGAGAGAATAGAAAAGGTAATGGAAAGAAGAAGAAAAAAGCTAAATTAACTTTAATATTTTAACCTTTTTTAACCCAAAAATGATCCATTTATAGAGTAAAATGATGCTGGTTAAGATGATAATGATGATCAAATGCGTTTGAACATCATAACATATTGATTGATTGAAACAACATAATCAGTATTGATGCAGTCAGATCAATTTCACTCAGGTTAAGTATACATCAAAGGAAAACATTAAAAACGCAGTTTTTTGTTGGCTTCAAATAACTTTAGACTTTAAACAAACGTTGACTTTTCCAATCGAGATTAAAAAAGTCATCAATGAAATCAGTTTCTCACCTATTTTGTAACATGAAACTCAAAATCGAATTGCAATTTCGAAATAAAAAGATCACTTGATAATCATAATTATGTTTAGTTTATTTGCTGAAGATCAATTGGACCTGATTTCAATGTTATATCTTGCTTCCACTATGAGATATTCATGATTTAGTCGATAAAAAATGTTAATCGTTTGACGGATGGAAAATATAATATTAATAACTCATTAATCAAGAAATCTTAATTTAGAAATTTCTATTCAAATTAGTGTGTCAAATGTGTTAGCAATTTACTCCAAAACCCTGATAATTTCAATCGTCGTAATTCACAATTTTCCCAAGACTTTTGCACTAACAGACTTCGTAAGCTCAAACGATTCAAACCGAAAAAGTCTTCACACAAAATTGACCTTCTAAATGGTCAAAATTGATTATTCAAAAATGAAAAAGTAAATCATTTTTGGCTTTGCAAAAAATAAACGCAAATCAGATCTTTAAGATTGACAAGATTTACAGATTCAAGGAAATGTCTAAACCTTTCCTTAACTGAATTGTTTCAAAAGCTTAGACTAGTTGGTTGGCTAGACCTGAATCAAAATTGAAAACATTTATCTTCAGTGAATGGCTTTAGTGATATCGTTCTGTACTTGTTTTGTTATTTCTGTATATTGAGCTGTTGACATTGAATCTCAGGTAATACAAGGAATAAAGCTGTGAAACTTGGATCATAAGTTGGACTGACAATGAACCTCAGTCAGTCGAGTCACAAACAGCGTTAAAACGCGTTTTAACACAATCAACATTTTCTCATATAAGAGCACGTTCCTGCTCTTCGAGTTCTATCAAAGTTTCACCAACAAGTTCAGCTGGATACAGAAACTTTCCAATGTTGAAGCAGTAGACGGACGAACATATAAATATCTCGAAATTGTTTCAACCATCGAAAGTAATTCAGTTGACTGTGATGTAGATTGATTGAATAATTTCAAGTACTCTTGGCTTTCGGTTTGACAAACGCTTAAACTGAAAGCTTTTATTGGTTTGACCCTAATATTTGTTTACGGAGTATTTTTGGTGATGATGACGATGGTGATGATACAAATATCTTCCGCCTTGTGACCTCGAAAGTCCTCGAGAAGAAGAAGAAGAAAAGATGATAATCATTTTCACTTTGATCGGAGGAGCAACAATTTACTAATGATGCTGATGATGTTTACCTATTACGGGCTTGGCTAAATATCTTTTCACAGAATCAAACTCATCATTAGCCATCATCATGACCGGATGAAAAGCTAAACTAGTTTCATTCTCATCCAATATTTTCTCATTTAATCTAACATTTCTCTCTCTCTCTCTTCTTTTTTCTTCCCAATTCTCATCAATTTCTCATCATCCTTTTCGCCATCCTTCAAATATATTATTATCATCATTGCGATTCAGAATGAAATGTATTCATTCATATTGAAATGAAATTCTCATCTTCTTTTCAATTGAATTACCAACTGATTAATGGTTGATGTCAGCCTCTATTTATTTTTAAATATCGGTAATCAATATATTCATTATTATTTCATCCAATCAACCAATTAACTGAGTGAAATTTATTTATACATCAATAAGAAAATTAACTGCAAATTGAGCCCAAAGGGTCTTAACTCTTCTTCTTTGCTCTTCAATCTCTTTTTTTCAAATCCAAATCTGTTTACATTCAATTTTCCTGTCAATTTTCATGTCAATTATCAAACAATTATAAATATTATAAATGTTACAGTTTACATGATCTGATTAAAGTTGATTCAATTCTTTCCATGAAACAAAACATGTTCAACCGTTTGCCAACCTTAAACTTTGCAAAGAATCAAAAAGGCCAATCTCTTCAATCGATCGTCCAGATTATGATTAAAAAATCAGTTTTTTTTCACTGAATTAACCTTAATCAACTATTAGCTTGTAACAGGTAAAAGTGATTTTGTAAAACAATTACTTACAGAAGAGAAGTGATAAAATTAAAATTAATTTCAGGTCAATCCAATCTTGAGAGACTTCAAACAATTTTTCATCTCTTTTCATCTTCTCTCTCTTTATCCTCTTTTCTTTATCATCACCATCATCTTCTTAAATCCTGATGATTGCTAATATTACTGAATTTAACCTAAAATTGGGTGAGATGAGAAAAGAAATAAGAGAAGAGAAGAGAAGAAAAAAAAGGAAAATCGAAAAAATGGAGAAAAAAAGGAGAAACTTTCTAACCTTAGCTTTTGTGTTATCATCTTTTTTATCATCTTAATCAACTACATCCTTGTCATCATCATATTGATGTTATTTTCATCAATTTAGTGATGATCACGGATCAGCCAAAAGAAGAGACTTAAGACTGAAAAGTGACCAGTAAACAGGTAAAATGGTACAACAACAATTTATCCAAATTCAATTGGAATGTGTTGAGTTTGTTCAAGTGTTAAAATAGCCAAACCTGGTTAATTGTTGAAACCCAAAAAAAGAAAAGTAAAGAAAACTTTGACCATTTAATTGGCCAATGGAAAAGGTCAGTTAAAAGGAAAAGAGGTGAAAAACATTGACCAGCAATAATAGAAGAGCAAATTAATTTGATTGACTGATCATGATTTAAATGATAGTTAATTGTTTTCCAACTAAAGCAACTCTTTTAAAATCACATTTTAACCTTAATTTTGTCAAAGTGTTAATGTTGCTTCCTTTGAAATTGAAATTAGTTTGAAAATAAAAGTTAAACAATTGAAATTAAAATCAACTGTAACCTTAAAATATATCATCAAAAAGATGAACAATGTTGCTTGATCGTGAGTTTCATGAAAATCATTAAAAGCAATTAGTTAATTGTAAGCAAGCTGAAAAGGTTAATCAAACGGGTTAGAGGTAAAAAAAAGGTAAAGATTAAAAAAGGAAACCTTGTTGACATATTTGACAAGATCAACAGGTAAAGTCATTGAACAAGAAGAGACAACATTAACCTTATTATTCAAATGAAATATCATTTGGTTAAGAATGAAAAGTATTTTCTTACCTTTTCTTTCACCATCTTTACCATCTTCTTACCTTACAATAATATAATAATCATGATTGCTAATGATAATAATGATAATAATAATGCAAAATGTATATATACAAACACTTGAAAGTTATCAAGCAACAGCAACAATGAAAGACGATCAACAGCCAGGAATCAGTTTAATTTTAGGCTTATTTTGTCCCCATTATACGGTTACCTTCATCATCAACTTGTGTATACAGTTTGTTGACAACTGTCTTAAGGGTAAAGATGATGATGAATCGGTCCATGATGGATATGATGATCAGCCTGATCATGTTGATGCTCAAGTCACAGTTCTGTTAAACCTGTGTTCATGAATTACCGTTCAATCAATCGAAGTGACAACATTTAAAAGGTTTGCTCTTAAACAAAAAACTCTTTTCACTGTTGCCTTTATTCAGTTAACTGAATCATTGCAACCCTCATTAGTCCTTTCATTGTTTAACAATCAGTTAAACTATCACTTTGAAGACCTATTTAGATCAATCTAATTGTTACAATTTAAACGCAGTTTGCATGAGTAAAAGGATTGGAACCGGCGATTAATCAAATTTGAAATTAATCAAATAGAATAGAAATATTTGTTCAGATTTTTTTTGGTTCCTTCAATTGGCATTTGCTTTTGATGGATTACTATTGAAATTGAAATTAAATGTTTCATGTGATTGTGATTAAAACATTGATTTGGTTTCTTTGGTAGATTTAGGTTCAATTTTTGGGTAAACTTGGTTAAAGGCAAATCTTTTTTTAATGGTTTATTCACTTTTACTGAACCTTTTTTTAGTCATTTTTTTTTGGGTTCATCTTGATTATTATAATTGATTCTGTTGATACATTATTGTTAATTAATAACATTTCAATTGCGGTCAACAGCTTCTTCTTTTGATCCGATCAATTGAACATTTTGTTCACTTTATATGAACACATATTTGATCCAAATTATGAGATTCCAAGAATTAAAAGTTGACTTATTTTTTCGTCTTTTTTGACACAAATAGTAAACATATAAATATACTGACAATTTTGCTTGCTAATCAAATGGTTCATTGATCATCTGATTTGTGTGACTTTATGATTATTACGAGTGAAACTTTGTTGCAATTTTAATTGAACCATTTTTCAAATTAAAGTTTAAGAGCCAATCTGGACACAAATGTTTCCAAAAATGCGTACAACTTGAAGATATAAATTTCAAATGAATCTGGTTAAATCTTTAATCTCTAAGCATCGTCTTAATCAAACGGATTAATCAGTTTGGTTGAAAAGAGTTTAATTAAATTTCGAGTAAAACTTTCATGCACAATCAGGGATTCAAAGTCAATGCAAATTTAAAAGGTTGATTACCGTTAACACAGATTAAAGGTTGAATTCGGTCTGGTTGAGTTTTACACTGAAGATGTTGTTAACAGTGAAAGTTTGACTAATGTTTTCAATTGTTGTGGAAATGAAAATTTAGACATAAATTGCTGATTATTCAGCAACCAGATTAGTTAGAGAATTATTTTCTTTAATTGTCCTTAATTGAGTAAAAATAATAGACCATCTCTAGCTACTTTTGCTATATTTAGTCAATCTCATGAAAAAATTACAGAAAATAATCTTCGGCTAATTTTTCAATTTTTGAAATTTAACCTTTTCTATGGGATTTTTTATAGCCAAGCTGTTTCATCCTCAAACTTTGTTTTGTTTTGGCCTCTTTTGATTCACTTCATGGGGGGCATAATTGGCCGATGTTTGACCAATTGACTCCAAATCTCATATGTAGGCAAAGTTAGGTTATTATTAGCTCGATGCCTGAAAAAATGGTGATTTTAGACAATCTGTCTCTTTGATTTGAATTTATGTCTAACAACTAAGTTTCTATTTCCACTACCTTATTAGCTCAGAGAAATGGTTTTTAGAGCCTTGTTGGTTTGAGTTGTTGGTCGATGTTGATTAAAGTTTATAGAAGTACAGTCGAGTCCCTGAAATTGTCGGTTCCTAAAACTGTCCATTCGATATCAGCACCATCTCTTATAAATAAAAAAAACCATAATTATGAATTGAATTGTGTTTTGATTAGTAATTTTTATTGGTGTCTTTTGAATGTCGCGCCTCATTCGGCCTCAAACAACTGATGGACAATTTCAGGGACTCGACTGTACGTAAAGAATAAAAAATAATTGAAGATCTTCCAGCAATTAATTAAAGTCATTTTGCATTATTAATGTTATTCTATTAACTTTATATTAAACTTTAATTGTACATACTAACAGTTATTAATATTGATTGTTCATTTGCGGCGCCATCAACTCATAAAATGTGTAAATGTAATACAAAAGTATTATTAGATGAAGTTTGGATAAAATTAATCTCTAAATCAAATTTTGATTCAAACATTGTAAGATTTATTTAGAAGAAAATTTCAACTTTTAGTTTTACGATTTGTTTGATTCAACACTGATAATCTGATTTTTCATTTCATTTTCCACATGATTTGAGAATCAAGAGTTTCGAGGTTCTGATAAGAAGTGTAACTCTTTTTTTTCAAGAAGTGTCTTTATTCAAAAGTTGTAGTTCCTCCAATATCAACTGATTACTGTATGTCTTCTTTCATCAATAGTTGAATGTTGAGAAAGCAGTTTTTAAACAATTTTAAGGGGCATTATGTTTTGAGAGGAGGATAAAAAGAGGACCTAATGGACAGTGAAGCAAAAAAAGAAGTTAAAAAAGGTTGATTAAGATGGACATGAAGATGAGGATGAGGATGGGGATGATGAAGATGATGGTGATAGTAAAGACGGTGATGGTGAGGATGGTGACGGGGAAGATGGTGAGGATGATGAAAATAGTGATAGTGATGGTGAGTAATTCTGTACCAATACTTTTCCATCATCATTTGGCCCCCTCCTTCTCCTCTCCTTTCACGTTTCAACTCCTCCTTTTCACCTCAACCCTGAATTGGGCATTGCTTAAATTCACTTGATATCGGCTTACCTGATTCATTTGAGAATCAGTTGCAGTTTGCGGTGAGTCTGTCGTCAATATACTGTTTACTTATAAATATTGCTAACAAGACAAAAAAAAGCAAAACTTGTCTTCAAGTGTTACAGTGTGTTCAGTCAGCGGAGTCTGTTGTTTGCTTCAACAAGGTTTAAAAAGAACTGTCTCTTCTTTTAAAGTGTCCAAGTGTTCAGTGGAGTCTTGAATCCATCCCATCAAATAATTCCAAATGAATTCCATCGTTTTTTTCGTACCACTTTTTTTCATCTTAATCTCAGTGCCAAGCAGTTCTACCCAAGGAACAGGGGGACTAGCAGTCTTCAGTTCAGCCTCGGAAACCCAGCCAGACTCAAAGCCATCATGGCAACTCATCTTCCGTAATATTGGACTTGGGAGCATGACTGACCCTGTTTTCAACGTCCTTAAACGACGATGGGACTCCATCAGAGCCAAGTAAGTACTTGTTGAACCCGATTTACCAACACAACTGAAAATGAGAAAGAAAAAAAAGCTTAATGAGATCACAGCATAATTATGTTATTATTATTATAAATGATGGGATTCAAATTAGGTTAAATTAAGGTTCCATTGCCTGGAACCAATTGATGGTGATCAATTGCTATCAAACTATTTTAGTCAATTAAAGCATTACATAAAAGTAACAAATAGGAAAATGGCTTGAATCGATTCTCACTTAAATTCAATAAATAATGATCCATTCAAGTTCACTTTTACCTGATAAATAAATAACGCGTTAATGACGATCAGAAAAATTTATATACACTTTTTTCACTCTTTTTTACATTTAATTTATAACTTGTTAATGATGAGTTAATCTAAATTTACAATTTATAGCTCAAATTTTTGTTCCAAATAAATTAACTTCTTAAATTATCCTCATCAATAGCAACAACAACATCTTTTTATGTGTTTACAATTTACCGAAAAATGGATAAAAATATTTTTATCTCATCTTAATTTACCTTGATCTTTAGCTTGACTTGGTTCAAGCTAATTTACATTTTATTTTACAGTTATTTTGGCGATTCTTCGCTTTCTCCTTTATTTTGAGAAGTACCTTTTGCATACCTTTTCTGCTATCAAAATCAAAAGCGATTAGCGAGTTAAATTTAAAATGACACTTACGTGAGACAATTTGAATTGATGATTACCCTTATTAATAGTTATTGCTACTATTAATAGATAACATCAGTACAAATATATGAATAATTCCGTGAACATTGAATATTTTCCTGGAGTAAACATTTTTCGCTTCAACATCTTTCTCCTGGTCACTTTAATAGACGATAAAATTACCAGAATACCATTGATGAAGCCAAGTTAATGACAACTTGTCACTGAATATTCCTTATATAAATATATCAACTTGTTGATTAATTTGATCTTTCAATTCTTTTCTCCTTTAACAGTCCTTTCATCCAAGCTTTACTGGTACAGACTACGGGATCAGGAAGTCAACCATCTGCTCAACCAGCTATGAGATACGCAAGGAGCATCAGCCGACAAATCAACAGAATTAAGCAAAACCAATGATGGACATGTTCAAATTGTCTTTTGACAAAATATAATAAAATAAAAAAATAAAAAAAAAATCAATAAAATACTCGAAACAAAACTATTGACTGAAAATTATTTCCCTTACGTTTATTTGTAACATTTGTATCGTCTGATAAGCACACACTTGCGGTTGTACCCAGGATTACTAGGATTTACATTCAACAGGTTTGGCATTTCAACACCTAATGTCACGGTATCACCTAATTTCATCCATAGTCAGCCAGATTAATTCAAGAAGCATCGGTAACAAAATTAGTTATGTTATATGAAGCTAAATTAAACTTGTTCAGTTGAGTTATTTCCAGTACCAATTGTCAAGACTTAAAAGTTCACCTTCTACATTATTTCACAAAAAAATAGGTTCAATTAGTCCATAGTCGAAAAAAATTAACAGTTAATCAGAAATATTTCACATTGACTCGATCAGATGTTTTTTTACGGATGAATCCGAATCGATATAAAGTTACATGTATTTAATTCGGTGAAATTTTTAAATCAACTGATCGTTAACTTGTACTTGCTTGTTAAAGTATCGATGTATCGAAAAATTGAATCAACTCATTTCTTTACAGCAGATGTCTCTGAATAATGCTTGTTTAGACACTCCCTTCCTTTCCAATTGCAAAGCTTTGAGTTAAAATACCTTACCTAGAAGTAGGTTGTTGATCAATATTTATTTGCAGTTGCCATTGTAGTCACATCATCTTAATTATTTGTTAAATATTTATTATCATTTATTGTATCTTCACCTTTTTTTAGCTTTAATCATTTAAAATGTCCACAACCGAAGTCGCACCGATTTATGGCCCATTCTTTGGTGTAATGGGTGCTGCATCAGCAATGATTTTCTCATCTTTAGGAGCTGCCTATGGAACAGCCAAGTCTGGTACAGGTATTGCTGCTATGGGTGTAATGAGACCTGAGCGTATCATGCAAAGTATTATTCCAGTTGTTATGGCCGGTATTATTGGTATGTTATCATTCTTTTTGTTTACTTTTCTAGTTTCATTCTATTTACTTTCACCTTTAAAATTGGTTATTAATTAATTTTATTTTTGTCCTACATTTGTCCTCACCATTATCTTATATTGGTTTATCTTTATCTCTTTCTCTCTCTCTTTTTCTCTCTCATTCTCATTTACTCTCTCTCTCTCTCTCTCTCTATCATCTATTTTTTCTATCTCTTTTTCTCTTTTCCTTGTCACCTCCATATCTTCCCTTTTTTTCTCCGTCTCTTCTCTCGGCTGAATTTATCAATTTTATCATCCATACTTGGAATCACCTGCACAAATCACCTCCACCATCGCCATCATTGTCATCTTCATCCGTCATCCGTGTCTTTCGTCATGCTGTTATCAATGCCTCCCCTCTACTTTGACCTTCACTCATTAATGATTCCACCCTCCATTGGAAATGATTGAATATGTGAAACTTTTTTGAATCTCCTGTTTAAATGTTCCATTTGATACTCCGGATCCATTAGCTATCTATGGTTTAATCATATCAGTCGTAATCTCCAACAGTTTGAAACCACCACCAGAGTACAGACTTTTTGATGGATTTATTCATTTAGGATCTGGTTTATCGGTTGGTTTATCAGGTTTAGCCGCTGGTTTCGCGATCGGAGTAGTCGGTGACGCTGGTGTACGAGGTACAGCACAACAACCTCGTTTATTCGTCGGAATGATCCTTATTTTGATTTTCGCTGAGGTACTTGGACTTTATGGTCTCATTGTTTCCCTTATTCTCAACTCAGCTACCAACAAATAAATGGTTAATCTGGTCAGGCTAAGGATTGAAATCGCCAACTGTCACAAAATCCGAATTTCAATCTACACAATGTTTTAATTGTTTATCACAATCAAGTCTTAAAATACTTAGCAAGACAGTAAGGTTAAAAAGAGGAGGTTATTAACGATTGATCTTTTAAGCTGTTAATTACCTCAATTTTATCATTCCTTCTATCACTTTCTTGGTCAATTAATTATCAATAATCAAGGTTAATTTTGCTTTTTTTGTCTAAATTTTATCCACACCAAGCAAAAGAATAATGAGTCATAATCATTGTGTGTATGTGAATTGTTTGATTAAAAAAAGGTTATTGCAAATTTTTAAACTGTCATATTGTTATTAATCAATTTTTATTTGTTACGGTGATCGTTGGGTGATAAAGTAATCAATTCTCTGGAAGCAATTCAATAAGACTCACCTAATGTTGATTTTAACGTGTTTAGATAAGCGCAAATAGGATGAATTTTAAAACAGACAATCAACATTCAACAAGATTGGTTTATTCATTGAGAAGGCAATTTTCATACCAAATGGAACCTGATTATAAGTCAAAAGCCATCAAATTACGATCCAAAGGAATCAAGCCTCTACAGTTTACATCGTTATACAATCAAAGTCCAATTCTCATGGAAATTACTGGTTAACTATGATTACAAGATTAACCCATGAATACTAATTGTTCATATTTGTTTATTTACACAAGCCAGTCAATTTATTTTGATCTTACCTTCAACTTACCCTCTGTGTTGGATATTATCAAGAAAATAGCTGTCCTACACTCAACTGGTTTCAATCCTGCTGGTAATTTAGTGACATTCCGACAAGGCCCTGTCATTGTAATTCATATCTAAAATCATCCAGCTTTGTTCACCATAGTAACGTGCGTTATTTTACTGTCAACTTCAAGATTCAATTCAAAATCAAATTACAACCAAGAAAAGGAATATAATTACAATGTGATTACATTTTAAATTCAAAAGATTGTCCAATAACAACTAAACCTGGTCTGGTTAAGATTAACGTTTGTTCAATTTTAGTGATAAGATTGCTGTTTCATCGAGGAATCAAAGCTGATATTGGAATTACTCCTTAATCATTATTGAAACCTTATTTACATTAATTTCAAGTCATGCAAAATTATTCCATCATTAGTCAAGAATAAGCTGTTGATTTAGCTTTTGTCTGCGGTGACAAGATCAACAGTTTGAATAAAATTTGTCTGATCTTCATTTCAATGAATTAACTAAAAATTTTCTCAAGTCTGTAGCATTAAACTCAAGTCTTTACTTAAATCTCCATTTAAGACTGTTTCCTCTGAATATTGGAGAAGCTGCTCAGATTAATTTACAATGAACCTGGATTGTAAGTTGGAACTATCAGTTGAACCATGAACTCTGAATGTGTCAAATGTTGTTGACCTGCGCCTGATTATTGATTACTGCCTGTTAAATCAATTGTTGGCCATGTAAAGTCAACTTACTAAGCCTTTCCATCTCATCATGTTTATATTTATATTCAACTATTTCCGTTTCAATTGAAACATTTTATTAAATACAATTTACCACAAAAAATGATGAAAATAACCTTTACTATTAACCTAATCAAACAACCAATTGTATAGATCAATCATTATAACCCAAAAACTGGTTGATAAACAATAGTTATCCAAATTTAATATCATCACCGGTAAACTGTAAATTATTATCATTTTAAAATGGTTTGTTAATCACTATGAATAGCAATGGATCAAAATTATGCCTCCATCAAAACAAATCGACATTTACTCGTTAAATTTCATTTCATCCTCTAATCCGCTATTGAGTGATGAATAATCCTCGTGAAAATTACGAGATTAATGGATTATTTGAGTTGAATGGTCGATCATCTACTAATTATGACACCGCTGATGAAAGGTGCAATCCTAATTATAACAATGGTCAAGATGAGGTTTTATTGACAAACCATCAAACATCAAATGTAAGTGATTTTGTCATTATCTTTCCTTTCATTTCCTTTTCAAATTCCTTCCGTCAGCCAATTACAAGACTTGACTGTTTAACTTTGAGTTTATTTCCACCCCATTCTATCCAATTAACTACTTTAATTAGCTATCATTTAGTTTTTTTAATCATTTTCACTAAAAATATTTTTTATGTGGTTTTGAAATTCGCTCATGAGTTAGTTTGTATTTGTGACACTAGAGCTCGCTAGCTGACCCAATGTTTAACCAGCGTTATGTTTATATCAAGTTTGTCAAATTACATTGATTAATGTAAAGTTATCAATTTATTGGGTTAATTTGATTGTCTTCTTTAAAGTCTAGGATAGCCTTTTCAACCGATGGAATGTTTCTACCAAATTGTTGGCTTTAAAGCGATCAAGATTATGTTATGAGCAGCTTTCGATAATTGAAATTACTTTCTAATGTTGATATGAATTAACCATTTATCCTAATTATACCCAACTGACTGATAATTAATATCAGAGTTCATCGTTCACCAAGGTATTAATCTTTTAGACTTCAATCAACAATTATGAATGTAATAAAACTATAAAAAAATGGTTTAACATTTCTGGTTAAGTTGATGTTTACCATTGACTAAATTTTCATGAGCAGAAAAGCAAAGCAAAAACAAGAAATGAAAATAGGTAAACATGATGGTATAAAACCTTCATCTGTTTCAATCCAGAAAATTGTTCATCAATTACATGGCATATCTATTATTTACTTAGCAAGAGATGGATTATGATCTATTGTTAATACAATGTCAGTTACTCTTGGTAGTCTCAAAGTACACCGATTATCCAAGTTAACCTTAACCAACAGTGTTTCAACCAATTTAGACGAGAACGATGCAAGTCCAGTTATTTGGACAATTAAATTGAACCCATTGTTGCCAATATTACTCTCTTCAACCAACTCATCAGTATCATCATCTGCAACAACAACTCTTTCATCAGCTAACTTAAATCATCCAATTGATAAACCAATAATCTCAATCCCTGAATATATTAATCATCAATCGGTAACTATCTCGATAAACTCAACATCAATTACAATTTATCAGAATCAGTACAACTCTTTTCTCACAATTAACTCTAGTACTCTAGTAACTAACCAAATGTTCAAATAACCAGAATTGTTAAGCTTAACAATCATCAACACTTACATCAATCTTAGTTTACAATATGAATTAATTTTCTCATGATGATCAGTTCTTCTTGACAATAACATTCATAACTTATTCTTGTTGCCATTTTTTAATATAATTTAATGCATAAACTACCTTCCAAATGATGATTACAACCAAATTGTGATGGCCCCTGACCAATTGATTATTGATGTTGCTAAATTATTGTTTCAGGTCCAGAGGAGCAACTCTAATCACAGTGATGTTGATTGTGTTTTACCATATCGATTTTTTGATGAACAAACATCTTATTTCAAAGATGGCAAGAGTAAAATAGGTAAGTCGCTTGTATTTAAATTGTAAATAATTTAGCTGATAATATCTGGATCCCATTTGTGCGTCTAATAGCCATTGTATGAAATAGACTTCTAATTACCAAAGACAATTGACCAACAAAAATGGACAATCAGACTTTAAGTTCATTAAGAATCCAGATTCAACATTGTTATATTATTATAATATTTTGTACACATTTTTGCACGTAAACGCAGCTTCAAGATAGGTTATTCAATGTAGGATTTATGATTAATCTCCTTTATTATCTATTTAATCCAGCATCTAACTTAATTAAGTCTAAACTTGACTTTGATCGGATAAAATTAAGCAAATAATGAGTTTAATTATTAACAATCAAATGTTAAGACCTTCTCAAGGGTAATCCAAAAAAGGCGCCATTAAATTTTGTATGATTAATGTTTTCCTTTATCTAACATGTGATTTTTGTCTTTGTTGCTTTGATAGATTATATTCTGGTTTATGAAGAGAGGACGAGATCAAATGTATCTTTTGAAACTCAAGATGAAACCATTGTTAGAGCTCGTAAAGAGCGTAAAGAGCGTAAATATCGTGAAAGATTTATCAACAATTTACGTAAAATTGGTTTGCTGATAGAGGAAGAAGTTTTACCGGGAAGATTGGAAGTTGATCTCGATGTTAGAGCCCGTAATGGATCCACGAGAAGTAACCAAAGCCGAAAAGTCAATAATGGAAACGATGTTGATGCTCAAAATTTTGCCCGATCCAGTCCAACTATTTATTTTTTCAAAATATCCATACCATGGCCAGTATTAGCTCAATATGCTGAAAAATTGAATGTCCGAGCTCCTCTTCAAGCTTATCCATCACTGTTTCACGATTGGTCCAGTAATATTTTTCGAATCTTAAAGATATCAAATCCACTTTACATTGACGTTCCCAACAAGCCATTACAGTATTTTACTTGTCCTTTCAAAATATCTAAAATTGACCGTTTCCTAAACCACGATGAACCAGATACAATTTTCACCACCAACCAACGAATTCGCCTGGTTCATGAAATACTTCAATCAACCGTTTACGGTCATAGGAAACGAGCTCAAATAGGAATTGCACGGATGCTGAATGAGGAAATTTTTACGGGCGCTTTTCCTCTACATGAAGGACCTTACAAGAGTAAAGAATACATTGATCCCAATGAAATGAACAAGCGTCAAGTTTTATATCAATACTGGGCCCGGTGGAGTTGCTGGTATAAATATCAACCTTTGGATCATGTTCAACAATATTTTGGTGAAAAGATTGCGATATATTTTGCTTGGTTAGGTGAGTAAATTTATTATTCTGTGTAAAATGAATATTGAGTAAAATAATTTTCCTCTTATAATTTCTTTTGTGTTCCTAGGTTTTTATACTAGCTGGCTTTTGCCTGCAGCAGTTGTTGGTTTACTTGTTTTTATCTATGGTGTTGCAACTATTGGCCAAGATGTTGTATCGTATGTATTCCGGAATCTATTTACACACGACTACCTAAAATTGTCCTTAACTAGAGTACTATAGTGATGAAAAATGTATCCAAAATTAACGCACAAAATCAAACATCATTTAATTCAAATTTTTACATGAATCAATATTGGAAATTGCGTTCATTTTTTTTCGTATCACAAAAAAGGGACAATTTTAGGTAGTCAAATGTATTTTCTTGGTAAGGAGTATTCGCATAGACTTTGACCTTTCAGTTAAGTTTTTGCTTTTACTCCGTTCATAAACTGTAGCTGACCAAATTGAATGGATAAAGCAACTATTCAATAAAATTGATTGTTGAAATTATCTATGAATCATTTGACCAGTTTATCTTTGCCAAAGTCAATATTTGATTCACAACTGTTCATTTATTTAACCGATAATCATTGTGTTCTTATTTAATCTCATCCTTTATTTTCTAGGAAAGAAATCTGTGAAAGTGGCACCAAATATCGAATGTGTCAAAACTGTGATGAACCTGGTTGTCCATACGAGTATATCAGTCAAACCTGTTTCTTTGCTCGACTGTCATATTTATTTGACCAACCTGGAACAGTATTTTACTCAATATTTGTCTCATTTTGGGGTAAGAAATTATTCAAATTTGTATCATTGGTTTATTTGTTTAAAAATTTTGTTTTTAGCTGTTGCTTTTCTAGAGTACTGGAAGCGTAAGAGTGCATCTCTATCTTATCATTGGGATGTGATGAGTTTTGAAGAGGAGGTAAACATCAACATAATATCTTCATTTTCATTGCTTCAAAATATAATATTTGAATATTTATTAACTATTTCTTCTTTATTTCAATTTGACAAGGAAAAATCTCGACCTGAATTTGTCGCTAGAGCACCTTTCATCAAACGAAATCCAATAACTGGTCTACAAGAGCCGAGCTTTCCAAACCGAATTCGCTATCAGCGTATGGCTGCTGGTCTCATGTTAATTGCACTAATGGTATGGACATAACATCAGAAGTACTTCAAATTTAAACTTTGTATCCATTCTAATTGATATTTTTCTCTCTCTTTCAGTTAAGTTTGGTTGTTGTTTTTGTCGTTGCCGTGATAATTTATCGTTTATTGGTATCAATACCTCTTTTTATGAACCCAAATTTATCAGGATGGGCTTCTATCATTGCAAGTTCAACTGGAGCTCTTGCCAATCTCATATTTATCATGCTTCTGAGTCCTGTTTATGAAAAATTAGCTTTCCGTTTAACTCAATGGGAAATGCATCGAACTCAAACTGAATTTGATAACCATTTGACTTTTAAAGTTTTCATCTTTCAATTTTTCAATTACTACTCATCAATATTTTATATTGCCTTCTTCAAAGGCAAGTTTATCGGCACTCCTGGTAATTATGCACAAATATTGGGATTGAGAAATGAAAATGTAAGTATCAGTATGAACAAAACTCTGCAACTGAGTGTACTTAGTACATTTACACAGATAAATATCTATATATTTCTGCTGATTCTAACAAACTTAGGGAAACTCTAATAATATTGTTAGTTATAATCAATTTTCACTGCAATTTGCTCAATACTTTTAATGTTAAATAAGGTTTACTCCATTCGGCTGCTATTTTGCTAAACAAACGAGCCATAGGGTTAATGTGAGAGGCTGACCAACAGTAAGGTTAAGTGAAGTGTGGGTGAGAGTGATATTTATTTGTTCACATATTGAATGATATTAGTTGTCTGCTCTATAAATAGTTTAGCTGATTGGTGAATGACCAATACAAATACTGTACAATATAAAAGTGTTGATTATCATTGAGCAATGTCCAATAGTCTGGTGTCTGTAAGGCAAAACAAATGTCTAACAATAGAAAAGTAAATGGAAGCTTGAAGCTTGTTGAAAGGCATCCTAATAGATGAGATGTGGAATTGGATGAAAGGGCTAAAATTGAGTAAACCTTAATCAATTTTATACAATTAAGCTTTACTCTCCAGCCTTGACAGCCTTTATTATAAAGAGTGCAAGCAATACAATTTTATTTTCAACTAGCCTCAACTCTGCAAATTTTAATATCAACAAGATTAGTTTAAGCGTCAGATGATTACAAATTTTAACTCTTCTTTTCCTTCTTATCCATCACTCTTATACCAACAACTGTAACAACAACAGTAATAATAATTAAAATACCAATAATAATACTTTTTTCAATCTACTATTTTTAGTGTTCCAATAATGGCTGCCTTGGTGAATTGGCTCAACAATTGGGAGTTATTATGATTGGTAAACAGATTATCAACAATGCCCAAGAGATATTGTGGCCTAAAATGAAAACATGGTGGCATCAGCGTCGAACTAACATACCTTCTCGAAGAGAGGGTGGAAAGGAAGGAATGACTAGATGGGAACTCGATTATTCATTGCTTCCTTATGAAGGCTTATTCGAGGAATATCTTGAGATGGTTCTTCAGTTTGGTTTCATAACAATATTTGTGGCTGCTTTCCCTTTGGCTCCTTTCTTTGCACTTTTAAACAATTGGGTTGAGATACGATTAGATGCACAAAAGTTGGTCTGTCAGACTCGTCGACCTATTCCAGAGCGAGCACAAAATATTGGCATTTGGTTTTCAATACTTACCTTTCTTGCTCAAATAGCGGTTATCAGTAATGTACGTCAAAATTTTGTAAACACACATTTTCACATTATTGATTACATTGTATTGAAAAAGCAGAGAGAAGGAAAATTTTAATCCTTTCTATTCTTGCTTTTTCATTCAACTTTTTTCTAAACATTACATGTTACTTATACTTATCATTTCTTCCTGTATTAGGCCTTTCTCATCGCATTTACATCAGACTTTTTGCCCAAACTGGTTTATTCATTTGAAAATAACTTTTCACTCCATGGTTATCTTGATTTTAGCCTTTCTTGGGCACCAGCAAATACAACATCTTTACCATGTCGGTAAGTTGTTCATTCAATTACTACCTGTTGAATGTTGACTAATTTTTTTCTGTTTTCTTTGTGTTCCAGTTATCGTGATTTTCGTGATCCAAATGGTAATCTGACGTTAACATATTGGAAATTAATGTTTGTTCGGATTGCATTTGTTTGCATCTTTGAACACGTCGTTTTTTCTGTCTCAAAATTGATCGATGTAATTGTGCCTGATGTGCCTCGACGACTGGAGGTTCAAATTAAACGAGAAAGATATTTAGCTAAGCAAGCTTTGGCTGATTCAGATACGATATTACAGGCTGCAACAGAAAAAATAGCTTCAACCATGATGAGACAAATTTCACGTCAATCAAATCATTAGTGTTCAAAGGGCCATAAGCAGTCTAAATGCATATCTGTCAACCTTTTCTGTTAAGAACAATGTTTAACGTTAAATGGGTGAATTCGGTCAAAACCTCGTTCGAGAGACGAATCTGGAATGAAATTTTTCAGGCTATATCTCATTTAATAATTGAAATAAAAGTTTTGACTTGAAACCATCAATTTCACGTTTACAAAAACCCAGCGCTCGATCATTTTGTTTTGGATTTCAGTTTACATTTTACGAACTAAATCTTCATATCACAACCGAGAGTCTTTTTGTAAATACTTTCTATTTCTAGGTCCGTGTCTTTTTGACGGCTTTTTTTACTTTTGACAGCGTAGTTTATTAGATAGTCCAGTCGGGCAGTCTTAAATATATGGAATTACTTACATGTATTTCCGCGAGCTGATATTTAATCAACAAATAAACAAGTGTTGATGATTGTTGAATCCATAAGATATAAAGATAAAGTTATTCAAAGCCTTAAAGTTAAACTGTGTTTACCTGAGCATTTGAATGGAGCCTTTTCTATGTCTAACAGTTGTAGGAAGAGTGATCAATTTAATCACAAAATATTAGTAGTTTTATTCAGGTTTTTTTATAAATAACAGAAACTAGTTTTTTCTTGAATCTTCTCTTTTACCTTTTCGCAGTTGAAGGCTTTTATTGCAACTTCCTTTATTATGATAATAAGCAAGGTCTAGTTATGTTAGGTAAGGTTACGAGCCTCTGCCTATAGCATTGAGTTGTTGTTCAATTGGTTGTTCAACAACAATATATAAGCTGAACCTTGTCCTTTGGTCACCTATACAATTGGGTAAGTTCAATTGGTTGACTGGTCAAAGAAATAAAAGGTTGTGATTAACCTGGTTATCCTTATAAGTATATCAAATAGAGTATTCTTTGTCCGATTCTCAAATTTATTTGATCACTTAATCATACTTTCAAATGCTACCTTTTTTTCTTGATATAAGAACACTATTTACACTGAAATAACACGATGAAATCAGATTTTCATTTTTTATTTGTATAGTTTTAGGGTGAGAAGTTTTGTTTGTTAGATTGATGTAATTGTGCCTGATGTGCCTCGACGACTGGAGGTTCAAATTAAACGAAAAAGATATTTAGCTAAACAAGCTTTGGCTGATTCAGATACGATATTACAGGCTGCAACAGAAAAAATTGCTTCAACCATGATGAGACAAATTTCACTTTAATCAAATCATTAGTGTTCAAAAGACAATTTATCCTCATATCATATATTTCCTCATTTCTGCAGATGCACATTACTCTTGACAATCTTACAGTATTTTTCGTTTGGAAAAGTAATTTTCTTCGCACAGATTTGAGCTTCTTAAAATTCAAGCCTTTTAATTCCTTCGTTTTCACAACAAAAAGTCCTTTTTGCGATTGAAAAAGGCGGGCTCTAAAGTTTTGTTGAACTGACACTTGTTTTACACGAGACAAAGTTTAAGTTCACAAATTGCTCATCGAAGTATCTTAAAGAATTGGAGCTAAAGATTTTTTCGATTTCAAAAAGGACGAAGGAATTCGGAAAACGAAGGAATTAAAGGGTGTGTAGATCAGAAAGGTTCAAGCAATCATTTACACAAATGTTGATAAAGAGATAAAGATGATAAAAATGAAAATACTTACTAACCTCAACACCCTTTAAAAACTTGAATTTGAAGAAGCTTAAATCTGTGCTAAGATTATGACTTTTTCATTAGAAAATATGATCAGTGAAATATTGACTTCGAAAATTGCAACACTTAAGTCGATAGCCGATTAGTTAAGAATATGGACAAACCGATTAACATAACTTCGTCTTAAAGATAAGACATTTAAAGGGTGTTACACTTAACAGCCTGCAAATATAGAAGATAACAATTAAGTTTAGTTTACATTTTTCATAAAATTTGTTGATATTGATGAAGATGAACACAGATAATGAAGCGACCTTTGAGAGGAAAAAACCTAAATGTTGATTAATTTATCAATGATATTGAAAGTTAAATGAAGTGAAAAAGTATCGATATATTATATTGTTGATTGGTCAAGTAAATAAATAACAATGTGTTTAACATTAGATAACAATAAATATTGGCCTTTTTGGTGTAACCAAAGTAACAATAAATGTTGATGAACATTAAGTTTGTCAAGAATAATGTTTATCTGAATGACTGAGGAAATGATAAATTGCTTTGAGTTTATTTTATTGCAGTAAATGGTTACAATGAAGGTTAAAGATGCTGATGATGAACACGATGAGGATAGGGAAAATATAATAGGTAAAAATGAAAGAGGAGATGAAGATGATGAGCAATTGTGTTTCCGATGAATGTTTATTTGGACCAAAAAAGGTTAGCAAAGCAAGTGTTGAATGTATGTAAGTTTCAATTGAAGGTTAACTCATCAACAGGCAATATTGACCATTGGTCATCAATAAGTCCAACTGTAAAACCTGTAAACCCTCACTTCTGCTTCTCTCTCAAAGTAACTCCTTTTTCACTTGAATAACTACTTTGCTATTTTCAGCTATAATGCAATATATGATAATAAACGCTTTAAGAGGAAGAAAAAGGGTAAACAAGAAAAGGATGATAAAAGAAGAAGAATAAGAAAAAGTATATTTTTGAGTTGGTCATTGGGAGGAGAACGAGCAGGGGGAGGATGAGAGTGAGCAAGGGAGGTCTTACATAAAAGACCTATTTTTGGTCATCCAACTTTCCATTACCATTTTGACAACTGAACGTAACTTAGTCTTGGTTTACCAGCTTTTATCTAGTTCTTAGTGAATACTGCCGTAGTGCGTTTACCAGCATTTAGAGTAATCATCATGAACACTTTTCCGAGTTTTATTCGAGTTTCAGCCCCAACACCGCCAGAATCACCATTAAACTTTGCGTAAGTTCTTACTTTTAATTTGAGTATAACCTAAGTGTACCTTGAGTATAAATTTTAACTTTATTTTGAAACTTTTTCTTTGTTAATAGAGATGGACCACTGGATTTAACTTCATCATATTCCTCATGCAAAACTCCTGAACAACTTAAAGACGAAGCTTATCGCTTGAAGAGGGACAAAAACAACATTGCTGCAAAAAAGTCTCGTGATGCTCGGCGAGCTCGAGAAGCCGCGACGGCAGTGAAAGCTGAAAGACTCAAACATCTTGTGCTTATATTAAAGACGGAAAACGAAATGTTGAGACGCAAAGTGGAGCATCTTAAAGAATCTATCAAGGAGAGACAAGTTTAATTGTATAAAATTGATTAAGGTTTACTCAATTTGAGCTCTTTCATCCAATTCCTCATCTATTTTTTGGTCAAAATAAGTGTGAATTTACTGTATATTAAAGACGGAAAACGAAATGTTGAGACGCAAAGTGGAGCATCTTAAAGAATCTATCAAGGAGAGACAAGTTTAATTGTATAAAATTGATTAAGGTTTACTCAATTTGAGCTCTTTCATCCAATTCCTCATCTATTAAGATGCCAGACAGACACCAGACTATTGGACATTTCGCAATGATAATTAAAACTTTTGTACAGTATTTGTATTGGTCATTCACCAATGAACTAAAATTATTTATAGAGCAGACAACTAATATCATTCATTAAAAAATAAATTTCACTTTCACCCAAACTTCACTTAACCCTGTCATTTTTGTGAGTTTTTTCACGTTTTGAGTTGCATCTTGATAACTATAAGTGAAAAAATGATAAATCTATTTCAGTGTGATGGAAAATACCAAAAATTATTTGAATGTCATCATAACCTTTTATTTCTTTGACCAATCAACCAATTGAACTTACCTAATTGTATAGGTGACCAAAGGACAAGGTTCAACTTATATATTGTTGTTGAATAACCAATTGAACACCAACTCAATGCTATAGGAAAAGGCTCGTAACCTTACCTAACATAACTAGTCCTTGCCTAGTAGGCAATGCCTACTATCTGTTTCTATATAATGTGCAATAGACTCATCTGGACACAGAGCAAACAATTGTAAAATTTTAGGTTAAGCTAAAAATCCAAGAATAGTTTTTACAAAATTTTAACTAACAATTGACATAATTTTATATCGAATATCATGAACAATATTAAGTTAAGTTTCATAACTGTTAACTTGGGAGCCCAATAACGCTATAAAACATCGTTATTTTATTTTTGCAAATTAGTCCAAACGATTGTCAAAGTTTATGGTCAGTTCGGGTGAGACAAAGAACAAAAATAAAAAAGATAAAAAAGAGTTGAAAATAAGAGAAATGAAGGGCGAAAAGATGCAATTATGTTTTCACTCAACTTGATATTGCCTAAAATAGATTAACTAACAAAGGGTTAAAATTGTTGACCAACATGACCAAATATACCCTTGTGCAAGGTCCAAGGTTAACCCTTCTCTCTTTTCCTTTCCTTTTTACTCTTTTTTGCACTCATAATCTTCATCTTCCATCACTGACCATAACCACTTTTAGACATCATCATCTTTCTGACCCAAGGGCTTCAAAAGCACTGTTAAGTTCAACTAAAAGAAAATGAAAAAACTCTTCATTTCTCTTACAACCCTTTCTTCATCTTTCCGTCATCTTCCGTCATCATCTGCTTCTTTTGTGTTTACATGTGTCTGCTTGACCATTACTTATGAAATATGAAAAATTGTTTGTTATCCAAATAATGGATAAAGACCAAAAGAATAGGTTAAACTGCCTAGCAAGCAATATTATTGTTATGAATTTATAAGATGTTAAATTTTATGCTGAATACATTAATTCAGTCTTTTTTTCGAATTATTTTTCGTTTTCGAGGTATCATGAAAATAGAAAATTGCATGGGGACGAGTATCACAGTAACCAAAGATGAAAACAAGCGGTCTAGGGTCATTTCAGCGGAAAGCATTTGCGTAACGGTCAACTGAGCGAAAGGCAACTGGGCACAATTCACTTGAGTGAATAAGGAATAAGTAAACTGGTAAGAAAACTGAGCCCATTAGTCCTATTAAAAAATTTCTTAAAATTAAAAAAGCGAGTTCAAAGTTGAAACTTCGATCACCTTTTGTACAGTTGTGTGACCAGATTTTTACATCAAAATCATTTCTGTATATCTTTCAATGGTCAACCAGAGAATGCACTTATTTTGTGAAATAAGATTTACAGTAATAATTAAAATACCAGTAATAATACTTGTTTCGATATACTATTTTAGTGTTCCAATAATACCTGAAATAACTTGAAACATAAATTTCACGTTCACAAAAAACCCAGCGCTCGATCATTTTCTTTTAATTTCAGTTTACATTTTACGAACTAAATCTTCAAAGCACAACCGAGAGTCTTTTTTTAAATACTTGCTATTTTTAGGATCGTGTACCGACGGCTTTTTTCTGCTTTCAACTGCGCAGTTTAGTAGATAGTCCAGTCGGTGCAATCTTAAATATATGGAATTACTTACATGTATTTCCGAAAGCTGATCAGCAAATAAAGAAGTGTTAATGATTGTTGAATCGATGGCATATAAAAAGATCAAAGTTATTCAAAGTCTTAAAGCTAAACTGTGTTTGCCTGAGCATTTGAATGGCCTTTTCTTCGTCTAAATAACAGTTGTAAGAGGTGTGATCAATTTAATTACAAAATATTATCAGTTTTTATTCAGTTTTTCATAAATAACAGAAACTAGTTTTTTCTTGGATCTTCTCTTTTACCTTTTCGCAGTTGAAGGCTTTTATTGCAACTTCCTTTATTATGATAATAAGCAAGATCTAGTTATGTTAGGTAAGGTTACGAGCCTCTGCCTATAGCATTAAGTTGTTGTTCAATTGGTTGTACAACAACAATATATAAGCTGAACCTTGTCCTTTGGTCACCTATACAATTGGGTAAGTTCAATTGGTTGACTTAGTTTTTCAACGACTTTTTCCCTTTTCCTTTCCAAAGTAATTTAAGTAAAAAAACGTTTACTTTCTCGAAAGGCTTCATAATTTTCATTCGAGCAAAAGAGTTAACTTGCTCCGAGTAGCATAGTGAGAATATGAAAGCATTCTTAGTACGCGATAAAAGACTCGATTCCAGCGCTATTATATCAATAAGATTTATTTTAAACATTTATGGTAATGAAGTATGCGAAAAACCTGTTACAATAATCAATTTGTCCATTTCAGACTAGCGTTCGGATAACTAACATTTTTTAAATTTAATAAGCAATGGTCAAGCAGACGCATGCAACACAAAAGAAGCAGATGATGGTGGAAGATGATGAAAGGATGAGGAAAAGGGTTGAAAGAAAAAGAGTTATTTCATTGCAGATAAGATGAGGAATTGAATAAAAGTGCTAGAATTTAGTAAACCTAATCAAGTTTATACAATTAACCTTTACTCTTCATCCGTGTCATATCCTTTAAGGCGTTCCACTTCTCGTCTTAGCATTTCGTTTTCCGTCTTTAAAATAAGAGCAACATACTCAAGTGTTTCAGCTTTCACTTGCGTCTGTTGCTCTCGAGCTCGTCGAGCATCACGAGACTTTTTAGCAGCTATATTGTTTTTGTCCCGTTTCAAGCGATATTCCTTGTTTTTCAATTCATCCGGAATTTTGTTTCGTTGCCGTGCGGGTGTTGATTGTGTCGTTGTTTCAGATGAACATGACAGTGACGGCGATGGAGCCGATTGATTTGAATCCGAGGGATTAACGGCAAAGTTGTTCTTACCCCGCTTAGATCGCGCAATAACTAGTTCACAATCAGATTTTTTGCCTCGCTTACGTCCGGATGTTGATGGCGATGAATGACTAAATGATGTTGATGGCATTTGGAAAGGGTATGATGGTAGTGATGGCACCTGGTAAGAGCATGATGGCAATGATAGCATAAGAGTCGGTGGTGAAGGTGATTTACTCGTGTTGGTAAGGGTTGGTGGTGAAGGTGAATTGCTTGGGTTGGAATTGGATGAAGTTAAATCCAATGGTGCATCACTGTATACAAAAGAAAGGTTAAAAATGAGGTTAATAACAAGTCATTTAATTTCAATTAAAGCTTGATACTTACACAAAGTTTCGTGGTGACTCTGGTGGGGTTGGAGCTGAAAATTTAAAACCAAAAGGAAAATGATTCATGATGATGATAACTTAAATGATGTTAAAAGGCTCAACGGCACCGAGAATACGAGACTTGTGAGCTAAGAGCCGGTAAAACAAGACAATGTTATGGTCAGTTGCCAAATAAAAATGAACAATTGAATGACCAAGAATAGTGTTCACTTCCTTTTATCCTCATTCTAGTCCGCTCCCTCTGATCACCCCTCCCTCTCTCTCTCGCATGCTACCATATATTGCATTATAGCTGAAAATAGCAAAGTGGTCAATTGGCCGATGGTCAATACTGCCTGTTGATGAGTTAACCTTCAATTGAAACTTACATACATTCAACACTGTCTTTGTTAACCTTTTTTGGTACAAATACACTTTCATCGATCGGAAACACAATTGCTTCTTCTCTTCTTTTTTCATTCTTACCTATTTCCACTATCCTCATCGTGGTCATCGCCATCATCTTTAACCTTTATTATAACCATTTACTGCAATAAAATAAACTCAAAGCAATTTATTATTTCCTCATTTGTGCAGATAAACATTATTCTTGACAAACTCAATGTTCATCAACATTTATTGTTACTTTGGTTACACCAAAAAGGCCAATATTTATTGTTATCTAATGTTAAACATTGTTATTTATGTACTTGACCAATCAACAATATAATTTGGACACTTTTTCACTTCATTTAACTTTCAATATCATTGATGAATTAATCAACATTTAGGTTTTTTCCTTTACTTTCAAAGGTCAATTCCAGTGTATATGGTTTGTCTTATAATATTTGATTGCATTGAGACTTACACACAGACTGCATATGGTTAAACACCAAATAAACGTCTTATCATTATTCCGATACTATGTTAATCGGTTTGCACATACCCTTAACTCATCGACTATTGACTTAAGTGTTTCAATTTTTAAGTCAACATATTTATCAGTGATTAGTTGTTTTAGCAAAAAACTTTCAAAAATCATCTAGTTTTCATTATTTAAATTATTAATTTCTGTTTTTACATTAATTAACTAATCATTACCAATGCATGATAAAGGCAATGATATCATGCTACAGTTAATAATAAAATGCTATGATGGTAAGTGCTTCCAATGAACAAAACTAGAATATATTAATTTTAGAATATATTAAGTTTACGGTAACTCTTACGGTCACAGAAAACGGAAAGTCTAACTGAAAACCGAACTCGTCTGTTGCACAGAAAACGAAAACAAGTTTTCCCAGAATAAGTGCTTTTTTGGTTCTCCAACAAAGGTTGGTCCAACTTGACCAATTTTTAAGCTCTTAAGATATAAGCTGCAAGTGTTGAATATGATTATTGTGATGACGGAAGGATGAAATAGGGTGAAGAAAGAAGTGAACTTTTCTCATTCTCTTTCACTGGAATTTAACCGCGTTTTAGAAGCCCTTAGGCCAAGAAGATGATGATGTCTAAAAGTGGTTATGGTCAGTGATGGAAGATGAAGATTATAATGAGGCAAAAAAAGAGTAAAATGGAAAGGAAAAGGAAAGGAAAAGAAAGAGAAGGGTTAACCTTGAACCTTGCACAAGGCTATATTTGGTCATATTGGTCAACAATGTTTACCCTTTTGTTAGCCAACCTGTTCCCGGCAAAATGTTGAGTTGAGTGAAAATATAATTGCACCTTTCGTCCTTTGTCTCCGTCTTCGTCTTCGTCGCAACTCTTTTTCCTTCTTTTGTATCCTACTCAGTGAACAAAAACTTCAGACTTGATCAGTCATTTTTTAATCAAAATGGTGGCAAAGACATAGTCATTGCCAGACATAGACATAGGCGTCAACATACTCGAATACATCGATCATGATAATATTTGGCTGGCTTAGATGGCATCTCATCATGTTTGAAAGTACATAAATGCATAGCTTAATCTGGTTTTTTACAATTTCCACCATGTTTGGCTATTTTCTCAGGAACCAAACCAACACCATATTATTCACCATACTTCATTACATTGATTATGTCAATATTAGGCTTAGACGGCATCCTCATTATATTTAAAAGGACGCTGATACTATGGTATTTAGATCTCATTTAGATCAGATCAGATTTCATTTCTCAAAAATAATGCCGAGTCTCTCGCCAACTCCGGATAAATCTGAGAAAAATATTTTTAGTGACCCAAGCTGCTTTGCTTGATGTAAGTAAAACATCTTTTTGTTTCGATTCATTCAATCTATAATACCTCTGAACGAAAGAGGATTTTTTGATTCAGTTATTACTAAAGGTGTCAACTTCTCTCCGACTTGATTGCACCTGAGTAATATTGTTCCTCTTTCCTTGTTAATCTTGTTACCGAAATTTTTGTTTTTCTTGGTGAAAAATGAATTTGCAGGTAATTGTCAATAGACGTTGTCACAGATTAGTTAAGAATTTTTGTCAACAATTCCAAAAGTAAGTAAAATATAATATTTATCAATACATGCGATTCAGTTTGCAATAATTACAACTTACTTTTTTATTTTACCCTTTTCTTCAGTAGCTTTACTGTAAATTTGGACACAAAGAAATGAATGAAAAAATGGTGTTTACTCTATTAACATGACATTTTGAGAGTGTGACATTATTCGAGGTTTGACAGTAATGAAAAACAAATGTCTAACAATAGAAAAGTAAATGGAAGTTTGAAGCTTGTTGAAAGGCATCCTAATAGATGAGATGAGGAATTGGATGAAAGGGCTAAAATTGAGTAAACCTTAATCAATTTTATACAATTAAGCTTGTCTCTCCTTGATAGATCCTTTGAGATGTTCCACTTCGCGTCTCAACATTTCGTTTTCCGTCTTTAATATGAGCACAATATGCTTGAGTCTTTCAGCCTCCTCTTTCGTAGCTTCTTCTCGAGCACGCCGAGCATCACGGGACTTTTTTGCAGCAATATTGTTTTTGTCCCTCTTCAAGCGATAAGCTTCGTCTTTAAGTTGTTCAGGAGTTTTGTTTTTTCGGCATTCGGATGTGAATGAGGGTGATGGGGAATATGATGGTAAAGATGGCGTTCGGCTTGGGGGTGAAGGTGAATAACTCATGTTGGAATATGATGAAGTTAAATCCAGTGGAACATCACTATTAACAAAGAAAGGGTTTCAAAATGAGGTTAAAACTCACACTCAATGTATACTCAGGTTATACTAAAATTAAGAGTAAAAACTTACGCAAAGTTTAATGGTGATTCTGGTGGTGTTGGTGCTGAAACTCGAAAAAAACTCGGAAAAGTGTTCATGATGATTACTCACAGTGATGGTGAAACGCTCTACGGCAGTGATCACTATTACTAAGAGACTTGCGAGCTACAAGCTGGTAAACAAGACACAGTTATGGTCAGTTGCCAAAATAGTAATGGGCAGTTGGATGACCAAGAATAGTGTTCACTTCTTTCATTCCCAGCCTTTCTTACTCACTCTCATCTTCCATCCTCTGCATATCTCCATCCTCCTCTTCTCAATGACCAACTCAAAAATATACTTTCATAAAAATTTACCTTGTGCTGATTTTTTATGCTGATTTCAATAATATAAATGATTTTTGGTCAGAGTTACCATTCAAAAGATGTTCATGAAAAATAAAGAAATTTGAGGATAGAAGAACGCAAAAAAGGGTAAAACTGTTTCGAGTTTAATTTGTGAATATTTGACTTATTTCGAACCATTTGTTTTGATTTTTCATTTCAAATATGAAATCAGTATTGCTCATTGTATCTATGATAGGAATATCATTGGGCGTCTCAACTTGGACATGGTTATCCAACAAAAACTTGATTTCCGGGAAAGTTTTGACTATTTTTTGAAATTGTAGTTTATTCATATGCTAAAATTTTTTCAGAACCCATTCAATATGGGAAAAATATTGACTTTAAATTGGATGGATGAAATATGGGGAAGAAAACTGTTATTTATAACAATCTTTTGTCAAATCCGTTTGTTTGTCCATCTCAGTGCAGCATTTGGATAACAAACAATTTTTCATATTTCATAAGCAATGGTCAAGCAGACACATGCAAACACAAAAGAAGCAGATGATGACGGAAGATGACGGAAAGATGAAGAAAGGGTTGTAAGAGAAATGAAGAGTTTTTTCATTTTCTTTTAGTTGAATTTAACAGTGCTTTTGAAGCCCTTGGGTCAGAAAGATGATGATGTCTAAAAGTGGTTATGGTCAGTGATGGAAGATGAAGATTATAATGATGCGAAAAAGAGTAAAAATGAAAGGAGAGAAGGGTTAACCTTGGACCTTACTCAAGCTATATTTGGTCAGCAATTTTTATGGTTGCATTTATTTCTTGTCTAATTTTGTAGCTTATGTTAGTTGATACAATCAGAAGTTAATAGACATAAAATTTACAAGTTTCATATCATGCCATTCCAAGCTTATAAAAATACCGAAGATACCTTCTAATGAGTGCATCTTGTCGTATAGCAACAAAAAGAAATGTATTTTGAAATTTTCACGATAAACACAAGAATAAGTGACAATAAAAGTTATACAGAATAATATTTTATTTATAGATCAATATAATGAACATTAATATATATATAGAGATATACATTAATAGATAATTTAATGGTCGGAAGTGTTTTGCAGCATTTGACGAAGAAACTTATCAATAGGTGTATCTCCAATGAACGTGAAAAGAAAGGAAGTTGAAGGCATTTAAGGCCAATGGATCGAAGAGCGGGTAAATGAAGTAAATCGACTGGCTTGTTCAGGATGAGTTGTTTTAAAATAATCTTCAAGAAATGTATAAACTTTGTCCATTAACAGTTGAATTTGAGTAATTGATTTTAAATGTTTAGCTTCGGGATTGAAAAGTTGTTTGTGCATGGAATGGGGTTAAATACCTTATTATGACTGGTTGTATTTGATTGCGATTGGTTGCTGGCTGACTTCGACCTATAACATTATGAAACTTTTATTGCATTTGACTCCCGTCCCGCAGCCGTTGGATCTCTTTGCGTAGCATTTTGTTCTCGGTTTCGTACATAAGTACGACCTTTTCCAAATGCTTGGCCTTCAGAGCTGTTTGCTCTTCACGTGCGCGTCTAGCATCTCTAGATTTCTTGGCAGCGATATTATTTTTATCCCGTTTACGTCTGTATTCATCTGAATTTTTGTCAACTGGATCTGATTGTCTGTTTTTTTTCGCCGTTGGTGAAGGAGAAACTGATGGTAGAGATTCCGTTATGCTCATTTGTGAAGAGCTATCGCTATATGTTGCAGACAAATCAAATCGATATTCGGGGACTTTTCGCTTGCATGGAACAGATCCTTTTTTTCGTGACGATGTTGATGTTGAAGGAGAAATTGCGGGAAAAGATGGAACAAAATTCGATGTCGAAGGAAATGATGGAACGAAATTCGAAGTTGATGGAATTGATGGAACAAAGGTTGATGTCGAAGGGAATGATGGGACAAAAGACGAAGTCGAAGGAATTGATGGAACCGTGCTTGATGTCGAAGGGAATGAGATGGAGTTGGATGATGTTGCTGTTAAGTCCAGTGGCGAATCGCTGTTAACAAAAAAGAGTTAAAAAGTTAATGTTAAAACCTGTAATTTGATTCAAATGAAAAAGTTAAACTTACACAAAATTTTGGGGCGATTCTGGTGGTGTTGGTGCTGAAGCTCCTAAGTTGAAAAAATTTCCGGTGTTCATTATGTACTGAGTTTCCAGTGAATCAAAACTGATTGAAAATAAATTAAAGATGATGAGATGATTACTCAAATTGATGGTAAAATGCTCTACGGTAGGATTGTTACTGAGCTAAGAGTGCAGTTGGTGAACCAAGACCAAGACGAGTTATGTTCAGTTGCCAAAATGGTAATGGGCAGTTGGATGACCAAGAATAGGTCCTTTATGTCTAGCCTCACTTGCTCACTCTCATCCTCCCCCTGCCCGTTCTCCTCCCAATGACAGACTCAGAAATATATTTTTTCTTCTTTTCTCATCCTTTTCTTGTTTACCCTTTTCCTTCCTCTTGAAGCATTATTATCATATATTGCATTATAGCTGAAAATAGCAAAGTAGTTATTCAAGTGAAAAAGGAGTTACTTTAAGAAGCAGAAGTAAGGTTTACAGGTTTAGCAGTTGGACTTATTGACGAGATGGCCAATGGTCAGTATTGCCTGTTGATGAGTTAACCTTCAATTGAAACTTACATACATTCAACACTGTCTTTGTTAACCTTTTTTGGTCCAAATAAACACTCATCGGAAACACAATTGCTTCTTCGTTTCTTTTTTCATTCTTACCCTTTCCACCATTCATCGTGGTCATCGCCATCATTTTTAACCTTTATTATAACCATTTACTGCAATAAAATAAACTCAAAGCAATTTATTATTTCCTCAGTTATTCAGATAAACATTATTCCTGACAAACTTAATGTTCATCAACATTTATTGTTACTTTGGTTACACCAAAAAGGCCAATATTTATTGTTATCTAATGTTAAACATTGTTATTTATGTACTTGACCAATCAACAATATAATTTGGACACTTTTTCACTTCATTTAACTTTCAATATCATTGATAAATTAATCAACATTTAGGTTTTTTCCTTTACTTTCAAAGGTCAATTCCAGTGTATATGGTCTTACAGTATACGATGAAGCGATGAAGAGAAAGTATCTTCGCCTTTCTAATACATTTTAGTCCATTATTGTGGGCGGTGCCCACTGCCTAATAACTACATCCTAACCCTGTATGATTACATTCAGACTGACATAGTTCATTGAATGCCAAATAAACGTCTTATCATTATTCCGATACTATGTTAATCGGTTTACACACATTTTAACTCATCGACTATTGACTTAAGACTTTCAATTTTTAAGTCAACATATTTATCAGTGATTAGTGGCTTTATCAAAAAACTTTCAGCCATCATCTAGTTTTCATTATTAGAATTGTTATTTTTTTGTTCTGGCTTTGCTTAGCTAATCAGCATTAGTAAATGATATTGTTATTGCTTAAAAATATATCCAAGAATATATCAGTGATCATATACTTATGGATTACAGGGTGGCGAGAAAGTTTATGAGCTTAAGGAACACCCATTCGAAACCGATTTTAATCTGTTCAAATCTAGGAACAATGTGTTCATATTAGACGCTCTTTCTATACTCATATTTATCAGCCCCTCTGCACATCAAATTTCTCGTCACCCTGTATTTGTAGAGCTGACACGGAGTTGAGAGCTGAGTAGCTCATGGATTATCATTTATAAACAATAAGATTTTAAGAGCAAAAATATTTTTTTTGAATAAAAATCACTTACGTCTAGCACTTGTTAGTAACAGTTATTTCTAGTGCAATATGATAACAAGTGGAACTCTGATCATGAATCATAGCAAAAACTTATTTTTAAGAAAGTTTTCAGGCTATATCTCGGTGAATAATTAGAATAAAAAGTTGTAAATTGAATCAGCTTTTTATCTTATAACCAGAGCTTGAGATCATTTCGTTTTTGAGTTGTTTTAGCGAAACTTAATTTACAAATCACACTCGAAAATCTTTTTTAACGGCTAGAAATACTTTTTAGTTACTGTTACTTAACTGTTAGTTACAGGCCCAACGGCTTTAAAAATGTTGTACCAACGCTTGTTCAGATACAGCATTTCTTCGTGATTTTAGTCGAGTTTTCATTAGCTTTATTCAGTTGTCATAAGATTTACAAAAGGTTGTTAATCAAGTTTTCAAAAGGATTGGTCAAAAACCTTTCTCTTGTTGGACTCACAGTTTAGAAGTCTCTTTTTGAACTAGCAATAATTAGTCAAAAATTTTCAATTCATTTTTGTATTTTTAAGATGTCTTTTTCACCTAAAAATTATTTCTAATTAAAATTACTCTCCTCCATTGCTAAACTTATTTAAACAAATTTTTTAAAATTTCAATTGTCTTCTGAATTGTGAGTCCAACAAGAGAAAGGCTTTTGACTGATTCTTTGAAAACTTGACTAAATCTTTGACAACTGGCTAAAGCTAATAAAAAAATCTTCAGTAAGCTTGCCATCTACGATTTGACCATATCTAATGAAAACTCGACTAAAAACACTCACAATGCTGTAAGATGGAATTTTTTTGTACTAACTTCAATGTACTCTATTTTTTAGTATATTATTTGATTTTATCTGAACAAACGTTGAACAATTTCATGTTGTGAATTTATTCATCTTCAATTGGATGGATAAATATGGGAAAAAGATGTTATTTATAATAAGCTTTTGTCAAATCCGTTTGTTTGTCCATCTCAGTTTAGCATTTGGATAACAAACAATTTTTCATATTTCATAAGCAATGGTCAAGCGGACACATGCAAACACAAAAGAAGCAGATGATGACGGAAGATGATGAAAGGATGAGGAAAAGGGTTGAAAGAAAAATGAAGAGTTTTTTCATTTTCTTTTAGTTGAATTTAACCGTGCTTTTGAAGCCCTTGGGTCAGAAAGATGATGAGGTCTAAAAGTGGTTATGGTCAGTGATGGAAGATGAAGATTATAATGAGGCGAAAAAGAGTAAAAAGGAAAGGAAAAGAGAGAAGGGTTAACCTTGGACCTTGCACAAGGGTATATTTGGTCATGTTGGTCAACAATTTTTACCCTTTGTTAGTCAATCTATTTTAGGCAATATCAAGTTGAGTGAAAACATAATTGCATCTTTTCCGCCTTTTCTTTCCCTTCTTCTCAACTCTTTTTTATCTTTTTATTTTTGTTCCTTTTCTCACCCGAACTGACCATCATCTTTGACAATCGGTTGCCGTAATTTGCACAAAAAAATAAAACATTGTTTTATTGCATTATAGACTTGGAATCGGCAAGTAAACAGTTATAAAACTTTAACTTAAGCTACTAATCCAAGAACAGTTTTTTCAAAATTTAATATTGAGTATCATGAATAAGTAAAAAGACCATTTTATTGCGATTTTCAATAATTCCATCTGAATTTAAAAACGATACATTATTCTGATTGAATTATCGATCTGATTTTTTAAATCAACGCTAAAAGGATGAGAAACGGTGGTCTTTTACTTGTTATTCATGATCCTCAATATTAAATTTTGTAAAGTCCCCGGCCAACTCTTGGTTAAAATTTGAAAAAACTATTCTTGGATTAGTAGCTTTACCTAAAATTTTACAATTATTTGCTCTAGTGTCCAAATGAGTCTACTGCACATTATATAGAAACAGATAGTAGGCATTGCCTACTGAGCAAGGTCTAGTTGTTAGGTAAGGTTACGAGCCTTTTCCTATAGCATTGAGTTGGTGTTCAATTGGTTGTTCAACAACAATATATAAGTTGGACCTTGTCCATTGGTCACCTATACTATTAGGTAAGTTCAATTGGTGACTGGTCATAGAAATAAAAGGTTGTGATCTGGATGTTGTTGTTGGATTCAATATTGTTGGTACCTTGACATCACTCTCAAATAGATTCATCATTGTTTCCCATATAAAGATGCGGCTCAAAGCAGGGAAAAAACTCATGAAAATGACAATAGTTTTGCATTAATAAAGTTCGTATGCAACAAGTTGAAAGCTGAATTTAGCGAGCTCAGTGGCATGCATCTTGGTGATGAACACCACAGTAGAGTCTCTCTTACAAGGGAAACCCCACGAGATGCTGCAAACCGATTTGAATGAGTCGGGTGTCATTCGATAGAGAATGATGAGTGTTTTTCTGCAAATTCAATGGTTTTTGAGATATTTGAGATAAAAAATCGGACATTTTTATTGAATCATAATTAAAAGAGAGATTAAATGTGACTTTAAGGTTAGCTCACTGGTTAAAGGTGTAAGTGTAATTATGGAGGTTTTGGGTTCAATTCTCGTTCAATTTTACATTTTTTGAATTTCTAAATTGATTGGCTTTAATTGTTTTTTGGTTTATATTTTATTAGAGCCTCAACTCATTGGAAAACCCAAATGAAAAGCCGCTGCCACCGAACGCTTCACAAGATGAACCCAATCCCTCGACTTATGAATCTTCTAAGGTGGGTTTTCGATTAGACTCAATCAAACAAGACAATTCAATTTTCTAATTTTCCTTTTATGCATTTATTTCAGAAAATCATGAACTGTTGTGAAAAATTCCATGATTTCTCTATTGTGCAAGAAATACAGATAGATTTATGGTCTTGTTAATTACCAGCAATGTTATGAAACTTATAAATATCTACTTCTTAATAAAGAATATCCATTGTAAGAAAAATTGGTTCTTAATCAGTTTTGAGGTGGATTAGAACCTATCAATCGACATTGGTTACGATGACGCTTACAATTTTTTTTGCAAAATCTTGATATAAGAATACTGTTTAAACTGAAATAAAAAATGCAAATCAGATTTTAGTTTTTTATTTACCTGTTTACTTCTCGTCCTCTTCTTGTTTACCCTTTGCCTTCCTCCTCAACCGTTTATTATCATACAGTATATTGCATCACTGAAAATAGCAAAGTAGTTATTCAAGTGAAAAAGGAATTACTTTGAGAAGAAGTAAGGTTTAACAGTTGGACTTATTGACGAGATGGCCAATGGTCGCTACTGCCTGTTGATGAGTTAACCTTCAATTGAGAATTACATACATTCAACACAGTCTTTCTTAACACTTTGCTGGTCAACATAAACATTGATCTGAAACACAATGTCTTCTTCTCTTCTTTATTCATTCTTACCTTTCATTCTCACTCTTTCCTCATCGTGGTCATCGACATTATATTCATTGTTATCTAATGTTAAACATTGTTATTTATGTACTTGACCAATCAACAATATAATATATCGACACTTTTTCACTTCATTTAACTTTCAATATCATTGATAAATTAATCAACTTTTAGGTTTTTTCCTTTGCTTTCAAAGGTCAATTCCAGTGTATGTGTGGTTTGTCTTATTTGATTTAATATTTAATATTTGATTGCATAGAGACTGCCATAGATGGTTGAGTACCAAATGAACGTCTTATCATTAAACTGATATTATTGTGATACGTTTGCACATACCCTTAGTTCATCGACTATTGACTTAAGTGTTTCAATTTTTAAGTCAATATCTTTATCAGTGATTAATTGTTTTATCGAAAAACTTTCAAAAATCATCTAGTTTTCAGTATTTAAATCATTAATTTCTAATTAATACAGACTTGTAATGAAATGAAGGTTCAACCTTGGACCTTGCACAAGGGTATATTTGGTGATATTGGTCAAAAATGTTTAACAATGTTTCACAATGAAATAAAAACAGTATAATTCAATAAAACTGACAGTCAATCAATTGTCCAAATAATTTGAAACTCATTTAATCAGTTTTATGATGTTTTCTGGACAAAAATTCATTACAATCAATATTTTGTATGAACTACATCAGCGCCAACAGCCGAATGAATGCTAGTTGTCATTGAATTGATGAGGAAAGTTATGAAATCTAATGATATTTCTATGTAGTTTTTTAGAAATGATGACTGCAATTAAAATTGAATAAATGGCCAATTATGAAATTGTGCATCACAATCTACATGTCTATTGATTCCCTATGATCTGATCTGCGAGATGCAAAAAAATTTTGGTTTCAATTCATCGTCTGATCGAAAATCCCAATTGAACGTAAGACTGTCAGTTTTTTTGAATTATACTGTAGTTTCCAGGATTTTTATTCGGTTAAACCTTCTGTTAATGATTTAAAGATAAGATTAAAGTAATTAGAACCCAATTTTTATTGATAACAGGCCTTGGCATAGACAATGGATCTTCTCAGCTAATGGAAATTAAATTAATTGAATCGAGCGATTCACTTTTAATGGCTATTGCAAACAAAAGCCGTTAAAAGAGTCTAATTGTCGCGACTAATTGGTGTAATTGGAAACCTGTAAGCTAGTTTTAAGTGGAATAAACTTGTATTGCATTTATTAGCTTATTCACATTTGTTAGCGATTAAATTTACAGCCAATCTCATGCGAAATTTTCGGTTTGGTATTAATCTGCAAAACAAACAATGTTTAAGGTCCCAGTTGAAAGCCTTTTCCTTGACTAATTTGAGACAAAAAGGGTAAGACTGTCTTAATTCATATACAGTATAATTCAAAAACTGACAGTCAATCAATTGATCGTCACTCAGTCAGTAATTGATAAAATAATTTGAAACTTAATCAGTTTTATGATGTTTTCTGGACAAAAATTCATTACAATCAATATTTTGTATGAACTACATCAGCTCCAACAGCCGAATGAATGCTAGTTGTCATTGAATTGATGAGGAAAGTTATGAAATCTAATGATATTTCTATGTAGTTTTTTAGAAATGATGACTGCAATTAAAATTGAATAAATATGTTATAAATAACATCTTTTGTCTAGTCCGTTTGTTTGTCCATCTCAGTACAACGTTTGGATAACAAACAATTTTTCATATTTCATAAGTAATGGTCAAGCAGACACATGCAAACACAAAAGAAGCAGATGATGACGGAAGATGATGAAAGGATGAGGAAAAGGATTACCAGAAAAATCTGATTTCAACTTTTTATTTCAGTTTAAACAGTATTCTCATAGCAAGATTTTGCAAAAAAAAATTGTTGAGTAAGATGTAATTCACCGTAACTAATGTCGATTGAAAGGTTCTAGTCCACCTCAAAACTGATTAAAAACCAATTTGTCTTACAATTAATTTGTAAAAAGACTTTTTACTAAAATGCGAAACAATCAGATTTTCACGCTCTTGTCAATTAGCAGCTACAACTAATTATCAGCTACAGGCAAAATACTTTGTAATAATGAAAAATTTACCTTTATCTTAACTGTCTCTCTTAGTCTAACGCATTGAACTAAAAAATTAAGAGCCTAAGAATGCGTTAGACTAACGGGACTAAGTGAGCCCCACGACATGCCTCAAACCGATTTGAACGAGTCAGGTGTCAATCGATAGAGAATGATGAGTGTAACTATGGAGGTTTTGGGTTCAATTCTCGTTCAATTTTACATTTTTTGAATTTCTAAATTGCTTGACTTGTTTGAGTATCGATAATTAAATTTCAACTTCATTGATTTTTCCATCTCAAATTATGCAAAAATGTCTCAAAAACTGTACAAAATATGAAAGAATGGATTCACTAGAGCGATTGAATGCAACAGTTAATTAATGTTTGCTCGAAAAACACAAAACTCTTTGTTTGCAGAACGACAAACGATTTTGATGCTCAATTTTGTTCACTGTTGATGAGTTTTTAATATTGATAATGATGAAAATAGTAATACTTTATTACAATTGATGATATATAGTGATAGAGTAGCAATTTAATTATGGATTTATTATTAAGTGGTCGGAAGTGTTTTACATCATTTGACAAACAAACTTATTAATAAATGTATCTCCAGCATGAAAAGATGTTCAAGGTATCGCAGGCCAATGGATAAACGAAGCAAAAGTTCAGGGGTCCGAATAGGTCACAAAAATATAGTATTTGCTTTGACCATTCAATCTTAGTGAATGACCAATACAAATACTTTACAAAAAATTATTTATTATAATTGAGCAATATCCAAGTGTCCAGAGTCTGTTAGACAAAAAAAATGTATTAAAATGACTGGAGACTTGACCTTGTTGAAAGACATCGTAATAAATGGGATTAGAAATTCAAGAAAAGGCAAAAGATTTAAAAAATCTTAATGAAGTCAATAAAATTCTATATAAAATTATGCTTCGTCCATGCCTTTAAGATGTTCCACTTCACTTTCGTTTTCTCTGTATAACATAATCGCAATATATTCCGCTCGAGCTAGTCGAGCTTCGCGCGCCTTTTTTGCAAATATAATGTTTTTTTTTCGCTGTGAGCGATAATCACTGTCTCTAAGTTGATCTGGAACTCTGGTTCTTTTCATTATAGACGCTAAAGATACACGTGGAGGTGTGGGCAATGGAGCCCATCGGTTTGAATTCAAGTGATTTGCGGTAATGTTTTCCTTGGTCCGCTTCGTTCGAGCAGCAACTTCTTCAAGATCATCAGATTTTTTGTTTTTCTCGGGTCTGGTTGTTGATGGCGATGCGTGAGCAAATGATGTTGAAGGCATTTGATAAGAGCATGATGGTAATGATGGCATCTGGTAAGAGCTTGATGGTGAAATATGGCATAAAGATAGCATGAGAGTTGGTGGTGAAGGTGATCTATGTGCGTTGGTAAGGGTTGGTGGTGAAGGTGAATTGCTTGATGAAGGTAAATTCAATGGTGCAGCACTGTGTACAAAAGAAAGGTTAAAATGAGATTAATAACAAGTCATTTGATTTCAATTAAAATTGATACTTACACAAAGTTTCGTGGTGACTCTGGTGGGGTTGGAGCTGAAAATTTAAAACCAAAAGGAAAAGGATTCATGATGATGATAACTTAAATGATGTTAAAAGGCTCAACGCCACCGAGAATACGAGACTTGAGCTGAAAGCTGATAAAATAAGACTATATTATGGTCAGTTACAAATTGTAAAGACAATTGGAGGATCAAGTAAAGTACTCACTTCTTTTATTCCTGGCCACCCTTGCTCACTCTCATCTTCCCCCTCCTCTCCCCTCTCTCTCTGCTCAATGACCAACTCAATACACTTTTTCTTATTCTTCGTCTTTTCTCATCCTCTTCTTGTTTACCCTTTGCCTTCCTCCTCAACCGTTTATTATCATAGATTGCATTATAGCTGAAAATAGCAAAGTAGTTATTCAAGTGAAAAAGGAGTTACTTTAAGAAGCAGAAGTAAGGTTTACAGGTTTAACAGTTGGACTTATTGACGAGATGGCCAATGGTCAATACTGCCTGTTGATGAGTTAACCTTCAATTGAAACTTACATACATTCAACACTGTCTTTGTTAACCTTTTTTGGTCCAAATAAGCACAATCGCTTCTTCTCTTCTTTTTTCATTCTTACCTATTTCCAGTAGCCTCATCGTGGTCATCGCCACCATCTTTAACCTTTATTATACTTTACTGCAATAAAATAAACTCAAAGCAATTTATTATTTCCTCAGTTATTCAGATAAACATTATTCTTGACAAACTTAATGTTCATCAACATTGATTGTTACACCAAAAAGGCCAATATTTATTGTTATCTAATGTTAAACACTGTTATTTATGTACTTGACCAGCCAACAATATAATTTGGACACTTTTTCACTTCATTTAACTTTCAATATCATTGATAAATTAATCAACATTCAGGTTTTTTCCTTTGCCTTCAAAGGTCAATGCCAGTGTATATGGTTTGTCTTATAATATTTGATTGCATTTAGACTGACACACAGACTGCATATGGTTCAACACCAAATAAACATCTTATCATTATCCCGATACTATGTTAATCGGTTTGCACATACCCTTATCTATTCGACTATTGACTTAAGACTCAAGGCTTAATAAAGATGGAAGTATTGAAATCAGAATAAAATGGCCTTTTTACTTGTTGTTCACGATCTTCAATATTATTAATAAATTTTGTGAAAGTCCCCGGTCAATTCTTGGTTAAAATTTTGAAAAAAACTATTCTTGGTTTAGTAGCTTAAGTTAAAGTTTTAAACTGTTTACTTTAGTGTCCAAATGAGTCCAAACCAGTGTATTTTGCTAATGAGACCCAATCTATTAATGATTTAATGTTAAATAAGGTTTACTCCATTCGGCTGCTATTTTGCTAAACAAACGAGCCATAGGGTTAATGTGAGAGGCTGACCAACAGTAAGGTTAAGTGAAGTGTGGGTGAGAGTGATATTTATTTGTTCACATATTGAATGATATTAGTTGTCTGCTCTATAAATAGTTTAGCTGATTGGTGAATGACCAATACAAATACTGTACAATATAAAAGTGTTGATTATCATTGAGCAATGTCCAATAGTCTGGTGTCTGTAAGGCAAAACAAATGTCTAACAATAGAAAAGTAAATGGAAGTTTGAAGCTTGTTGAAAGGCATCCTAATAGATGAGATGAGGAATTGGATGAAAGGGCTAAAATTGAGTAAACCTTAATCAATTTTATACAATCAAGCTTGTCTCTCCTTCATAGATCCTTTGAGATGTTCCACTTCGCGTCTCAACATTTCGTTTTCCGTCTTTAATATGAGCACAATATGCTTGAGTCTTTCAGCCTCCTCTTTCGTGGCTTCTTCTCGAGCACGCCGAGCATCACGAGACTTTTTTGCAGCAATATTGTTTTTGTCCCTCTTCAAGCGATAAGCTTCGTCTTTAAGTTGTTCAGGAGTTTTGTTTTTTCGGCATTCGGATGTGAATGAGGGTGATGGGGAATATGATGGTAAAGATGGCGTTCGGCTTGGGGGTGAAGGTGAATAACTCATGTTGGAATATGATGAAGTTAAATCCAGTGGAACATCACTATTAACAAAGAAAGTGTTTCAAAATGAGGTTAAAACTTATACTCAAGGTATACTCAGGTTATAATCTGATTAAAAGTAAAAACTTACGCAAAGTTTAATGGTGATTCTGGTGGTGTTGGTGCTGAAACTCGAAAAAAACTCGGAAAAGTGTTCATGATGATTACTCACAGTGATGGTAAAACGCTCTACGGCAGTGATCACTATTACTAAGAGACTTGTGAGCTACAAGCTGGTAAACAAGACACAGTTATGGTCAGTTGCCAAAATGGTAATGGGCAGTTGGATGACCAAGAATAGTGTTCACTTCTTTCATTTTCAGCCTTCCTTACTCACTCTCATCTTCCATCCTCTGCATATCTTCATCCTCCTCTTCTCAATGACCAACTCAAATATATACTTTTTCTTATTCCTCTTCTTCTTTTCTCATCCTCTTCTTGTTTACCCTTTGCCTTCCTCCTCAAGCATTTATTATCATATATTGCATTATAGCTGAAAATAGCAAAAAAGTTATTCAAGTGAAAAAGTAGTTACTTTGAGAGGCAAGCAGAAATAAGGTTTACAGGTTTAACAGTTGGACTTATTGACGAGATGGCCAATGGTCAATACTGCCTGTTGATGAGTTAACCTTCCATTGAGACTTACATACATTCAACACTGTCTTTGTTAACCTTTTTTGGTCCAAATACACACTCATCGATAGGAAACACATTTGCTTCCTCTCTTCTTTTCATCTTCTTCTTTATCATCCTTACCTTTTCTACCTCATCGTGGTCATCGTCATCATCTTTAACCTCTATTATAACTATTTACTGCAATAAAATAAACTCAAAGCAATTTATTATTTCCTTAGTTATTCAGATAAACATTATTCTTGACAAACTCAATGTTCATCGACATTGATAGTTACACCAAAAAGGCCAATATTTATTGTTATCTAATGTTGAACATTGTTATTTATGTACTTGACCAATCAACAATATAATTTGGACACTTTTTCACTTCATTTAACTTTCAATATCATTGATAAATTAATCAACATTCAGGTTTTTTCCTTTACTTTCAAAGGTCACGTCGAGTGTATATGGTGTATCTTCTTTGATTTGTAATAGTAAACATCAGTGGATTCAATTTTCATTTAGAATCTTTCCTTGCTGCTCATTAATCCTTTTTGTTAAATGTTTAATTTTGTTTAATTATCTTCAACAATTAACTTAAGTCATTTCCAACTAAAACCATATTGTTGGCTAAGAAAAGAAAAGAAGGTTTAGATTTAACAAGGATAAGGACTCTCATTTTTAATGGTTAATAATTAGCTATAATTGTGTCAAGAATTTAATTTTAAAATTTCTAAAAGATTGGTAGACTGATCTATTGTTGTATTGTTCTTGTTCTCCAGCGCCAGGAACAATTGTTCTTTGCTCTGTTCCGTTTTTTTGCTCCGAAAAAATCGGAACTAGGAACAACCTAGGAACAGAGCAACCCAAATCTAGAACAGAAAAAAAAACAAAGGTGACGCAATAAAATGCTAAATGTGTGCCTAAAGTAACCCTATTTCCTAGTAAAGTAATCCTAGAGGGATTCAAGTCAAACCCTATTTTGGTCAAAATCTGTTGATAAATTAAAATTTTCACAAAAATTTGTTCTCAGTTTTAGTGTTTTGTTCCGATTTGTACTTTTCTTGTTTTTGTTCTTGTTCTCGATTTTAACTAGGAACATTTTTTGTTCTTGTTCCTTGAAAATATTGGAACAATACAACACTAGACTGATCAAAATCTAATAAAATTAATCTAAAAACCGCTGGACAATTCTGGTATCAAGACAATTATTGGTTTCATTATTTTTAACATACGATATTATTAATAACGTATACTGGCTCATCTCATCTCCTTATCTACCTATCACTTAATCACTGCATCACTCAAACATTCAAATACATTATTTTATTAACGTATTGTAAGACTTATATTACAGATTTAATATTTAATATTTGATTGCATAGAGACTGCCATAGATGGTTGAATACCAAATGAACGTCGCATCAGTAACTTGTATTATGATACTTAAATATATGAATCGCGTTTCAGTATTTTTTTACTGACTGGCAATAACTGATAGAAGCTGAAGCAGGTTACAAAAGATTTCATCTGTTTATATCAGTTTTCAAAAAATTTTTATTGATTAGTTGATTATGACAGTTCTTAGTCACACTTTTTTTTTGATCGCCAAAAAAACATATCACAACATGAAACTGTCGAAATAATTGTTATACTTTGACAATGCTTTTGAATACGGAATCTGTTTTACTCCATTCCGTAGAATGTGAATTTCTTAGTAACCTGACTTCCGAAAAAGTTGTGACTATTTTATTAAATTGTAGTTCATTCATGGCTTTCAGGATATGCTAAAATTTCTTTAGAACCCACTCAGAATGAGAACAATTTTGACTTTATATTTGATGGATAAAATATGGGAAAGAAAACTGTTATTTATAACAATCTTTTGTCCAGTCCGTTTGTTTGTCCATCTCAGTGCAGCGTTTGGATAACAAACAATTTTTCATATTTCATAAGCAATGGTCAAGCAGACACATGCAAACACAAAAGAAGCAGATGATGACGGAAGATGATGAAAGGATGAGGAAAAGGGTTTATGGAAAAAGTGAAGAGTTTTTTCATTTTCTTTTGCTTTTAAAACCTTTGGGTCAGAAAGATGATGAGGTCTAAAAGTGGTTATGGTCAGTGATGGAAGATGAAGATTATAATGAGGCGAAAAAGAGTAAAAAGGAAAGGAAAAGAGAGAGAAGGGTAACCTTGGACCTTGCACAAGGGTATATTTGGTCATATTGGTCAACATTTTTAACCCTTTGTTAGTTAATCTATTTCAGTCAATATCAAGTTGAGTGAAAATATAATTGCATCTATTGCCCTTTCTTTCTCTTCTTCTCAACTCTTTTTTATCTTTGTTTGTGTTTTAATAAAGGTATAAAGAAAGCTACAGACACAATAAACCAACTCCGTAAGGCAAGCAATGTTTCCTAAAAAGGAAAAATGTTTTTTGATCACCTAATGAAACTTTACGAACCATTTTCACTGAAAATACTCAAAGAAAAATAGCATTTCCTCCTATTTATAAACTGGTGCAGCCCAATTGAAACACGGTATAAGCATAACGGGAACATTTGATTAGTGAAAGGCTTATAACAGTGATAACAAAGTTTGCTCACCAATTATACTAACATTGAGATCAAGACTATCACATTATTTCGAGGCTCATTTCGTTGAACAAAGTTACTTATATGTTCGGTTGTCAATAGTGGTAAGTTCATTTTCTGTTGCAGTATTTTCAACGTTAAAATCAGTAAAATTTAACGATTGGTTCGAGCGTCACAATCTAGAAGAATCTGAGTGATAATTTTTCAATTATAGCCCGACAAATAATTGCAAATGTGCTTTTGCACTAAGAATCACACTATGATGCATGGTATTAAGGACAGCATGGATTTCATGAGAATCGTTGAATTTAATCCAATTTAAGTTAATTTTCTGATCTTTAGCATAAGTTAAAACACCGACAGCGACCTTTTCGGCGTTATTAGGCGATTAACCACTTTTCGATTTCAGCAAATTGTCGGTAATTTAGTTATATTTAGTGATTAAATGCCATGAAAGTGTATCTTATGAGCCTACACATGTTTACCACTGCTCTTGATCATTTTTTTTGCGTATTAGGGAAAACAAAAATGTAAGTAAGTTGTAAGTCCAACAAGAGGAGTTAAGAGTTGCGAGGATTGATCAAATTATGCGATCAGTGATCACAAGGTTAATTGCTGGTTAATCAAATTTTTCTTGTCAACTAAGCGAAACTAGTTTTTTTGGATCTTCTCTTTTACCTTTTCACTGTTGAAGGCTTTTATTGCAACTCCCTTTACTATGATACCGGGCAAGGTCTAGTTATGTTAGGTAAGGTTACGAGCCTCTGCCTATAGCATTAAGTTGTTGTTCAATTGGTTGTTGAACAACAATATAAGTTGGACCTTGTCCTTTGGTCACCTATACTATTAGGTAAGCTCAATTGGTTGACTGGGCAAAGAGATTGTGATGAATTTGGTTATCCTTATGAGTATATCAATGAAACTCGTTTCTTTGCTCGATTGTCATATTTATTTGATCGGTAAATGGTGAAAACAGTGAAATCAAAATAGCAAAGGGTAAAATAAAGAATCTGCTTGAACTGATTAGTTTTTTTCTGAAAGTTAAACACAATGCTTCAATGCAAGGGTTTTATGGTTTATTTGTGACAAAATTATCTGAAGATGAAGATGGAAATTGTGATAACATGACGATGAATCGGTCACTTGTATTTGCTCGTGTATTTTGGTTAATCTTTACTTTTGTCATTTCATCTTCAGATAAATTTTCAGAAATGAATCTCAACACCCTTTGCAATAAATTGAATTGGCTCAATTATTTCATTGAATTTACAACTTTTTCCCTCAATTATTCCCTCCTTCAATTACGAACCGATTGAAATCCAAAGAAGTTGAACATTTTAATTTCATACAAAAAATGCGATATTTTTCGAGGTTTTGACTTTCTCTATTTTGCTTTCGATGTTTTGTCTTTCTCGGTTTTGAACCCAACCCTTAACCTGAAACAGTTTTGTCCCCAATTATACTAAAACTGAGATCAAGATTATCATTTCGAGATTCACTTCTTAGTTAGCCAGATTATAAGAGTAGCACATCGAGTAAATGTCAAACACTGTCCATTAGCAGCTCATTATTCATGATTATACTCTTAAAATAACTCAATGTTTAAAGACTTGTCATTTGCTTATCAACTTGATAATATCAAGTATTGACACGAAGTGACCAAAGAGATTAAAGTCAATCAGCTTGTGCTGACTCTTATTATCAATGACTTTTGTTTTAGTTTTAAAGGATTATATTGGATAGATTAGTGCTTTGTTGTGATGCTTAAAGTGAAACTGAAAGAGGCGAAACTGTCGTTAAAATCAAATCAATGACATTATTGAACTCACTGGTTGAACTTCTTTACCTCAATATGCAACCCTTTTGTGCGATAAAAGACTCGATTCCAGAGCTTTTATTATATCAATAAAAGTTATTTTTAGTGCATTTATGGTAATAAAATATGGAAAAAAGTTGTTATTCATAACAATCTTTTGTCAAATCCGTTTGTTTGTCCATCTCAGTGCAGCATTTGGATAACAAACAATTTTTCATATTTCATAAGCAATGGTCAAGCAGACACATGCAAACACAAAAGAAGCAGATGATGACGGAAGATGACGGAAGGATGAAGAAAGGGTTGTAAGAGAAATGAAGAGTTTTTTCATTTTCTTTTAGTTGAATTTAACCGTGCTTTTGAAGCCCTTGGGTCAGAAAGATGATGATGTCTAAAAGTGGTTATGGTCAGTGATGGAAGATGAAGATTATAATGATGCGAAAAAGAGTAAAAGGAAAGAAAAGAGAGAGAGAGAGAGAGAGAAGGGTTAACCTTGGACCTTGCACAAGGGTATATTTGGTCATGTTGGTCAACAATTTTAACTCTTTGTTAGTTAATCTATTCTAGGCAACACCAAGTTGAGTGAAAACATAATTGCATCTTTTCTCCCTTCCTTTCTCTTCTCGACTCTTTTTATCTTTTTTAGTTCCTTTTTCTCACCCGAACTGACCATAAACTTTGACAATCGGTTGGCGTAATTCGCACAAATAAAATAAAATAACATTGTTTTATAGCACTATATGCAGATAGATGTAGATAGTTGGCATTGCCTACTAACAAGGCTGTATGCAAGGTCTAGTTATGTTAGGTAAGGTTACGAGCCTCTGCCTATATCATTAAGTTGTTGTTCAATTGGTTGTTGAACAACAATATAAGTTGAACCTTGTCCTTTGGTCACCTTTACTATTAGGTAAGCTCAATTGGTTGACTGGGCAAACAATCGAAGAGTTATGATCAATTTGGTATCCTTATAATTTTTAATCGACAAGGTATGACTCTCAATGCTTTTGCACTAATCTTTCAAGATTTTACACAAAAGCGACAGTTAGATTCAACTCACATGAATAATTCAATAGTTTTTTTTGACTTTCTACTCTCGTTTTTTGAATGAATCAATCTCCACACCCTCTAACCATGTCCTTTTGTTACAGTATCATCCTTTATTGTTCTATAGAGATCGTAACAAAGGTTTTTAGGTGAAGTGCCCTCAAAGCTTACCCGATAAACATGTACCACCCTCTGTTTTACCTGATTTACCTTAATAAAGGAAATTTACCTGATTTACCTTAATAAATGCAATTTACTGATAAAATTTCGTAGCAGAGTACGTTTGACAGAGAATTTATTGACAGAGTTTCAAATCGTTAGCAAGTCATTCCCCAGTTATTCTCAAGGTTACAGGCGGAAAGAAAGGAAAAAGGCAAATATAACTTTACTTTCTCTTCGAGTTCCCTTACTCAATCAGTTAGATATTGTGAGAAGAAGAGAAAAAAAGAAGAAAAAAATGAAGTTCTCTGAGCTTTTCAGACACACTCAAACTGAGACTCTTCTCTCTTCCCTTTGTTCACACAAACTCACTAGCGCATTCTCTTCCTCCCTCCCGCCTTTACTAGTCCCACTCAACTCACTTTCCCAATCAAACACTAACCTTCTCAATAAAATCCCTCCATCTTCCTCTCCTTCATTATCTTGATCTTTCAATTGAATAGACTATTCAGAATAGTATTTCAACGAAAATTTTTTGATGTCAGAAAATGGCGCGAGAAAGAGACTCTTTCTTAATAAATTACAAGTTGAGCCACCGATGAGTCACTGATCGCAAATTTATTTTGGCTGTCTACGATAAAGTCAATCCACATTTAAGTATGTAAGTTTCAATTGAAGGTTAACTCATCACCAGGAAATACTGACCATTGGCCATCTCCTCAATAAGTCCAACTAAACCTGTAAACCCTTACTTCTGTTTCTCTCTCAAAGTAACTCAACGCTTGAATAACTACTAACAATTTGTAAGCTATTTTCAGTACTAATGCAATCCAAACATCCATACAATATATAAAGTCAAAATATCAATTCATTAATTCATGAACAAATGACCGATTTCGAAGTCAACTTCATCAAAGATTGCCCATCAGACAAAATTTCTGATTCAGAATTTGGGTGTTTAAATGAGGATTGAATTGATCGCACACTTTTGATAAACGACAGTGAAGTTGTGGCTGCTGATGGACAAGATCGTGAAAATCTGATTGCTTCTTGTTTCTGTAGAAACTGTTAAAAAATAGTCTTTTTACAAATAATTTCAAATTGTTTGTATCAGTTTTAATGAAATCTAGCTTTGGAGTGGACCAGAAACATTCAATCTTTGTGACGGGAGAATTAATAAAAGGGTTTAAAGAGGAATAAAGAGTTTTTTCATTTTCTTTTAGTTGAATTTAACCGTTCTTTTGAAGTCTTTGGGTCAGAAAGATGATGATGTCTAAAAGTGGTTATGGTCAGTGATGGAAGATGAAGATTATGAGTGCAAAAAAGAGTAAAGGAAGAGAGAGAGAAGGGTTAACCTTGGACATTGCACAAGGGTATATTTGGTCAACAATTTTCACGATTGTGTCCATTTCTTGTCTTATTTTGCAGCTCGTGTTAGTTTCAAGTTTTATTGCGTGTTAGACTCTTGCAGCCGCTTAAGTTCATTTTTAAGCATTTCGTTCTCGGCCTGTAGCCTGATTGCGTATAGTTCCAAATGCTCGGCCTTCCAAGCTGTTTGTTCTTCACGTGCTCGTCTAGCATCTCTAGATTTTTTTGCAGCGATATTATTTTTATCCCGTTTCATTCTATATTCATCAGACGTTTTGTCGATTGTATCCGATTGTCTGTTTTTCTTAGGTGTTGGTGAAGGAGAAACTGATGGTAAAGATTCCGTTAGGCTTGGTGGCGAAGGTGATAAGCTATCGCTCGAATGCGTTGCAGCCAAATCAGATCGATAATTGACGACTTTTCTTTTACATGGAACAGATCTTTTTTTTCGTGACGCTGTTGTTGTTGATGTTGAAGGAGAAACTTCGGGAAAAGATGGAACAAAAGTCGATGTCGAAGGAAATGATGGAACGAAATTCGAAGTTGATGGAATTGATGGAACAAAGGTTGATGTCGAAGGGAATGATGGGACAAAAGACGAAGTCGAAGGAATTGATGGAACCGTGCTTGATGTCGAAGGGAATGAGATGGAGTTGGATGATGTTGCTGTTAAGTCCAGTGGCGAATCGCTGTTAACAAAAAAGAGTTAAAAAGTTAATGTTAAAACCTGTAATTTGATTCAAATGAAAAAGTTAAACTTACACAAAATTTTGGGGCGATTCTGGTGGTGTTGGTGCTGAAGCTCCTAAGTTGAAAAAATTTCCAGTGTTCATTATGTACTGAGTTTCCAGTGAACTAAAACTGATTGAAAATAAATTAAAGATGATGAGATGATTACTCAAATTGATGGTAAAACACCTTCGGTAGGATTGTGACTGAGCTAAGAGTTGGATAACCAAGACTAACAACGTCACAAGTTGTAAGTAACGTTCAGTTGTCAAAATGAACCAAGAATATGATGATTATGATCTGGATGACCAAGAATAGGTCTTTTATGTAGAGCCTCCCTTGCTCACTCTCATCCTCCCCCTGCTCGTTCTCCTCCCAATGACCAACTCAAAAATATACTTTTTCTTATTCTTCTTCTTCTTTTCTCATCCTTTTCTTGTTTACTCTTTTGCTTCCTCTTGGAGCATTTATCATCATATATTGCATTATAAACAATTTCCCGATCGAAGGTTTTCAATGAAATCGTTACCAAAGTTCAAACTTAAATTTCATTTTGTTCATCACGATCATAGTACTCAGATTTTTCATATAAGTAAATGATGAAATCACTATGTAGAGCTGTAGAGGGGAAACAGAAAACAGCCGCGAATTGAAAGTTGAATCTACTGCTTAATCGGTTTGGGCCCAAAACAGCCAAGTCCAAAACGGCCAAAGTCAATACAGCCAAATACAAAGCTGCTTAAATCAAATAAAACTACTTAAATGGTCAGATTTATTAGGGTATCAAAAAGTACTTTTGTTTTTTTACAACTGACTTTTGCTTCAATTTTGAATAAGTTTGACTTGAACCAATAGACTCAATAATTTTAAGGACACAAGAGCATCGATATAGGTGCATGTAGACCATCTTTTGACGGAGTTAATTAACTATAATTAATTAGCCTATCAATATCCATAGATAAACATTATTCTTGACAAACTTAATGTTCATCAACATTTATTGTTACTTTGTTTACACCAAAAAGGCCAATATTTATTGTTATCTAATGTTAAACATTGTTATTTATGTACTTGACCAATCAACAATGTAATTTGGACACTTTTTCACTTCATTTAACTTTCAATATCATCGATAAATTAATCAACATTTAGGTTTTTTCCTTTGCTTTCAAAGGTCAATTAAGACTTCTTACACAGCGTATAATAAGAAAAGAAAGTTTCTGAGCATAATACATTTTAGTCCGTTATTTCCCATCCACTGCCTAGAAACTTAATTTGCACCCTGTATGATCACATACAGATTGACATTGTTCATTAATGCCAAACAAATGTCTTACAGCCAGAAATGGAGACTTGGAGACGAACAAAAATCAAAAAAGTGAAACATTTTCCACTTCGAATGAAACTAAACCGGACAATATTTTAGCGATATTAGCGATTCGTTTTTTTTCAGCGACAATTTTGATTTTATATTGGATGGATGAAATATGGGGAAGAAGATTGTTATTTATAACAATCTGTCCAATCCGTTTGTTTGTCCATCTCAGTGCAGCATTTGGATAACAAACAATTTTTCATATTTCATAAGTAATGGTCAAGCAGACACATGCAAACAACAAAAGAAGCAGATGATGACGGAAGATGATGAAAGGATGAGGAAAAGGGTTTATGGAAAAAGTGAAGAGTTTTTTCATTTTCTTTTAGTTGAATTTAACAGTGCTTTTGAAGCCCTTGGGTCAGAAAGATGATGATGTCTAAAAGTGGTTATGGTCAGTGATGGAAGATGAAGATTATAATGAGGCGAAAAAGAGTAAAAAGGAAAGGAAAAGAGAGAAGGGTAACCTTGGACCTTGCACAAGGGTATATTTGGTCATGTTGGTCAACAATTTTAACCCTTTGTTAGTCAATCTATTTCAGTCAATATCAAGTTGAGTGAAAACATAATTGCATCTTTTCGCCCTTTCTTTCTATTCTCAACTCTTTTTTATCTTTTTTAGTTCCTTTTTCTCACCCGAACTGACCATAAACTTTGACAATCGGTTGGCGTAATTCGTACAAATAAAATAAAATAACATTGTTTTATAGCACTATATACAGATAGATGTAGATAGTTGGCATTGCCTACTAACAAGGCTGTATGCAAGGTCTAGTTATGTTAGGTAAGGTTACGAGCCTTTGCCTATAGCATTAAGTTGTTGTTCAATTGGTTGTTGAACAGTTGGACCTTGTCCTTTGGTGACCTATACTATTTGGTAAGTTCAATTAGTTTACTGGACAAAGAGATAGAAGATTGTGATCAATCTGTTGTTGAGTTTTCATGAATTTGGCTATCCCTATGATTTTCAATCAATAAGGTATTGTCCGCAATGTTTTGGACTAATTATTTGATAAGATTTTACACAAAAGCGACAATTGGATTCAACTCACATGCATCATTTAACAGTTAAAATAAAGGTTAACTTTGTAATTATATTTTGGACAAAATCAGTTCATTTTGATAAATAACAGTGAGTTTGTTGTTCTTGTTTCTGTAGAAACTTTGAAAAATAGTCTTTTAACAAATTACAAATTAACTGTAAGAAACATTAGTTTTCATTAAATTTTGCTTTGAGGTTGACTAGAACCTTTCAATCGACATTAATTACAATGAATTATACCTTTCTCCACAATTTTTTTGCAAAATCTTGATATGAGCACACTGTTCAATCTGAAATAAGAAGTTCATTAAGAATTCGAGTCTTTTAAATGCGAATTTAATTTATTCGCGTTTCCTAGTACAGATAGTGATGCAAATAGTAATATACAATAATTGTTGGTATATAGTGATAGAATAGCAATTTATTTATAGATTTATAATTTAATTGTCGGAAGTGTTTTCCAGCAATTGACGAAGAAACTTATCAATGTTCAATGGCCAGCACTTGTTCAGGATAAGTTGATTTACAATAATCTTCAAAAACCGCATAAACCTTTTCCCTCAACAGTTCAATTTGGGAAATTGATTTTAAATGTTTCGCTTCGGGATTGAAAAGTACAATTGATCGAAGACAACCTAATTCAGTCTTATCCATTTTCAGTTCCCTCATCTTGGCAACCAGTTCAGTCAATACTCTATCAAAAATAGCACCTACTCCGGCTTGATGTGCTGAATTACGATGTACCACAAGTCCAGTGGCCAAAACAATACCGTTTTAACATCCATTTACCGATGCAAGAAAATAGCGATTAAAATTTCATTTGAATCACTTTACAATGAAATTTCTTGATTTCCAAATTGAAGGTCACAAAATACAGTATTTGCTTTTGAGCATTCAATCATTAGTGAATGACCAATACAAATACTTTACAAAAAATTATTTATTATAATTGAGCAATATCCAATTGTCCAGAGTTTGTTAGACAAAAAAGTGTCTAACAATACAAAAGTGAATGGAACGTTAAAGAAAAGTTGACCTTGTTGAAAGACATCGTAATAAATGAGATAATTTTGTAAAAGGCAAAAAATTGAGGAAACCTTAATCAAGTTAATACAATTAACATTATTCTTCGTCCATGCTATAACCCTTGAGTTGTTCCACTTCGCGTCGCAACATTTCGTTTTCCGTCTTTAATATAAGTACAATACGTTCGAGTGTATCAGCTTTCACTTGTGTCTCTTCTTCTCGAGCTCGTCGAGCATCACGAGACTTTTTTGCAGCAATATTGTTTTTGTCCCGTTTCAAGCGATAAGCTTCGTCTTTGAGTTCATCTGGAACTTTGGTTCTTTTCTTTGTAGACGATACAGATGATACACATGAAGGTGTTGGCGATGGGGCCGATTGGTTTGAATCCGTTTGATTTATAATTATGTTTTTCTTGGTCCGCTTTGTTGGAGTAGCGATTTCTTCAAAATCATCAAATTTTTTGTTTTTCTTGGGGTTGGATGTTGATGGCGATGAATGACTAAATGATGTTGATGGCATTTGATAAGAGCATGATGGTAATGATGGCACCTGGTATGAGCATGATGGCAATGATAGCATAAGAGTCGGTGGTGAAGGTGAATTGCTTGATGAAGTTAAATCCAATGGTGCATCACTGTATACGAAAGAAAGGTTAAAATGAGGTTAATAACAAGTATTTTGATTTCAATTAAAACTACTTACACAAAGTGTCGTGGTGATTCTGGTGGGGTTGGAGCTGAAAATTTAAAACCAAAAGGAAAATGATTCATGATGATGATAACTTAAATGATGTTAAAAGGCTCAACGGCACCGAGAATACGAGACTTGTGAGCTAAGAGCTGATGAAACAGGACAATGTTATGGTCAGTTGCTAAAATGGTAATGACAATTGGAGGATCAAGTAAAGTACTCACTTCTTTTATTCCTGGCCACCCTTGCTCACTCTCATCTTCCCCTCCTCTCCCCTCTCTCTGCTCAATGACCAACTCAATACACTTTTTCTTATTCTTCGTCTTTTCTCATCCTCTTCTTGTTTACCCTTTGCCTTCCTCCTCAACCGTTTATTATCATAGATTGCATTATAGCTGAAAATAGCAAAGTAGTTATTCAAGTGAAAAAGGAGTTATTAGTTTGAGAAGAAGAAGTAAGGTTTACAGGTTTAACAGTTGGACTTATTGACGAGATGGCCAATGGTCAGTATTGCCTGTTGCTGAGTTAACCTTCCATTGAAACTTACATTGAACACTGTCTTTGTAAACCTTTTTTCTGGTCAACATAAACATTGATCGGAAATACAATTGCTTCTTCTCTTCTTTTTTCATTCTTACCTATTTCCAGTATCCTCATCGTGGTCATCGAAACCTCCTTTAACCTTTAATATAACGATTTACTGCAATAAAATAAACTCAAAGCAATTTATTATTTCCTCATTTGTGCAGATAAACATTACTCTTGACAAACTTAATGTTCATCAACATTTATTGTTACACCAAAAAGGCCAATATTTATTGTTATCTAATGTTAAACATTGTTATTTATGTACTTGACCAATCAACAATATAATTTGGACACTTTTTCACTTCATTTAACTTTCAATATCATTGATAAATTAATCAACTTTTAGGTTTTTTCCTTTGCTTTCAAAGGTCAATTCCAGTGTATGTATGGTTTGTCTTATTTGATTTAATATTTAATATTTGATTGCATAGAGACTGCCATAGATGGTTGAGTACCAAATGATATTATTGCAATACGTTTGCACATACCCTTAACTCATCGACTATTGACTTAAGTGTTTCAATTTTTAAGTCAATATCTTTATCAGTGATTAGTTGTTTTATCAGAAAACTTTCAAAAATTATCTATTTTGCATTATTTCAATTAGTTCTGTTTTTACACTGAGCAATCATCATTAGTAATAGTAAATAATGTTGACAATGACGATGACCGTTCGCAACTCGAAAGTCAATTTCTGGGTAACCTGATTTCCGAGAAAGCTTTGACTATTTTTGAAATTTTAGTTTATTCATATGCTGAAATTTTCTTAGAACCCACTCAGTATGAGAAAAATATTGACTTTAAATTGGATGGATGAAATATTGGGAAGAAAACTATTATTTATAACAATCTTTTGTCCAGTCCGTTTGTTTGTCCATCTCAGTGCAGCGTTTGGATAACAAACAATTTTTCATATTTCATAAGTAATGGTCAAGCAGACACATGCAAACACAAAAGAACCAGATGATGACGGAAGATGATGAAAGGATGAAGAAAGGGTTGTAAGAGAAATGAAGAGTTTTTCATTTTCTATTACTTGAGTTTAACCGTGCTTTTGAAACCTTTGGGTCAGAAAGATGATGATGTCTAAAAGTGGTTATGGTCAGTGATGGAAGATGAAGATTATAATGAGGTGAAGAAGAGTAAAAAGGAAAGGAAAGGGAAAGAGAGAGAGAGAGAAGGGTTAACCTTGGACCTTGCACAAGGATATATTTGGTCATGTTGGTCAACAATTTTAACCCTTTGTTAGTTAATCTATTTTAGGCAACACCAAGTTGAGTGAAAACATAATTGCATCTTTTCCGCCTTTTCTTTCTCTTCTCAACTCTTTTTATCTTTTTTAGTTCCTTTTTTTCACTCGAAAAGACCATAAGCTTTGACAATCGATTGACATGATTTTCCCAAATAAAATAAAATAACATTGTTTTAGCAATATATCGACAGTAGGCATTGCCTACTGAGCAAGGTCTAGTTATGTTAGGTAAGGTTACGAGCCTTTGCCTATAGCATTGAGTTGATGTTCAATTGGTTGTTGAACAACAATATAAGTTGAACCTTGTCCTTTGGTCACCTATACTATTAGGTAAGTTCAATTGGTTGACTGGGCCAGGATCCACATCTTTTGCAACATTATTTTTGCAAAATCTAACACATATGAGAACACTGTTCAAACTGAAATAAGTTCATTAAGAATTTGAATCTTTTAAATGCGAATTTAATTTATCATACGCAGTTGATCGCTGCGTTTCCTAGTGCTAATAATGATGAAAATAATAATAATATACAATAATTGATAGTATTTAGTGATAGAATAGCAATTTATTTATAGATTTATAATTTAATGGTCGGAAGTGTTTTCCAGCATTTGACGAAGAAACTTATCAATAGGCGTATCTCCAATGAGCTTGAAGAAAAAGAGATGTTCAAGGCATTTAAGGCCAATGGATCGAAGAGCGGGTAAACGAAGCAACAGTTTAGCAAAGCGACCTGCTTGTTCAGGATAAGTTGATTTACAATAATCTTCAAAAACCGCATAAACCTTTTCCCTCAACAGTTCAATTTGGGAAATTGATTTTAAATGTTTCGCTTCGGGATTGAAAAGTACAATAGATCGAAGACAACCTAATTCAGTCTTATCCATTTTCAGTTCCCTCATCTTGGCAACCAGTTCAGTCAATACTCTATCAAAAATAGCACCTACGCCGGCTTGATGTGCTGAATTACGATGTACCACAAGTCCAGTGGCCAAAACAATACCATCTTTAACATTCATAGATGCATGAGAGAAACCAGCGATCAAAAGTTCATTCCAACCACTTTTCAATAAAACTATTTGGTCTTCGATTGGAAGGTCACAAAAATGCGGTATATGCTTTGCCCATTCAATCAATTGATATAATTGACGATCAGCTGCTTGCCAAATGTTTGGTATTGAATCCTGATTAGTTGTTTAATTAGTTGGTAAACATTCATAATAAGAATGGGAAAAAAGAAGATTATTATTAATAATTGAATATACGGATTGATTAGAGGCAATCTTTTTGCATGTTCAGCATTTTCAATTAAGTAAGGAACTAAAAGCTTTTGAATATTCTGTCAAAGATCACTTCCTAAGTAAAAAGATTTGGTTTTGCAAATTCATTTCTCGCTAATTTTTTAAAGACTTGCTTCCCTTTTCCTTTTTAGCGTAACTTAAGTCAAAAAACTTTCACTTTCTTGGGTAAACAAGTTTGTTCCCCAATATACTTACATTGAGATCAAGATTATCATTTCGAGGTTCACTTCGTAGTTCAGCTTCCAAAATCCTTTCAATTGGCATATCATTATGACTTGTACTCGTGCTCTCTACCTCATTGTCATTCTTATCCTTATTCCGTTGTCGCTCCTCTTGGACAGCTAATGAAAGAAACAATAAATAAATTTAATAAGATGACCAGATGTTCACAGGATTATTAGGGTAAATTAACTTTGAATATTTTCTTGCTTAAGAAAGATTTCACAAAACTTCCATTCTATTCTCTATTCACATCATAACTTTGTTGTTAAAATGTTTGTTAGGTACAACACAGATAATTAAATATTGGCCCAAAACCATTTTCAACTCAAACCAAATCTTAAACTCCAAAATGCATTGTCTTTGGGCTAAGTAGACTCAAGAAAAGGATTACAGTGTAGATAAATCTATCTAATACTTTAAACCTTTCAGGTTTGCAGGTTCTAGAGTAATTACCAAAGGCAAGTGTTTTAGTTATGAAGTTAATTAGTTATAAGAGGATCAGAAAATAATTAGCAATACATTACCTTCACGTTTCATACCCATAATGAGGCATTTTTGATATCGACAGTATTGACATCGATTTCGCTGGCGTTTATCAATAATGCAATTTTTTTCCTCACGACAGGCATAAGTAAGATCCTTGCGAACGGTTCTCTTAAAGAAACCCTTACAACCCTCGCAACTGTGAATATAAAAAGAAATAAAAATCAATAAGTTAAATATTCAAAATTGATATACCTTTGTATTATAAAAGCAATTAATTATTGATATTCAGTTTTCAAACAAAAACAATTTCAATGAAAATTTTTCAGAAACATGAAAAGCTCACGCCATCTATTGAATACAGACGCTTACATAATCAGTCACTAAATTTATTGACAGAAGAGGGAGTTAGTTGTTACACCAACTAAATTTTTCATTACAATTGTACAATTTTTTAGTTTTAATTTAATTTGGTTAAATTTAAAACTGTTTTCTCTGTCATTTGGAGACTCATCCGTATTTGACTCGCTAAGCTTTTAAATGGTGAAGTAATCTGAAGTAAATCCTGCAGGACAATCAAGGAGGTAATCTATTCGATCTGTATGTTGACATCAATTAATGGTTAACCTGTGGTTAACCAGTAAAAAGTGGTATTACACTAGTAGTCAGAGTTAAGTTAACAAAAAGGGTCACAGTTAAGTTAATTTTTAAGTGTCGCCATAAACAGTTTTCAGAGACACTAAACAATAGCAAACTATGACAAATTAAATTCCATCTTGAAGGTCTCAGATGAATCTTGTTAGATGGCGACTACGAAGAAAAATGTCCGATTTTCTTACTTAACCCTGACTACTAGTGTATCCGAGCATCTTGGTTCAATATAACGGTCTAATTTCATCTAATTGTTAATGATCGAAATCATTATTGATTTTTTTCTGGTTTATATCGTAGAGAATGAAAAATAATTAGACAATTGTTCTGGATTTGAGCTGCAAATTCTGGATGTCGAATCAAGCTCAATTCATATAAAAACGATTGGATCTACAAAAAAGAGATTGGATTTTAGGTTATTTGTCAGTAATGTCAACTTTTTGAAACTTGTCAGTAAAGATATCACAAGGTAAGTAATTTAACAATTAATAAAGAAGTGGAAAATGCTGTCATAAATGATGCTCAACTTGAAACAATAAAATAATACAAGCTCGGCTGAATTTGTTGCCTTAAAGTAAATTTTCATTTTGCATTTACTCCTATTCACTCATCGTGATGAACTCATAGTTTGTTGATGATGAGGGGAAAATGTCTATTGATGAAAATTACCATGGTTCAGGTACCAGACTTAATGATGAACTGTTTCTCTTTTCAATCAGGGATAAAGAAAGGAATCAAGTTTGTCAAAAGATGGAAAGTTGTGCATTTACAAGGAAAGGTGATCATCAGAGCAGAAAATGGGAAACAAAAAGTGTATATCCTACGGGAAATGAAGTGCTATTCATTCAACAAGTAAAGACTATTTGCGTTGACGAGCGATGATCCAAAAATGATGAATTGGTGGGTTGAAAGTGAACAAACAAACCCTATCAAATGGTCTAATAATGGGCAAGATTGGTGATCAAAAATCATCAAACTGAAGAAACCACGAATGGTCAGCGTAAAAGGAAAAGGAAACGGAAAAGTGTATTTAGACTAATGGAATAAGGTATCAGACTGAGGTAAAAGAAACATAATTAAAGGGTGTCTGTATAACTATGAACAGAGGTCTAAATCCATACAAAATTTAATTGGTTCGAGATAAATAATGAAAAGATAAGGATAGCCACATTCAACACCAATTTTTGGTCAGAATAATTAGACAATATTTTAATATAACGACAATAAGACAATAAAATAATATCTATGGTGTTATTCATATGGACCTCTGCTCATAATTATACAGACACCCTTTAGTTGTTCATAAATCTCTTGAAAGATCTTCCATTTCTTCTTGTGAAAGTATTGGTGGTTGCAGTTCAAGTGGAGATGATAGATCACCAAAACGAATCCATGTAAGCAATATTCCTTTTAGATTCAGAGAACCTGATTTAAGGAAACTTTTTGGTGCTTATGGACCCATTTTAGATGTTGAAATTATTTTCAATGAAAGAGGTTCAAAAGGATTTGGTTTTCTCACATTTGCCCATTCTGATGATGCCATGAGAGCCAAAAAGGAGTTAGATGGTATTACAGTGGAAGGACGAAAAATAGAAGTCAATGACGCGACTGTTAAAGGTCAAGCAAAGAAACCAAAAGAATATTCAGCCATTTTTGACAGATTCTCCATATCAAATACCAACTCATCAGTTCGAGGTTTATAATTAACTTCTAACGTCTATTTTCAGATTTCTTTTCTTCTTAAACTTAAAATCAATTCTTTTAATTTTTTCTAAAATGCATTTATTTTCTTATTGTAATTAATGGAATCGGAGCTTCCCGATAGATATTCTGGCAAAATTTCCTAAACCAGCCTTAGTTCACACAAACAGTGAAATTTTTCTTGATCTTCTTCTTGTCCATCAGGAGCGAAACTCTAATATACCCTTCAATGTTATGATATTAGTTAGAGAAGTCTGTTAACTATTGCTTTGATAATTTTCCTCTTATCAATTATTTAGATTCATGTTCTAATTAATTCATTTTGTATTGCTGATGATAATTTTGATAGACATGAATTGGTTCTCAATGCTGACTATTAAATCAGTATTCACCATATTATAAAGAGTAAACCTTAAATTTGCTTCAATCGTCATCTTATTAATTGTCTTTTTGGAGACTGACTTTGGTTTCAACCAAATCGTCCATAAATCTTGGAACTTAGCTAAGTTATTCGGAAAGTTCAATCTGTCTAGATTAGAGTAGTGTACAGTAAAGTGAAAAAAAGTAAGTTTGAAAAGTATTTCTTATTCAAGGTTTATTGTCTTGTTTGCTGTATTCATGTTTTGTCTAACACCGGCCAGTTTTTGCCAATTTTGGTTATTTATAATCACTTACCTGTACACTCCATAATGCTTACCAGATGCTCTATCACCACATATTGAACAGAGATGTTTAGATCCGCTCAAGGGATGATTTGGAGGATAACGAGGTGTTGGTGAAGGTGAGGCAACTGGTGTTGATGGTAAGCTGATTGAGTTACTTGGTGGACCTGGTGTATATTGAGTACTGTTTAATCCTCCTCCTATGTCTCCGTTACCAGGATAAGTTAACGTTGTGGGTCCGCTAATGGGAGTTGGTGAGTTGATACCAGGAGTACCAGGTAGCCCAACGGTATTTCCATTAGCAACTGTCAAAAGATGAACCAAGAAAAAAAAGGATTATTTCATATTGTAAATGCGTTGATCTCAATTTTTAAAGTTCAAAGGGATTAAGGTAAACGAGTAAACCTGACGCTGTATAAAGTGAAAGGCTGACAGCTAATTGACAGTTGACTCTAAATTAACTTTCTGAATCTTTCATTTGTAACTCTAGATGATTTAATTATTATCAAACCATTGGAATACGGAAACGGAAGACAACTTAGGCTGTGGCAAGGACATTAATTTCAAGGTGATTTGGGTTTGAAAAGGAATCATGTTTCTCTCTGGTTTTACTTCTACCTTGAGAAGAAATTACAAAGTAAATGCTGTTGTTTTTGCTGTTGCTACTGATGATGATTATGGACTGGGTCAGCAAAGTGTGTATTATGCATGGATGTAAACGTGTTTACAAATTCACAGGGAATCAAGCTCATTGGTCTCAACCAAACGTTGGCTTTTTCAGACATTAATTTCAAGGTTACTAGGAAGTGACATGGAAACGAAAGGAAGAAAGTTGCCAGTTTTTGAGCAAAAAACGGATTACCTTGCTTTCTCTAAATAATACTACATTGTGAAGTAAGGAAAGATTCATTCAGTTGAATACAGACAAATGAGCAAGAAAAATTCAGTCTCACTTTTCATCATTTCCAGTCTTGTTTTCAATTCTTTTGTTGTACAACCAACTAAAGTAAAACGGTTTGGACTCATTTGGACACTAAAGTAAACATTTTTAAAACTTTAACTTAAGCTACTAGACCATTTTATTGCAGTTTTAATACTTCCATCAGAAAAATATGAATGATTCCGATTGAATTTTTGCTCTGATGTTTTTATAATTAACGATAAAAGGATGAGAAATTATGGTCTTTTGTTGTTCATGTTCATCAATATTAAATTTTGTAAAATTCTTACAAGTTGCTGGTCTTGTTAGTTAAAATTTTGAAAAAAAACAATAATTAGATTAGTAGCTTAAGTTAAAATTTTACAATTGTTGGCTCTAGTCTCCAAATAAGTCTACTCCCTTTGGTTCCTTTTTTTCATTATCATCATCATCGTTACTTTCTGAATCTTGCCTTTCATTTTTTATTCTTTCTCTATCTTCTTTTTTTGGTGTGTTTGGTTGCTAATTTCAACTATTATATCTTTTTTCTAGCTTAAATACCCATTGCTGTATTAAGTGACGTAAACTTTTTTTTGATAAAGCAAGGCCACCTTCAAGGAATTCCGGTTTTCGTCTGAAGTTTGAGACTAGAATCCAAGGTGGACTTGACTCTCACACATCTTTATAAACATGAGTTGCACAACAAACTTCAGAGATGATGATCATGTTGATGGATCATATTATTCAATAAGACTAAAACAGAGTCCAAAAAGTTTGTAATGATCTCTGGTTCGAAGTAACTTCCATGTTAAAGAATTCAATTCATATAAATGCATACAGTAACATGAAGTGGTGGGATTCATTCAAGCTGGTTTTATGTTCAATATTTAACGATGTGGAAAACGATTGTTGGTTTGATTAGATGATCATCATCTTCTATCATCGAGATAAAGCAACATTTTAGATTGACCCAAGTAAAACGAGTCGAATCTATCATCCATTGGACACATGATTGAAAACGATAAGCAATATTTACATCGTTATACATGACTTTCAAAGTTTATGAAAAGATGCCTTTTTATTCAAAGATTAATGCTTTAATCTTTGTTCTTATTGGATTCACACAAATTCAAGTCAACTATTCTTTCATATTATTAGATTGGCCAGAAAATTTACAGATAGCTTCAATGCTTAATTTTGATTGAATAAAATGCAGACTAAAATTACTGATATTCAATGTCTAATAAGTTGAATATTCATCTGCGATGAGAAGATTTATCTGGTTTAACCAGTTCTTTCAACCCGATCTATCAATTTATTTTTGCATTCACTTTTTGTTCATTCATTTGATACTGAATAAAAAGTAAAATTAACGTAGAGAATGAGTTGACAACAAATTATCAACAACGTAATTATTAATTGTAAGTTAAAACATGATTCATTTTTGGCCATAATCATCGGAATTGATTGGCGAAGGTTTAAGTATTGATCACAATATTGGCTGATATCAAAAAGACTTTCCCATTATATTGAATGACTTACATCATGATTTCTTGAATCGATTGAAAATGAAAGAAAAATTTATTGAGTTTTAATGAACTGAACAATAGACTTGAAATAACTGGTAACGAATATTAAAAAAAGTTAATCAAGGTTATTGAGCTTCTCATCCGCCGCACACATTAATCTAAAGCCTTTCAATTTTACAGAGGAAAAGCAATGTTTATTATAATTATCAATAAGCTAATCGTATTATGAATATAATGACGATTATGTTTAAGGTTACCACACTGAGGTAACATTTAAAACTATGAATGTATTCATACCATGGCTACCAGAGCATATCATATCAACAATTAATTTAATGATAAATTTGTTTTATTTTTATTACCAGTAGATTCGTCCAACATTATACTACGACAATTTATTTGCCATTTGCACTATGTTAAGGTGAATTCCCGTAAAATGAATGAATTCAGAAATATATTGCAACCACAATAGTCCCAAAAACCGTCGCCTGATTAGTTTAGATTTTGTTGGTTAAAATGACATTTTTCTTTTAAATCATCAATTCATCATTAATGAGAAATCTAAGCATCTAAATCATTGAAATCGATTAAAAACACATCAAATACATTAAAAAGCAGTCAAAAAAGTCTTGTCTAATATTAATTGTTTTAATTTGACAAGCGGAGCCTCTGATCATGACTGATTGTAAATCTCTTTTCACTGAATACGATAAATTCAATTCACATTTAAAGACTCAAATTATTGATGAAAAACCATTGTCAATGCGAAAAATAAAAACTAAAATAAAATCTAGTTCTACAGCTGAACAAAATGAAATCTGTTTGAGCTTTGAAAGTGATTTTACCAATAAGCTTCAATCAGAGAAACTTTTTAATCACACAAATGGTTCAAGTTCTTGTCACTGAAAGTTCACCAGGTTGCAACTCTCAACTCGAAAGTCAGAGTTTTGGCACTTATAAGTGATCCAAAGCATAACGTCATTAAATTGAAAAAATGCCCTTGATTCGCTTCCCTCCACAATGCCTTAGAATACGGATTGTTTGTCCCACCACCCTGAACATGACTTTCTCAGGAACATTGCCAGAATAAGATATCCAAAAGTTGAAATCTTTAGATTTGCCAAATTAATGATATTCATTTTGGAATGAAAAAAGCCATCCTTTGAGCACAACTAAAAATTTTTCGTTCGGATTGAGAGTTGAACCTTCTTTGATTGTGAAGACATAAAACTGATTCCACTTCTTGAATAAAAAGTTACTCTGATCAACATTCATCGACAATCGAGTTGAAAGTTGAAACATTGGTCTCTTTCTGTACAGTTGAGGCACCAGAATTTTCACCTAACTCTTTACTCTTACACATAATGAACCAATAAACCCTAACCTGAATAACCAAAAAGTTTTTCCCCCAAAGTCAATAGTAAAAGATACGGATTCTGCATTTTCTTTACCCTGTTTAAACGCTAATTTCTCAGTAACCTGAATTCTGATCAAACCCTGACTATGTTTTCAATCGTAGTTCAATCATAACTTTCATCCAATGTAAAAATTTTCTTTAGAACCTGTTTAGTTTGCTCATAATCTTCCCGCAAAAATTTCATACTTTGAACTTTATAAATTGTAAAGATGTATTGATATATTGATTGAAAAGGATGAAACAGAAATGAAACAGAAAAAGAGAGTAAAAAATTTGCAAAGAAAGTAAAAAGAAAGAGTCTCTTTCTCGCGCCATCTTCTGACACCGAAAAAAATTTCGTTGAAATACTATTCTGAATAGTCAATTCAATTGAAAGATTAAGGTAATGAAGGAGAGCAAGATGAAAGTTAAACTTATGCCCACTGGAGGACGCTTAATATAAACCAAAGGAAAAGTAAACATGAAAAATTAAGAAATTAAGAGATGAGATTAAACAATTAACGATAAAAATTGATGTTGATTCACAATTGACTTGAATTGTAAAGCCCTCAGAGTCATCATGTGGGCATAAGTTTAACTTTCATCACGTTCTTATTGATTGCTCTCGCTTTTTATTTGGTAAAGGTATGGTAAAGGTCAATAAGAGGCATTGAATTTAAAAAATACTAACCTGGTGAAGGTGAATTTGGTTGGCCCCAAGTATTTGGACTTGAAGTTTGGTATAAAAGTGCTGTTACACTTAATTTGGGTCTATCCTTTTTGTACATAACATAGATAAGATATAACTTTAGATATATATGTGGATATATATACAAGAGTGAGAAGAGAGAGAAAGAGAGAGAAGATATTGATGTTCAACTTCTAACCAAGTCAGTCTTTGAAATATTGTTTTCTGACGTTGGTGGTTATCGTACGAACGAAAGAGGGCGAGAGACGCCTGGAGTGAGCCAGTGAGTTAGTGAGTTAGTGATGAAGATGAAGATGATGAGTGAATGAGTGAGAGAGAGAGAGAGATGTAAGGAAAGGGTGAGGGATTTTTTATTGAGAAGGTTAGTGTTTGATTGGGAAAGTGAGTTGAGTGGGACTAGTAAAGGCGGGAGGGAGGAAGAGAATGCGCTAGTGAGTTTGTGTGAACAAAGGGAAGAGAGAAGAGTCTCAGTTTGAGTGTGTCTGAAAAGCTCAGAGAACTTCATTTTTTTCTTCTTTTTTTCTCTTCTTCTCACAATATCTAACTGATTGAGTAAGGGAACTCGAAGAGAAAGTAAAGTTATATTTGCCTTTTTCCTTTCTTTCCGCCTGTAACCTTGAGAATAACTGGGGAATGACTTGCTAACGATTTGAAACTCTGTCAATAAATTCTCTGTCAAACGTACGTTGCTACGAAATTTTATCAGTTAAATGTCAGTCCTTGGACTTTTCAGTTACTCTGTTTGATAACGCCATCTACTGGCTGGTTTGTTAGCTGGTTTCACTTTTCTCTTTTTTGTTGCTTTTGGGTTTTCATTTTCAATTTTTGCTTTATTTTGGTTTTAATTTTGTGTCTATTTTTTGGTTTGGACTGAAACGGTTTTTGGTTCATCCTTTGTTGGTCATTCTGCTTTCGATTAGCTTTGATATTGTTTACTGGTACACTTTGTGTTCTAAAGCTTGTTTTTTCTGGTTTTTTATTTCTTTTTTGTTCTATTATATTTTAGTAAGTTCTAGTAATTTTTTACGTTTTTATTTAGCTTGCCTGATTTGTGATTGACATGGTCAACATTTATGATTAGTATCATATTTTGATGTTGTTGTTAACATGTCTGTCAGTTACAGGTAGTAATGAACATAATTATATAAGAAAAAAATGGTGCTTTTCTAGGGTTTACCTGTGCATGCTATCTTCTGCTAAACTGGTGACTTTTTATGCTTCTCAAAATGTGATATTTATAAGATTATTAGATTAATCTTCACTCAAAAAACTGGTCATGTTGATCTCTCTCTTTCTCTCACTTTATTTATCAACTGGATCTTGTTGGTTTGAGACCAGAAAATGCCAAGTCCCAATGATTTTCCTGTCAATTTAATAAGTAGAAGAACTTACTGGATAAACGAAAAGCCATGTAAAATTATATGTTTACGAAAAAGATGATGATTCAAAAAAATCGCCAAAAAACTCTTTTCTGGTTATGTAATGTTAATAGCAAATTCAAGGTTAATTTTTTTCTTGATTAAGTTTACTTCATATTCACAATTAACCAGCTACTTCCTCAAGCTTGAACCTTCTAACCTTGAATACATTTGATCAACAAATGAACACAGTAAATAATCATAATAATTCAGTCTAGTCTTGCCTTAACGTTAAACACGGTTGAACCAGAAAACCAGAAAATTCATTTTTCCATTCTCACAACAACTAACCAGTCTCAATTGTCAGATGAGATTTAAACTAGCTTTTCATCTGAATCACTATCAACGATTTGATAGAGAAATAAATAAAAAATGACCAAATTTACAATCAATATTACAGGCCAATTGAGCTAACGAGTAAGTAATGTTTCATCAATGATGAAGTTCAAATTACAGCTCTTTTCGATTGGTAATTGCGTTGGCTTCATTGGAAGACTTATTCAATTTTAGTTGAGTTCATGTTTGGTTTCTTGAATCTTACAAATTTTACTGTATTCTGATTCTGGTTCAACTTACCACTGATACAATATTGAATCTTTACTCTTTTTTACATTCAAAGGTAAACAGAAAATTGTATTAATGGTTTGTTGTAACGTAATTTACTTTTGTTTGCAGGGAACAGAAAGGATCCAATTGAAAGATGATTTGTTTGCATTCAAGTGATTTGTATTTTCAAGTTTCATCCTTTTTAGTTACATTTCAATGGTAACAATTTTGTGTATATATTTGGATTATTCAATGTTATCTAGTGCCTAATGAGTTTTTACCTCATGGAATACTCATGCTTGGGACAATTAGATACTCATCTTCAATGAGTAGGTTTATCTGGTTTAACCAGTTCTTTCAACCCGTTTTATCATTTTATTTTTACATACAATCATGAATTCATTTACTGAACAAGATAAATTCAGATAAAAAAAACAGAGAACTAACAAATTAAAGATTATCAAAGAGGCAGAAACAGCAAATTAAGTTAATCATGATGCACTTTTCTGGGTGAAAAATATTAACATTTAATTAGTCATTACATTTGATCAAGTAGACTTTAATTGGTTATGATATGTTAGACATTACAAATATTAAAACAAGTTAATCAAGGTTATTGAGCTTCTCATCCGCCAAACACATTAATCTAAAGCCTTTCAATTTTACAGAGGAAAAGCAATGTTTATTATAATTATCAATAAGCTAATCGTATTATGAATAGAATGATGATTATGTTTAAGGTTACCTTACTGAGGTAACATTAAAAAACTATGAATGTATTCATACCATGGTTACCAGAGCATATCATATCAACAATTGAGCGTTAATAGAAAAGCTTGGAAACAAATGAAACAACAAAATTAACGCAATGTATTAAAGTCTAAATGATTAAGCAAAACCATGTAGGAGTCAATTGGTGTCCATTGAAAAAAAGCACAGATGAACAAAAACAAAACAATACATCGAGATGGTTACACTAAACCTCTTTATACCCTAACAAAGGAAAACGTTGAGATGGTTAATAATTTAAGTTAACAATTTAATCATGAAAATACCAAGAACACGAAAATTCATGATTAAGTTAATAGTAAAAATCAGATAACAATAAGACTTATTAATTTTACAGATTACATTTTGTTTCCTTCAATGTAAGGTGATGTCATTAGCAACTTAAAGAGTAGCGCGGGTAAATCAAAAGGTTTTATTGGGAAAACAATTCAATTTTGATTTTTAATTTTAATCATTGAGATAATTTTGATGGTAATTTGTCTTGACACTTTTGATTTAGTTAGTCTTTGACTGTCTTTTTCAGGTCTATACGGTATTTATGAGTGTTGTGATAATGTAATACTGGATCGCTTCTGCTGCACATCAATCTTCATGTATTAACCTTTGTTTCCAACTTTATTGTTATTATGGACTGACAGGTTTAATATTGATAGGCCTATTGTCATAAAAGGACATAGAACTCTTTTTTTATACTTTACTTGTTCGAGCTGTGGCCTTGTAGTATTGAATAAAAAAAGCAAACATATTTGCTCTCAACGTTTATATTTAATGTACATCACAAGCTATCGAGAAAATGTTTCCCTCTTATTATTAGTGTTTCATATTCATCAATATCTTCACAATTTTTCATTGTTTCCATCCTTTCCTCTCTTTCTCTCTTTACCCATGTTCCATGTTGATTCATCCAATTGTTTCTGCCTTCAATTTTTCCTCTGTTCATCATGAACTTGCTCAAAAAAGGGTTGTTCAACAATCGACACTCACACTATCCATTGACGCGAAACTTGTTAGTCTTGTTAAAACAATTCTTACATATTAATGTAGTTGTCTCATTTCTCGTTTCCTCTGCTTTCAATTTAATTTAAAACCAACTCCTAATTAACCTCAAAACGTAAATAACGATAGAGTTTTTGGCCAACCTACTATCTTAGCTAAGCACTTTATTTGCACACAAGCTCTATTATAATATAATTTTTCGCCTTTGACTCTAAATTGCCGATTTTCAATACACTAGGCGTTTGGCAGACTTCAACTCATATGCATAAATCAAATCAACTCAGAGCTTTCTTTCAACACTTTCAGCTCTATCAAAAAATTCAGAGACTATTGTTTCCAGAATTTTTAGCTTTAATTTTCATCCTTTCACGTTTCATCTTTGATAGCCATTCATTTAACTCATTTGATTCTTTTGTGTTCAACATTTGTAAATTTCCAATTGTTTTATTCGCCTTTCTTTACTCACCCACACACACACACGGGTGTAACAAATTTTGCGATTACATAGTTTCACAATAATAATACAAAATTGTAAACCTCTCAAATTAATGTTACATAAGTTTTTATGGTTCCAGAGACTTTCACTTTAACTTGATAAGACTGGCTCCACTATAATCATTTTGGACTGTATCATCATCATCATCAAATGTCCATCAACATCATCTCAAAATGGTTATTTTCGTGTTGACTTTTCATTTTGTTTCCCAGTTCTTCAACTTGTCGGTTCATTTTAAACGAGTCGCCGTTCATTATTGCCTTCATTTGCATTGCATGTGACATTTAGTTGTAACCATTGTTGTTGCTCAACAGCATCAACAAACCAAGCATAAATTATTCAAAAAAGAACATTTTCTTGATGATTATAAGATTTTTCCACTTGTTTTCTCATGGTACAGTGACCTGAGAAGTTTCTTTTCATGTAAAAAGAAAGAAAATGATGATGTTGTCTGATATTAAACTAGAAAAATTCATTGGCGATAAGATGTTGCTTGGTATTCTTCTTCTCTTTCTTTCTTTTCTTATTTCTCTATTTGTAGTAGGCAAGAATCATCTATCAGATTGCTCAGAGGGAGAGGGAGAGAAAATTTCATGGTGAAAAACTGGTTTTCTTCTTTCCTCTTGAATTTTCCATCTTTCCAATGAATCAGTGGTACAGGATAGTATAAAATTGAAGGTTGTTTTCCTTGTTGCTTTTCATCGTCATCATCATCTTTTGCTTCTCTTATTTGCCTCTTTTCGTAATAACATCTCAGGCTTTTGCTTCTCTATGGTATTTCTTGGATTTAAACTACTCATACATTATACGATTAAACGTTTGAAATATCCAACTTTTTCCTCCATCTGCATGATGAGAAGTTTTATCACCCTCTGGCTAAATTATAAAAGCTTGTTAACCTTTACAATAATTTGTATGGTAAAAAAACATCAATAAAAAGCTGTAGATTGCACGGCATTATCAAGTTGTTTGATGATCCAAGTGAATTGTTTAACATATTGTATGGAGTGAACTGGATCCATTGGAATATATTCCTTAGCCAAGTTCAAAGATCCTCTGAATTTTTACAATGAATTAGAACGATCTAACCGATCTTTTGATGAGTCAAACAGGTAAATCAGTTTTTAATTTGCCATATTTGATCTCGAGGGAAAAAATGTACAGTAAATTTATAAGTAAGAAATTTTTAATTTAAGTTTGAAATACGGAACGATATTCCTGACTATTCCATGAGGTCAATGATCAGCATGGTCGTTTGTCATATGAATAAAGTAAGTTATATGCACTTAATTGGTCAATAGTTGTAATTGAATGAAAAGTTAGTTTTACATTAGCTAATCCATTACGATTATCAAAATTTTTCTTGATACTTGAGCAAGGCACTTGGATTATAAGGGAATAGCTGCTTTTTCCATAAACCGTCAATTCGTTTGAATAGATGATTAAAGAAAAGTTTAACCATAGCTGAACATTGCGAATTAATATTTGGTAATTTAAGATAGGTCAACAGGACTCTGAGAGATTTGTCAGCGCTTTCTGGGTCAGATAACCATTCTATGTAAATAGAGACATCATGATTGATTGAGTCCAGAAATGCTTGCATTATAATGTGAGCTGCAGGCTCATTGGTCTGAGCTAGCACCTTGATCAATGAATTGAGACATTCCAACATCATTGAATCCTCTTCGAGATACAGGTCAATAAATGGATGATGAGACCAGTGAATTGCATTGGAAATCAGGTCCTCCATAGATTTAATCTGTTGATTCAGTGATTGCACCTCCAACTTTGTGGGACCTAATTGTGATAAAATGATCAAACGAGGAAGCAAAAGTTTTCGTAGTAACATAGAATTCGATATTTCTTTAAAAATTATTTCTGGTTGATCGTCAACCGTTCCGTCTAAAGGAAGGTAATCTTTAGGGTTAAGATTTGACTCCAAAACAGAGAGTAATTCTTCAAGATAACCATGATCATTTAACTTCGACTCAATTAATACCAAGATAAAATCCAGGTAACAATCGAGACCACATCTTTGATTATTGACAAGTTTAAGTAGGTTGATACTTGAGCTTATCGGCCATTGCATTTTTCTTTTAATCATCTCGGTGGCAAGCTTGATTAAACTGCAAACACAATGACCTTTACACCGAGGTGTTTGCGTTTCAACCTGGAGAAGTAACCATTCCATGATTAACTCTTGATCTGCGCTTCCAAGATTTATTAACTGGCTCAATAAATCACATTTCTCGTAAGGACAATCAGCCTCAACATGGTCAAGAATAGCTTGACAATTTAGTGAATCAGTATACGGAATACATTTATGCAAAATGTACTTCAAATGGCCATCTTTTGCACTATTGTAGCTATCCAACCACTCAGAAAGGGGTATTCTCTCCGTTTTAGGGTCCAGTAAGATCTCACTGAATTTCAACAAGGGCTCCAAATTGAGATTAGCCATTGTAATTTGTAGCCAACAATTTTTATCCAACTCACAACAGGATATTTCTTTGTTTACAGGATAACTTAGGTTGTATGTTGGTAAAACAAAGGAGGTTTAGTATGTAAAGCACAGTTTCACTGAAATGAAATAATAAAATGAAACACTGATCAAGGTTTGTCTAAACAATAAATTAAATTGCACTAGAAAAAAATTAGGATAAACAATGAAACAAGTGAATAGCAGCAATAGTGAACACTTATCACAATCTTTTTACAACATAAGGGTCACCAGATGTGTTTGTACTTTCACCCAAAGGTAGATGTAGCCTTATCACAGAAATATTGAGACTTTAATTTGACAAAAACAATATTTTATATTAGTGTTGTATTTAATAAGTTAAAATTGACCAGTTGAAAATATATTACAAGAACTAATAAATTAAAAAAGGACTATTTAACAATAACTGGTATACACATTTCGTGTTTAAACCAAAGTGACAACAGCTGATTAGGGTTAATCTGAGCATCACCAGAGACACTGTAGCTTCTGGCGGGCTTAATATAATTTCTGAAGCCTTTATTCACTTTATCGCTCTAACTCTACTAATAGTAATTTGATCTTCAAATTGACAATTTTAACTTAATTAGTAATTCAAAGACCCAAAAGTAATTTTAAATCATCCTCCAGTAAATTATTTGAGCCAACACTGTGTTTCAGCAACATCAAGTAAGTGCTATCCAGGGAAATTTGAAACTTCATTGATTGACATAGATTCACAAAGATTTTAAGTCAAGTTTAAACTAAAAATTGAACCTAAAACTTGAGAAAATTAAAAATATTTTGTCTGTTTAAATAATTAGAAGCACTTGAGCTTAAGTAAGAAATCGTTAATTGTAGACGCTACTCAAGTGTTATTAAGTTGCTTCAAAATACAATTAATGGGACAAATACCGACAGATAACATACGCAATTTTGTCTAACAATTATGAAGCTCTCAATTACCAGATCCACCAATTATTTTGTTGGAAATCATTTCTTCTATTTTCAATCATTGCGACTAAATTACTATGAGATTTCAACTTAATTGGGTTGAAATACAATTCAATAATGGAATTCAAATTCATCATTTAGCTGTTTATCAATGATTGAAATAAGAAGATTGAAAGTGACGGATAACATTTCAAATTAAAAATTTAAGGACAAGGTTAAATGGGGAAATTTGTTATAATTACCATAAATTTAGATTGCCAGTTTATTTGATTATATCTCTGGCAGTATAAATTAAACAAAACACAAACAATTATAGTTTAATTACAAAACAATTTTGACAACTCTATTTATAATCAAAAATTGGCATCGCATCAAAATGAAGTTTATATTAACAAGCATTGTAAGTTGAAATTGATAAAGTTTAACGACTTCAGATTTAGATGTATGAGATTGATCACAATTCAATGGTTAACAGCTTTCTAGAATCTGATATAACAATCGAGTGAATAAAGTATAGTTTGAAATTGCAACTAGACCGGTATTTAATGATAATCTTAATTGAATCTATCACAATTTGTGTCAATGTCGTTACAAGTTATTTGTCAAGCAGCTTTTACGGCGCCACAATTTCATATCTTTGCTCCATCTATTGATAAGTATTTGCACTAATAGTGATGTTTCAATTTTTGATTTGATTGAAGTTAACTAGAATCAACATTTACATAATTGGTTCATAATCATAGTGTATTGTCATCTGTGCACAACTAATTATCTATGTGAAGCATTCTTTGTTTAACCTAATTTCAAATTGTGTTGATGGATACATCTTATACATTGTAACAGTTTGAAATAAGCTTCAGATTAATATCTGACTTATTAAATGTGATTAAATCTGAAAGGATACAAGCTTTTCAGTTGTTTAAGATTATTGTAGAGAAATGTGTAAGTTAATTGGTACCAATTGTTTGATATTGGAATGAACAAAACTTCGGTTTTTAATATTAATTAAGGTTATAGATGGTTCTAATTTCCAATAAATCTTATCGATTATAACACAATCAAATGTTGTTTTTTCAAAAGGAAATAAAATGTGAACCAATTGTTTTGTAAGCAAGTTTACTCGTTTTTGATTTGATCTTTATCAATAAGATCGACATTTATTATGAAAATAATAATAACAATAATAATAATAATAAATTTGTATGAAAAAAATGAGTAGGTTGTAATACCAATAACAAATTATCAAAACAATCTATTGAGACAATCTTCAATGAAAATAACCAAGCGGTAAATGGTAAGGTTGCTTTTCCATGTTGATAATTCCGACTGATCGAGTAATTGGTGAATTATGATTGCTTGAAATTAAATGCTTATTGTAATGAAACTCATTTTCATTATTAGATTTCAATGAGGATGATGATGGTGATAATTCATAGTTGGTTTCTGAACCGCCACCAGCAGGAATCGGAGGAATATAGAGATTAGAAGATAATGTATTTTTTCTTGGTGTTGGTGCTAAACCTAGAGGTGAATTGAATCCGATTCCTTTGCTAATCAAAGCTTGATTACCAACTAATGAGCGCAATAAACTAGCAATTGGAGGTACATAAAGGGCTGAAGGTTTAATGGGATTATTATCGCTGGTTGAAAGTGAAACTGTTGTTGGCAAAACTGTAGTTGCTGACTCGGTTGAAGTAATTATTGTTGATGCCATTGTTGTAGTTGGTAGTGGCGTTGATTTAATCGGTAAAACTGGTGTGGTAAGGTCTGAACCTTTAGCTGTCATGATCGAGCCAAAAGTTGATGGTGAACTGGTTGTAGTGATTGTTGATAATAAAAATGGATTATTAAGGCTTATCGGTTTCATTTTTGTTAGAGATGGTGATGATGATGGCTGTTGTTGAGTTGAATTAGTGATTTCTGGTGATTCTGTGCCTTTTGTTGTTATAACTGTAATTGTGGCTGAAGTTGACGTTGACGATGGTGATGGTGTTGATGAAATTATCGTCGTAGGCTGCAATGTTGAAATTGTTGATGGTTCATCAGTTGCTGACTGTGTGGGTGATTCTGATAAAGCCTTTTCTGTTGATATGGCTGATAACAGAGTTGTCGACTCTTCATTTTCCTGAGTTGACACAGGAACATTAGTTGTTGTTGCATCTGTAGCTGATGTGGATATTGATGCAATTGTTGTTGAATTATCGGAATAAGTTGTTGTTGTCGTTGCTGCAGTTGTTGTTATTATAGGTATTTTATTTAGAAATACTCCTTTACGATAGCCCATTCTTTCAGGTCTGTGTCCTCGAGGAATACGGATTATCTTTGTTCTATGCAATTTATCTGACCCTTCATTAGAATTAGTAAAGTTTAGCTGAACATTCGATGTTGAAGGTTTGGAGAGGAACATTCTACCTCTTTTATACCAAATTTTAACAATTTTTTTCATTGGTTTACTCGAATCTTTGGGAATTTCAAGTCGAGTCTCTACTCTATGAGGTTCATCCTGGGAGGAATTTTGTTTAATCAAAATGCGTTCAAGCCATTCATCTTTTTCCTTGGTTATTGGCGAAAGTAAATGATTGATTCCATTATTAACTGGTTCATTTGGCAACTTTGGGAATTCACCTGAAATATTTTCACTGGCAGTATAATCATTTGTTGAAGGTGAAAATGTTGTTGTTGATGATGGTCTTACATCGTTGTTGATTGATTGAGACCAATTGGATTGGATTGATTTGCTTGTCAATTCAGCTGACAATAGACTAGCCTCAGTTGTTGTTAATAAATTTTCAACAGTTGAAGACGGACTTTCAGCAATAGTTGTTGATGAATCTTCAATGGTTGATTTTGATGTAGATGTAGTAGTTGGTTGATTATTTTCATTTGAATAAGTGACACTTGCCATTGGTGTCGTAACTTCATCGCCAACTAAACCAAGATCAGGTTTAATTGTTGTTACATCATCCAAACCAGAAGATCTCATTTGTATTGTTGAGCTTACTGTTGTTGTTGGCAATGATGAGGATGATGAGGAAGATAATATTGTTGTGGGCAGTGTTGAAGGTGATAATGTTGTCGGTTCATCTGTTATAATCTCAGGTAATGCTTTAATCTCAGTTGTTACTTCAGTTAACCTAGAAACAGTTGATTTATCAATTACTGTTGAAGGTAAAGTTGATGTTGATGAAAATGTTGTCCCTTCCGTTTGTAAGGATAATGTAACTGATTGTGATTTTCTAGTTGAACCAGTTATTAATCGATTGTTAATAACTTGTTTATGGGTTAAATTAGGTGTTACTTTAACATTTCCATCAGCAACCTTAAGAGTTTGATCGGTTAATAAAGAATAAGAATTATCAGCTTGATTAAATGTTACTGGTTCTTCAGGTTTCACTGTTTCAGTTATTGTTTCTGAGACTGGCGTTGTTGGCATTGATGTTGTAGTTTCGGGTTTTATGGTGATGGTCAATGACTGATCTGGTAAGTTCAAAATTGATTCAATTGGTTTTTCATTCAATTTTTCATCCTTTTCTTCATTTCCAGAAGATTGAGTCGATGAAATTGCAACAGAAACTGATTCGGTCAATGGATTGGCCGATTCTAATGAAGAATCATCTCCAAGAGTTTTATCATCAGTTCTATTCAGATCTTCGGAATGTTCGAGTACAGAAGATTTTGTTGTCGGACTCGTTGACGAAGAAGTATCAATCACTGGAGTATAAACAGGTTGAGTTTGGAGGCTAAAGTCTAAAGTGATAAGTAGAGCAAAGAAATATGAGAACAATGTAAATTTGCAATTTTAATTCAAATAAATTTTGAGCTGTTAATAAGGATTTTTATAATGGTTAATGAAAAATGGTTATTGACTTACCATTGTAATTTAGGCCTCTTAAAAGTCTTGAATCATAATAGCCTAAAGATTCGAGTTGACCATCAATAGGATTGTTCAATCTCGTTCCATAGGTGCTCAGTATCTCTACTTCTGGTATTGTTGCTTCACGGTAACGTGAAATATCACTAAGATTGATTGGTGAAGGCGCTAATGAACTAGTTGATTTGATTTCTCTAGAGTATAAGTTGTAAATATCACCAATGTTACTATCACTACTACTACTGCTACTGCTGCTGCTTGAGGTTACTCTAACACTTTCTGTTTCACCTAAATCATCTTCAGATGATTCTTCAAGTACAGGTTCTCTTGAAATACTTATTGTTGGTAAATAAGTATCGTTTTTAAGGTTATTATCTGAAGATGTTGCATCTTCAGATCTTCGTAGCCTATCATTTTCATCGAATGAAACCGTTTCGTTTTCATTGGAATGTTCAGAGTTGACCTGATTTCTGATGAAAATCGGATGATTTATTAATGCCTCAGTTGTTGTTGATGTTGTTGTTGTTACTGTTGATGGATAGGTAGACGGTGTCTTTACAGTTGTTGTTGTTGATGATGGCGGTGGAGGTGGAGTAGATGAGGATTGTGGTTGTGATGGGGAAAGTTTATTCAATTGGGAGGTTCTGGATGATGAGATTGATGAGGATGATCGTCTTCTAGATAAAGATGAAGGGTGAATGTTAAGGCCACTTGGAATCCTGAAACTTTCTAATTCTTTTAAATCATCTTCATCGTTTGAATTACTTTTGATTGGAGTTAGATTGGATTCTTTATAGCTACCATAAACGTCAGATTTTTGATCGGGAATGTGTTTCTTGATCAAAGAGGCTTGATCAAAGTCAAATTGAAAAGCTGTTTTAGGTGGTCGAGTGTATCTCAATTGACCATCATCAGTTTCTTTAACAACAGAACCAGAAGAGGAAGTTGATGAAGATGCTGATAAAGTCGTGAATAATCCTTTGTCTCTATTTAAGGTTAACCGTTCATTATTACGGCCTTGGTTATGCGATGATTGAGGTGATAGGGAATGAGTTAGACGTGATTGTTTTGAGCTTGAAGAGGAAAGTGTGAAAGGTGTTGATTCAGAAGAAGATGATGTTGATGAGGTTGACAATTGGTTGTTGGAAGACGATGGATAATCACGATGATAGAGAGATGGTTGATGGTGATGATGTGAACGTGAAAAGGATGGTTCTTCCTTTGGTTTTGAAGATGGAGATAAAATTTTCTTGAATGGTATTGAAGCCCCAAATGAACCTTCCCATGGAGATAGCGTGGAGGGTGCTGGAGTCGTCGACGGTGTTTCAGCTAAATGTGCTTCTGGATGATAGAGAGGAGGATTAAATTTAGCTGATAAATCAATTCCAGCAGAAAGTCCAAGATCTCTTTGACGTGCGGTTGCTTTAAAAAAGAGTGGTAATGATGTTGATCCACCTGAGCCTCCAGTAACATCTTCATAAGCATAGTAACCCGTTGATCCGGCAACATATTTAACTTGACGGAAAACACCAAACGGATCAGTATAACCATAACGACCAATAACGGTACCATCAGGTAAACGAGTTTCCTCCCTCATTAACCGAGGTCCATTATCAACTGCACCCGATCCACTGCCACCTGGATGATCTCGAGTATCATATCCAAAATTGTAGGTTGATGTTCCGTTGATCCCATTACTGGTTCCCAAAACAAAATGATATGGACTCGGTAAAACCAGGCTAACAGCAAAGGCTAGTAAATAAATTGTAAAGGCCTGAAATCAAAGAGAGAAAAAAAATGAAACAATTAGTTGGCTGTTTTCAATGATGAAAAGGTTGGCATCGTTAGGCATTGTTATTAATTGGTGGAAATTGATTGGTTGTTGGTTGGATTTCAGACTTTCTGATTGTCAGGCGTTGATATACATGTTTTGGGTTGATTGACAACAATTGGGTTCGGTTACTCGCCTTAATCAATGAAAATTGATAAAACATAAATAAATAGCAATCATAAACATATTACACGGTGGCAATTAGCAGTGATACGTTTAAATGTGAACTAGTTGAAATGGGCAATCGCTTGGTTAACTGTTTACATTGAACACTAAATAAGATTCTAATCAAGGTTGATCAAGATTGATTTTGTTTTATTTAGATTCAACATTTAAATCGTTTACATTACTCTCAATTTTACCCAAGGAGAGTCGTCCGTAGTTAAGGAATGCAGGTCAATTTTAATGGTTTAAATAACGCATAATAAGTGATATAAGTAATCGTAACAATTTTAATAACAATAAGAGTTGAACCAACATAATAACCAGGCTTCAAGTTGTTGACAAGAAATTTTGTAGCCAATTTTGATTGCGTTGTTTGATTAATATTCAATTTATATTTTTATTCACTGATGGTTAACTAATAGGCAACAATGGACATCAACAGATTTTTCAAGGGAAGTTAAAACAATGAAAATCTTTGAATGTGAATTGTTACACTAATTGATTGTAATGGACCAACACGCGGTTAATTGTATAAGATTAAAATTAATAGCCAATTGAAGAGTAGGCTTACAAATTATAGTATTATCAACAAGGAAATTTAAATTTTCATTTCAACAATCAAACATTGTTATGAAATTAACAGTTGAAATGAAAACTGAAAAGGTCGATCAAGGTGAAATGAACATGTTAGAGTGAAACTTGAAAGCGTTTTCAATTATAATTGTAATGTTTAAATCACTGTTGTTATTGATGATGATGATGATGATGAAAAAGGTAAGTTTATCATTATTAAATTGAGACATAATAATAAAAGTACAGTTAGTAAATAAGATTTGTTTACAATAGAGATTGCTGAGTGAGAGAAAAAAAAGGAAAACAAAACCCGAAAATGAAACAATCTTATGAACAAAATCGTAGTTCTTCATTTAACTGACCTTGATATCGACACAGTTTAACAGTTAAGGTGCGTTTAAATTAATCATCAATTCAACCTAATCATGATCACATTGAGAATCGGTTGAAGATTCAAAGGTTTTGTATATTTAAAAGCTGCAAAAGTGAAACAATGAAGAGCAAAATAGTTTCAATGTAAACCCAAATGAAATGTTAAAAATTGATTAGCTTCGGTTGATAGTTGATCAACAATTTGGATCATCAAAAATTGGATTATCAGAAACAACTGTTATTGTTGATCAGTTTGGATTGACTTTGGATATTTTTTATGATCAATGATTAAAGGTCAAGATTTTGAGATTATCCTTGATAACCTTTTCACAATCATATGAACAAATGTAACCTTAATCAAATGAATCCTAATAAGGAGTAGACTTAATTAGCCATCATTTGTGGTTAATAACGTGTTAAACACATTTCAACTTTCCTCAACAATTATCATTCAACAATTATTGAGTTACATTTGCTTATCGATTCATCAATTTTAGCTAATTGTTCACAGTTGCTAACAATTAGGTTCACATTTGATCACACGTCGAGTTAGCATTTAATCAACTGCAGTTATTAACAAGCTAAATGCAACATCAATGTGTTAAAAGATTCAGTTTGGGTTTAAATTGTAAAACAAAGATATCGACTACATACCATGTTAATTGTAGTAATTTAACCGGTTTCAATTGATGGACACAAATAGATTTGACCAAAAGGTCGTAATATGAGAAGACATTATTAAGTAAAGTTGACAATGGCAATCATAATGGTCATTAAGTATTGTATTGTGAAATCTTGATGTTGACCAACAAACGTATCAAATAACTGAACACACAAATTAGATAATCACTGATGGATTGAACACTGTTTAATAACTAGTAACACAAACTCAACCATAAGTATCATAATTGGTGAAACAAATGTTTTGCAGATTCAAAGAGATTCAAATTTGAGATAATTGGGTGAGAAAAAGGAGGAGATAATCATTAGTATCATGATATAAGATTGAAATAAAAAAACAAATAATAGCAACTGAGTTTAGCGGCTCAAAGTGAATGGTGAAACAAGTTTGAATGAAATTTGCGAAGAAATTGAAAGAGAGAAGAAAAGAGTTGAAAATATGATTGAAAGGTCCACTTTTGGTCAAGTTAAAATGGTCAACTTGCAACTGTAACTGGAAAAACCTTACACACCTTCAACAGGGGGAGAGATTTAAAGTAAGAATGAAAGAAAGGGAAACAATACAGGGAGACAGAAAAGAAAGTAAAATGAGAAAAGCGAAAGTGAAAAAGTAAAGCTTTTTCAACACGTACTCAACACGCCTTAATCGTAACCATGTTTAAATTATTATCATTATTTTTACCCAACAACACCTTAAATTTTTCTTGTTCATTTGCGTTTATGAAAATTTTGGGTAAAAAACTGACCAAAAACTGGTCTTTCAACGATTTTTAGTTTTCAAATTTTTAAACTGATTATTGGTCATTGGGATTGATTATTGGTTCAGTTCAATAATTGATACATTTTTTGCATAACTGTTTTGTTTTGTACGATCCTATTAACTATATCCAATTGAAGGTTTGTCTGAATAGACAATTTTATAATTCAAATGAGTAAACTTGACTAAAATAAGCTCAGCTGATGGTCATTATTTGATAATCAGGTAATCTCATTTAGTAAAACTAGATGTAGACTGAATGTTATCTAATTGAGTGGATGTTAGTATTGAAGGAGTTTTATTTTGCTTTCTTATGTGGTGATAGCAATAAGCTCAATAATACTGAGTATTCATTGAAATTGGTAACAATCAAAGACCATGGTAAATTGATACAGTTATATGGTTGGCTTAAAAAAGTGATGGTAATAATATAATCAAGTAATGAATTGAGAATAATAGTGAATTGAATGAGAATATGAACATGATGAACAAACTGAAATAAATTGGTAAGTTAAGTTTACCCTGAGGCTTGAAAAAATAAACCAACTCAAGTTAATCATATTCTGATTGAGTTCATTTATGTTTAGTTTCTTTTGATTTACTTCTTAATTTTAACAATCTCAATCTAATCCAAGGTTAAATATTTTTGGGGGTTAACTGTTTATTATTATTATGATTTTTAAAAGATTATATTATTATAATACTAATAATTAGAATTAAAATCTACTATAAAAAAACGTATTAAATTCAAGAGTAGCACCCAATTGATTGTGGTTAAAAGGAAGTTACAATTAAATGGTATGATTGGAATTCTCATTGATTATTGTGATTATTGAGATGTTAACTTACCAATAGAAACATTCAAATGGCTTTGGTGAAAAATAACTGATTTATCAGCGAAAAAAATGGTTCACATAAATTAAAGTTGAGCTGAAGATGAAATGGAAAGGACTAACCGAAAAAATTACCAGAAAAATGGTTCAACACATTGAAGGAACCAGAAAAGGGCAAATGTAAAGATCCGTTAATTTTTAAATCCAATAAGATGATTCAATGTTGAAACTATTGTTACAGTTGATTAGGTTATTGATGGCGATGATAAAAGGTTTAATTAACAATTCAACGGTTAATTAGATTCACAATAGATAAGATTGGCCGGTAGATTGGGAAAAAACATTGAGAGGGAAATATTTTAGATGGAAGGCAAGATGACTTCCAGAAAAGTGTTTGGTATAACAAAAGTGAAGTGATTGAGTCAAACGGACAAACTGATGGTACCAGTGAGTAATTTATTGTGTTTGTGTGAGCGTTTAACGTTAAGATTGTAATTGTTATTTTGTTGCGAGAAGAAGAAGAGAGAAGACGGAGATAGACAGAGAAGAAAAAGAAAGACAAAAAAGTAAAAGTAAAACAAATTAATATTATAAAATGTTGAGCGGGAAAAGCATTTGATTTTTGGGCGACGGTTAACCTATTAGTTATCAGTTAACAGTCGGTAAAGGAGAGAAATAGAAAGGAAGAAAGGGAAGATTGAAGATAGAAAGTAGATGATGACAAGTGATAAGACGAATGGAAAGAAAGAGAGATTGAAAGGGCGAGATCAAATGTGTCTTATGTAGGTGTTTAGATGTACACATTCAAGGAAGCTCTCGAAGATGACGATCAAGCTTTCACTTTAACTGGATTCAAAGGATTATCAGGTATTTATTGTTTTGTTTTAATGTAAAATTGTGAACATTTTTAACTACTTGTTTCTCAATTTAATCGGGATATCATGAATTTAACCGATTTTCTGGTATTTTCTGGTTAAATAAGGCGATCAGATGACACAAAATGGCTATCCTGGGAAGAATCTTTCATGGTTTAATATGGCTACCTGAGGAGTCAATTAAGATTAGTGATTCAAGATATTCTTCCAAATTTAATCTCTTGGCATCCCTTATTACGGCTTAATATAACAATCATCATAATCATCACCATCAATCAGGATCACCAGAACCATCATAATCTTCCAACATCTCTTCCATTTGGATGAAAGATTGAAATCAATTGTTCATTGGTCAAGAACCTATGGTTTTAGATTGGCCTTATTTTGTACGATAATTATTGATTGTTCCTGATCTTGAGGTTTATTTGTATTAATCATGGCTTTCGTGTTAACGTGATGACAATCTGATTTTAAGCCAGTTTTGTGTTCAAACGTATTTTTTGTAAGCAAATAATTTTATTGTAAATATGTTTGCTTTACTAAATTAATCCAAGTGCAATTTGTTGGATTGTTTCACATTGAAATTTATAACTTTGAAACAATACATATTACATGCTAATGTAAACCATTTGTTTCTGCCATTTATCTGCTTTGATTATGGTTAATTAATGATTCTCATGAGTTGATTGTATTCATTGTTTTCCATTAAATTGCAGGTTTAACGAAATACTAACAACTACAATTATAATTGATGATTTCAAAATCAAGGCTAAAGGTTTAATTGCCAATTCTAATTTTTAAGTTAACTGATTAAAAGGGCAGCGAAAAGTTGATCAATTGATTCTTTGTTAATAATCCATAACCTATCAACAACCTTACTCTTACAGCATGAGCTTATAGTCATGTAATTAGATGTTGGTTAAATTGAAATGTTATTCAAATCATTTTTAGCATTTTATGCCTGTTAGTTGATATTAGAGCAAACATAATGTTATTAATATTAATTTAGGTTCATTTATTTCCTGGATAATTGAATAATTTGAATGACGGTATCTGTGAATGGTTTCAAGGCTATCTTTGGGTCAATTAAGTTTTCAAATATAATCAAGTTATAATAATAAACTGTAATCACAAAAAAGGATTATAATGGACAATTGTTTAATTAAACTGAACTGGTAATACATCTTTATCATGTTGTCATCAAGAACATCAAAAAGTCACTAGAGAGAGAAAGAAAAGTAATGTAGATTAAATATGAATTGAATAAATCTTATTCTAATCAATATTGATTAAGATTGAATGGCATTCAATTTTGATGTTTATAAGGGTTAACAGCAAGTTCATGATGCATGGTATTACTATTACTCTTTATTCAATTTCTTATAATTACCATTTCTTAATGTCCAATCAATTTTGGCTGGTCGTCATAATTATTTTATATAGAAATGATTGATAAAAGGAAGCCTCCAATTAATCATTATATCACTTTGAAAGTGTGAACATGGATAAATGTTATTGAAACATTGAGTTAATCAATATTTAATTGACAACAGGCATGAAAAAGGTATAAGGTATTAGTGAAAAATAAGAAGAAAACAAACCTTTATTTGTGATTAAATTTGTAAATCCATAATTGACCTTTTTGCACTCAAGCCAACCTGTAATCTATTACCTCAAACACCTCAGGCCATGGGAGAGACAAAACAGCTCCAAAAGCGATTCAAAAAGGGTCCAATAAATCACATAATCAAGTAAATTGTTCAAAGTACTTTTCATGAAAAACGTTGGAAACCAAGCGATTGTTTGTTTCACCATCGCCATCTCACGAAATCAAGGGTTAATTAAAATAGACAGAGATTTGTCCTTTGTAAAGATGGCGCTAAAATGCTTCCAGCATGGATTAGCTTTTCTATCTAATGAATCTTGAATTTTGTTTAATGTGTAACGTTGCGATTTATGATCTAATTTTGTTTTATTATTGCTTATTCAATTTATCAGTGTCGATTTGAATATAACGTAATAATGGTGTTTATTGTCCTGTTAAGGCGATACCTGGCGTTTATTGGAGTGATCTACCAACAAACATCTCAATTCATAACCATTTGTTGTACTTAGATGGTAAGGGTGTTTTTATTGGTAATCGTAATAACGGTAATTACTGACTATGGGTAAGTGAAATACAATACAATATGTGTTATACAAATCAATGAACTTGTACAATTCTTGGTTGTAATCACTTTCATTTTTCTCTGCCTCTCTTTTCTCTCTTTCTTTAGCGTGTTCTTGAAAAACCATTTTCGGTATTATTGTGAACATCATCGTCAACATCATCGCCATCATAAACCATCACTCTCATCGTAATAGAGTCTCTTGATCATCTTTTACTTGCGAAGGTGTCTTCTACTTTCATAATTTTTTGAAACTAAATTAAGGTCGAGGAGAAATAAACAAACCAAACAAGCTGACACTCATACGAAGAGAGTGAAAGTTAATTACGAAGGTCAATTTCAGGCAAAATTGTCTATAAATTGTAATGATGAGTAGGTTGATTATGAGAAATCATTTCTGTATCCAGATTATGTCACTAAATGTATTAACTTGAGTCACCTAATTGTCATTGAAAACAAAAATTCTGATCAGAAGTTTCTTTTCATTTTTTTCTATTTCTGCAGAAATCCATTCCCATCCAATTCAGTGGCCTGGAATAACCTGATTGTCCTAGCTAATTAGCTCAACTTTCATTGAGAAGACCATTTTAAACAACAAAGGTTTTAATGATTAATTGCTGCCCATGAGTAAAAATCCCCGCTTTACCCGTTTAACCGTTATTTTATTAACAATCCAAGTAATCAGCCAATGATTTATTTGCTGTTTAAATGCAAACTAATCAGTTTGCTATCAACATTTCAAGCATTTTTTCACCCAACTTATCTTAATCATCATTAACAAATCAAGCACATATTCATCAAAATGTTAAAGCCCAAGTCAAACTGAATTTACTGATCATTCAACAATCTCTAGTCAAGGTTAATTGGTTTGATTAATCAACAGTATATTTATAATATAATAACTGTAATACATTTTGATCTGGATGTGATTCACTGACAACTTCAATTATGTTACCTTTACACAAACTGAGCAAATTGAATCTGTAAATTCTTGGGGAGGTTTTCAATTCGTTCATTTAACTGCAAGTAATCAAGAGTTAATAACAGACCCAAAGAAACGCTAAATTCAAGAGTAAAAGAGTTTAGTTTGCTAACAATCGTACCTATTAACAGCAATATAATCAGTATTATTAGCAGCACAAGTAAAATTATTTAAAAGCCCATTTGCTTAAAGGTAAACACGATTTGATTTTGTTGCAAAGATTAGATCCAAATAGCTTCTGATTAAGTCACGATTATATTAGTTTCCTTTCAATTTACCTTACCATTGTAATTGTTGTTAAAAAATATGAAATTAAAATCAATCTTTCGTTCTTTTTTACTATTTAGGAAGTTAAAATTTGATGGTCAATCAAATGATTATCAAGGTTATCAATTACCGTTACATTGAAAAATGAGAATACCAAGCATTTCATTGGATTACCCTGCAATTGGATCAACAACCAACCAGACTTGATGTCATTTCGATCAACAATTTCGACTGTTTCTGGTACAAATATCACATCTGGATCACTTGTGACTAAATGCTAAATTGTAAACGAACTGTGAACTCAAATCATGTCCTGGTTATCAACAGTAATTGATAATTGGATAACTCAACAATCGATAAATCGATCAGGGCCGAGAAGTGTTTGATATTTACAAAGCTTAAACTAAAATTGAAAATTGGTTGAAATCGTTTGGAAGTTGAATTTCAATTCTACAGAGCAACAGAGTTCTACAGCTCCAATTAGCTGATATTATTCAGGAATCTACAAAATTCGAGATCATCATTCATCCCTTTTTGTTTGTATTATAATATTAATAGTTTAGTGATTGTTATTTTCCTTAAAATAGTGCTTTCAATCTGGTCAATTAATTGTTTCAATTTGATTTGAATACACCCAAGTTGTCACAAAAATTTGCTCAGAAAAGGTACAAAATTTAAGGAGCGAATTTAACTTTCCCTGAGTAAATTTCCCGGAAGAATGTTAGTGATTACTGTAAATTGGGTTAATTTTTTGTTTTGGTTAATCATTGTATGATATTGTAAAATAGATTATTCAATGTTTGATCGATTGTCAAATTAAACTAACCAATCGATTAGGATGGATTAGACTCAAAGTTAACCAGAAAATAAGTTCACCTTTCCAATACCTTACAAAATTATTCAGCAACAATCAATTTTGCTCAATTTAGTTTACCTTTGACACGTAAATATCAAACAATAACAAATTAGATTTTTTTACAAAACATTTGCCTGTTTCAGGATCAAAATCTAGCTTAATTGACGATCAGATTTGTCTTTTTAATATCTCTAATCATACCCATTAGACTCATCAGTAGTCAAGTTTCACTTTAAATCGTAATTAAACCCATTGTTTCAGAAATCTGATTGAAGATTAATCAAATGTTCAACTCAATTTATTAAATAATAATCATAGTTAAACATCAGATGAAACTGTCAGTTAGCTCAACTACAGCCTACACATAGTAGATGTGAACAGCTTTTTGTAAAAATATTACCCGAACCCAAATTATGCAAAATGGAGAAGAAGAAGAAAAAAGCAAGCAAATTACAATTAAAAATGATCAATATCAAGTCATCACAGGAAACTCACCTTCATTTAACTCTGTAGGAAGCAATAAATAATCATTTACAATCTGGTTAAATAGTGATTAAAATTTTGTAAACTTGTGTTCAGTTAATCAACCAGATTGAAATACGCTAACTATCCTTTCAATCCTTACTGACATGATCTCAAATCAACAACAATTAACAAGAAGTCCTCCTTGTTTCCTACTTACAATAGACTTTAAATGTTCACCTTTTTACTGATTAATATTAGCTCATTTCAACTGCTCATCAACATGTTTCTAATGAGAAATTTAATCAACAACCAAAAGATTAACTTTATTATTCCTTCATTATTTCCTATTTAGCTTGTTAACAAAGCTCTCAGTGTAAGCAACACTAATAACAAGACTTAAACAAGCAATTTAGTCAATTTGAGTGGATCGATTGACTAATTGTTTGTAAGATTAAATTTTCTCCTTCCATTGATCACTTGTTAATGTTTTTGTTTTAAAACATTGCTATTAAATAAACCCTTCATTTCTCATCAGATTGCAGCTTAATTATTTTACATGATTAATCTTTTGATGATACCAAATAGCTGTTGTCACGATTGATCGTATCAATTTTATGATTGATTGTTAATTTCACTCAAATCAGTGTTTTAAAATGAATTATAGCAATTGTAATTGTTGATAATTAGAATTGTTTGCTGTTGAATGATTATTATTGAAAACAATTCTAATTAAATTTGTTTCTTGATTAACCTTAGGTTCTTGGATGGATGGCAACTTCTGAATCGTAAAAACCAAATTTTAATTTGCAATTTTGATTTTACTTTATCTGAATTTCCCAAGCATTAATCAAATTAATAAAATTGATCGATATTGATTTTTTAATCTAGTCTGTTCGTTACCACTGTTAACTGTTAGTTGTTAGCATTGAACTTTCAGAGTATTAAGAGATTAAGTGAATGTTGAATATAATGGAACATATTTTTACAATGTTTTAACCAGTCATATTAAGTAATGGGTTTATATTACCCAGACCGTAACATTGATAGAATATGCTAATCATAAATTGATTGGAGGGTTGATTTTGAACACGAAAGGAAGGGACAAATTAACCGATAGAGATTGAATATTCATATCAAAATCGATCGAAATTGTTAGTGAATTCAAATTATTTAATAAAGATAAATAACATTAACAAGTTTATATAAATATTGTTTAAAGAGTTTGATTCTTTAAGCTAAATTGCGTTGACAAAGTCAAATATAACCATTTTGTTTCAACCATTGAAATAGACTGGTTTCATCAGATGAGCTTTCCGATATTTAATCACAAGTCTTGATAAAATGATAAAATTTCCATCTAACAGACAAAATCGGCAGTATTCTCAGCAGCTTAGAGCCTGGTTGGATAGGATGAAACTGAGAACCAAGAAACTATTCCGTAGATAAATATTTGACAGTCTGCTTGAAAATATCCAGTCTGAAGCTTCATTGAAATTGTTGTCCAAGCTGAAATTAGTTGATTTGGTTGTATTGGCTTTCATCGTTCTACGTCAAAATGCCTTGTAATATCCAACTAGAGTTTTTAAAGGAACTAGATTTAAGAAAAATTTCAGAAAGGAAGAAAACATTGATAAATCGATAAGTAAGACTTATCTGGGAAGAATTTTTCCTGTTTTAATGTTATAGCCGGTTGGATAATAGGCTTGTCTTTCATAGGCTACACCATAATGTTTGGCGATTTCGATTCGTTTTTTAGTTGATTCAATTTTTTCCTTTATTAAATTATCATCGCTCAAATTCTTATTAGCACGAAATAAATTTCGAGTTTCATCTCTGATGTATTCACGTTGAGCTTGAGTTTCTTCAACACTGATTGGTGTCCATGTTTTGGATAGATTTAACAGCTCTTTATATAGAGACAAGACTTGACGATGTGACATGATGAACATTTGTAAGTTAACACAACGACGGTAATGAATAGACAAACAAAATTGGATAATAGGCTTAATTATTAAATGAAGACTATGCAGTTTACATCAAAATGCAGTGTTTACATTTTCAAAACATGTGTTTGAAAGTCAACCTGAAACAAGTTGTCCATAGATCCGAGTCTCTCTTTTGGATACCAGTACTACTTGAATTTTTTTAGATTTAACAATTTAAATGAGAAATATAAAAAAATTAATTGTCCGATTCATATCAAAATAAACCTAATTTGAAGTGTTTCTGCATTTAAAGAAATATTTTGGTACAATTTTTCAGCTCAGAGCTTTGCATTTACACAATCCGAATCAAGACTCGATACTATCTATTAATCAGTCAAAATTTTGACTAATGATTAAAAATCTGACTTCTAATAAGCTGATAAATTTGTTAATTTGACAGATTTCGATCAATTTCAATCAACTTGAACATTGACTGAACGATAAACAAACATGAATGCTTAGAGGACGCATAGATCAAAAACTATACAATCTTTGAATTCAATTTAACCGCGCTTTCTATCCTAAAGACAGGTTTAATTTTTTGTGTTGTGTTTCACATCTGTTTGGTTTATTTTGCTTTCTTCATATTAAAGTTTAATTAATTTCTGCAATCATGTCTTTTGGTATTCAAGCCATCGTCTTAGCTGCTGGACGAGGATCAAGGATACCTGAGTTGGTATCATCACAACCTAAATGTCTTTTACCTATTGGTAATCGCCCAATGATCTATTACCCATTACATGCTTTAGAGTCGTGCAAGTTTTCTGGTGAGTTGTTCATTAACCCGTAATTTGGTTTGATTTCGATGAGCCTAGACAATCAGTTTTTATTGAAATAGATTCCCCTCTTTGTGGATTTGACCGGCATATCGGAATTGAACCAAACCACTAGCTACATACTATTGAACCAAGTCTTTTTTTAAGTTGGAAATGATTTACTAATTCTCTGTTCCTTTTCATATACAGTGGTGACAATTGTAATCAATGAGGGCCAAAAAGAAGCTGTTAGTGAAGCCATTTACAATCATTTTGATACACGAACAATGACAAATAGAATCGGCTGGTTTCTTCTGCCTAACAAAGATGAAGATTATGGAACTGCTGATACATTAAGATTAATGCATGAACAAAAACAAATTTCGGTTAGTCTTTTTGTTGATTACAACCACTTGATTCTGTTATGATTAATTTAGATTTTTAATTTCCTAGAGTGATTTCCTTGTCATCAGCTGTGATACCTTGACTAATTATCCACTATACCAGCTGGTTAGTTCATATCATATTCGTGATGCTGCTATCACTTGTCTTTTATCTTCATCTAATATTATTTCTGATGGATCGACACCGGGAAAAAAAGGAAAACCAGTATTGGGTAAATGGACTCATTTTTTCGAATATTTGTTTCATGATTATAATGATTTTTTATTCGTTTCACAGAGAAAGATCTGATTGGGATTGATTATCAAAATAACGATAGGCTAGTTTTCTTCAATTCAGAATTGGTTTTTGACGAGGACATTCCGTTCAGCATTTCAATGTTGAAGAGGTAACTAATACTCACACTAATATGTGTAGTTTTTTTATTGAATGCTAATTTAAATTATCTTCCAGATGTCCGCAGTTCATTATACACAACAACTTTCTTGACACTCATATTTACATAATCAAGAAATGGGTTTTAGATTATTTGGCAGAAAAAAGGTAACAACAAATGAAATAAAAACTCAATAACTGATATTAATTTTTTATTTGTTCTATATTTCAGACAATTTAAATCAATTAAGGCCAATTTAATACCGAGACTTGTTCGAGAACAATTCAAAAGCAACGTTATTCAAAATAAAACAACGTATGATTCGGAAGTTGAAAATAAATATAAAGTTGATTTATTGGATTACGTCGAAGAAGATGAGATTTATAAAGCCATTGAAAATTTAGACAACTTCAATCTCTCTCATGTTACCGTAAACCCAGATACTAAAGAGAAGAAGAAAGTTTATCCTGATAGCGCTGTCAAGTGTTATGCCGTAATTCAAAGAGACGGAATAAGTCTCAGAGCCAATACTGTTACCGGCTACTTTGAAGCTAACAAGCGTCTTCGAGCAATTTTCCCGAATTTGCCTGTAAAGGATAAAACTTCTGTTCCTTCCACACCAACTACCCCGAATGTAGGACCTCCAGTTAAAGTGCAAATTGGAGCAGATTGTCTTGTTTCACCTTCGAGTAGAATCGGGGATAAGACTTCGATTAAAAGATCATGTATTGGTGACCATTGTTTAATCGGTGAAAAGGCTAAAATTGCTAATTGTGTAATAATGAATCATGTTACTGTTGAAGCCGGTTGTAATATTCAAGGAAGCATAATTTGTAACAATGCTGTTATCTGTTCATCTGCGGAAATCAAAGATTGCATTGTTGCTGCTAATCACAAGATAGCCACCTACGGTACGAATAAATGCACTTTTTCAGTAAAATTTTGTACTTTTAAAGAGATGACAATCATTAGCATGCTTTTCAAGTTGATTAGAGCGAATTTCAAGCTTGCTTCAATTTTGCATCCTCTTAAGTTCTCTAATAGAATTACTATTAGCAACCATTTATCAGTCTTGTGGCAACTTTACTAATCTTCATTTCTTCCTTTCCAGGTCAATTTTCCAATGAAGTTATACCGCCAACTTTTGTTGATGCCTCGGATGATTTGTAGCCCAGTGAAACGATCAATTAATTTAAAATTTAATTTGCCCTTACTTCATTCAGATGTGTGCATAAGATTTGAAAATCTATAATTTTTTAAAAATAAACCGTTTGGCAGAATATAATTCAATGTTACTCTCAATTTTTACATCAACAGGATGGTCATGTGAAAACAAGCTACAAGCTGTAAATTAAACCATTTTCATTTACTGGTAAATTGTTTTTTTTGTCAAAATTATTTTACTCAGTAGCGATTAACTTAGAAAATATATTGTAATCGAAAGAAATTATGACTAGAAATTAATTTTAATTTATGATATGCATAAATATCAAAAACAATATCATCTTAAGCAGGTTGGTAATTTTTAAACTTGGCGCCTCACAATCTTCTTATTTTCGAACTTTTCTCTTTCCAAGTGAAAAGCTTAATTAATTTTTGTTTCTGTTTGAATTTTCTCACTCGTTTAGTTTAATTTTATTTTTTTGTGATCATCTTCAGTTGTTTATTAATATTCAGTGTTTCAAGAAATCTCGACTATGGAATTAATTGAGAGGCAAAACGTCTGTTTAGCTCCTATTATTAGTCGATTGGAAGCTAATCGCCAAAACCTGGAAGCTGTTAAACAAAAATCTGATTCTGATTTCAACAAAATTGCTGTCAAATTAGAGGAGATAGAAAAAATTGTTGCTGATATTGAGAAATCTGCTGATGGCGTATCCTATGATTTATTCAATTCAGTAAAAGCCCAGCTGGAAAGATTAATTCATGAGATACATAGACTAAAGCGAGTTCATCGTTTCCTGACTGCAATTTGTGAATACATTACAGACAACAAGTCAACAAAAGAGTTGACCTCGAGACATGTTATAATAAAAACTCTGAAAAAAAAGATGTTGTCCTGGGAAGATCAAATAAAGTTGGATATTGAAAGAAAAAAGACAGATATTGAAGAGATTGAAAAAAGAATCATCGAAAAAAAGAAGCGTTGTAAAGAAGCTGAAGATTTTAGTTTTTTAAGCTCAATACAGATTCGGAAAAGAGAAGCTTTGCTGCAAGATGTATCCAGCAAATTACACCGACTGGAATCTGAGAAACAATCTCTGTTGAAAAGTAACAATGAATTGAAGAAGAGTTTGAACGATGGTTTGCTTGTAGCCAAAAAACAAGAAGAGGGAATAAATGAAACCATAGCTAAACAAATGGATAAGTTTAAAGACATTGAACAAAAATATTCATTTATGGAAGCCAAACAAATTGAAATCGATGCTAATCAAAAACGTCTTACAGAACTTGAGACTATTATTTTGGAGAAAACTGAAGAGAGAGCAAACCTCTTAGAATTGGATACCAATCTTTCCAACCAAGTTGAAGCGATGGATCTTGCCAACGATACCAGACTCTTGTTATTCAATGATCAGAAAAGTGAATTATTAGCCCAAGAAGCTGCTCGCCAGAAATACATTGAGGAAACTGGTATGAATTTATCTGCAACTATGGAAGAATCGGTGCGTCTAGAGAAGGAAAATCAAGACCTGGAAATCAAAATATCAATGATTGAAAAAGAGTATTCTATTTGGAAACAAAGTGAAAAAGAACAAGGTGATGAAAATGATGATGATGAAGAAGAGAAGGAATTGGAGCAAGAGATTTGCGAATTGAAAAATAAAATCAATCTGCTTAAAGAGGGATCTAAAAGTATTGGTGAATCGACTGTTAGCTCTCAATCAGAACAAGTAAAAGTCATAGAGCAATCAAATTCAGTTGAAATGGCCCCTCCACAGCCATCTACTCCAGCTGTTGTTCAACCAGTGGTTAGTTGCTCTCAAGATAAACCTTCATGTTCGAGTCAATCATCTAATCGTAAATGCTTCAAAACAATTCAACCTGCTAGCTATGAGCTTCTTGATGACCCATTGGATATGATCATGAATATGAAAGATGAACGAGGCTCTCAAGATCCTCTCAGAGTTTCTAAGCGCGCATATAAACGTAAACCCAACCCAAAATTTGCTAAATAATTACCATAATAATAAAATTAAATAACTAAAATCACGGTAATAATTTTTGTTTTCTTGATAATTTGATCCAATTTGATTCTAAAATTTTCATTTTTGTACTATCTATCAATGACATTCATTTCCATAATAAAATAAATGCTTTTCAGAAAATTTTAAAAGAATTGATATTCAATAATCAGATAAATCAGCACCATCATTATTTGGTAAATGCCGTAAAACCTCTGGAGGAAACCGCGATGTTTCACAACAGTTTTCATCATTTGCTCTTGAATACAATTCACCAGTTATAGAAATGATTCTTGCTTTAAATAACTTCTTTGATTGTTACATAATCTTTTCAGCTGAATTTGATTTCTTGAATTTGCTGATAATCTTCTAAATAATGCAAAAAATAGGATAGATTTATGAGATAAAGACAATTTTTTGATCGTTAATTAGAAATGGACTTGTTCATTGCCATAAGAGAAAAAATACATTTTTTGAGCAAAATTCAAAGAATTGATATTCATTAATCAGTAGGCAGTCAACCCATCATTGGTAGAATCCTCTGGCGGAAACCGCGAATGTTTCATCGACAGACTCTCATCATTTAGAAGTTGAATACAATTCACTATTCTTACCATGTGACTCTTGCTATAAGTTGTTTCTTTACTTGCTAAGTAAATTTTTCAGGTAAATGTTATTTTCGTAAATTGCTTGATAGCTATTTATTCATAAAAATAATTGAATAGATTTATAAAGTGGTGACAATTTTTGGGTCATTAATTAACATTTGATTTTTACACCAAATAATCGTGGATATAAATAACGATAATTGATATCGTGGTTTTTTTAAAAAGATGGCAAAATGTACATGGTTTTTCATAAGAAAAGGTAGACTGGTATTTTTACCTGAGTTATAAATATTTAGTTAAATGGATGATATTTGATAAATAAATTGATTTTAAGTTTAAAAAAGAAAAAGAAATTTGAAAATAGACGTTAGAAGTTAATTATAAACCTCGAACTGATGAGTTGGTATCTGTTATGGAGAATCTGTCAAAAATGGCTGAATATTCTTTTGGTTTCTTTGCTTGACCTTTAACAGTCGCGTCATTGACTTCTATTTTTCGTCCTTCCACTGTAATACCATCTAACTCCTTTTTGGCTCTCATGGCATCATCAGAATGGGCAAATGTGAGAAAACCAAATCCTTTTGAACCTCTTTCATTGAAAATAATTTCAACATCTAAAATGGGTCCATAAGCACCAAAAAGTTTCCTTAAATCAGGTTCTCTGAATCTAAAAGGAATATTGCTTACATGAATTCGTTTTGGTGATCTATCATCTCCACTTGAACTGCAACCACCAATACTTTCACAAGAAGAAATGGAAGATCTTTCAAGAGATTTATGAACAACTAAATCTTGAATTAATCCTTCCACTGGAGGCAAACATGGAATTTCACAAAATTTCATAATTTCATAATTAAGATGATACCATTCGATTAACCATTTATGTTGCATTTCTTCACGTTTTTCAACTGGAGATGGATAAAACTTTTTGTTAGAAGAAGACATTAAAAAGAATAAAAATAGATAAGAAAAGACAAAAGAGACTTTTTAACGGTTTTGAAAGATATGAGTCGTTGGTCAAACTGATGTAAGTTTCAATTTATTCCAACGGTCTTGAGTGGCGCTATCAAGTCTTTTAACCAGTAACTGTTATGTTTTTTAACTTTGATACATTTACTTACTTTTTACTTACATTTGCTGTAAAGAGACAATTATAAATAAAAAAGAGTTCACAGACAAAGTAGCGCCACTTAAGACGTTATTCCTTAACCGTTTAAATTTATTCTTTGTCTTTTTCTTATCTCTATTTTATTTTTCTTTTACCTTTCACTTTGATATTGTTTTTATTTTCTCTCAAATTCATCTTTTCTTTTATAAAAATGTCTTCTTCTAACAAAAAGTTTTATCCTTCTCCAGTTGAGAAACGTGAAGAAATGCAACATAAATGGTTAATCGAATGGTATCATCTTAATTATGAAATTATGAAATTTTGTGAAATTCCATGTTTGCCTCCAGTCGAAGGATTAATTCAAGATTTAGTTGTTCATAAATCTCTTGAAAGATCTTCAATTTCTTCTTGTGAAAGTATTGGTGGTTGTAGTTCAAGTGGAGATGATAGATCACCAAAACGAATCCATGTAAGCAATATTCCTTTTAGATTCAGAGAACCTGATTTAAGGAAACTTTTTGGTGCTTATGGACCCATTTTAGATGTTGAAATTATTTTCAATGAAAGAGGTTCAAAAGGATTTGGTTTTCTTACATTTGCCCATTCTGATGATGCCATGAGAGCCAAAAAGGAGTTAGATGGTATTACAGTGGAAGGACGAAAAATAGAAGTCAATGACGCGACTGTTAAAGGTCAAGCAAAGAAACCAAAAGAATATTCAGCCATTTTTGACAGATTCTCCATAACAGATACCAACTCATCAGTTCGAGGTTTATAATTAACTTCTAACGTCTATTTTCAATTTTCTTTTTCTTTTTAAACTTAAGATCAATTTATTTATCAAATATCTTCATTTAACTAAATATTTATAACTCAGGTGAAAATACCAGTCCACCTTTTCTCATGAAAAACCATGTACATTATGCCATCTTTTTTAAAAAACCACGATATCAATTATCGTTATTTATATTCACGATTATTTGGTGTAAAAATCAAATGTTAATTAATGACCAAAAAATTGTCACCACTTTATATATCTATTCAATTATTTTTATTAATAAATAGCTATCAAGCAATTTACGAAAATATCACTTACCTGAAAAATTTACTTATCAAGCAAAGTAACAACTTATAAGTTGAATCATATGTTACAAATTGTGAATTGTATTCAACTTCAAAATGATGAGAATTTGTCAGAGAAATCCCCGCCGGTTTCCTACAGAGGCTAAGTGCTGTTACCAATGATGGGCTGACTTCAAACTGATTAATGAATATCAAATCTTTAAATTTTTCTAAAAAAAGTATTTATTTTCTTATGGCGATGAACTAGGTCAATTCTAATTAATAATTAAAAAATTGTCTCTATTTCATAAATCTATCATATTTTTGCTTTTGACCAGGCGATAAACAGTAAATTTAAGAAATAAAATGCAGCTGAAAAGATTATTCAACAGTTAGAAAAAACATTTAAAAGAAGAATCACTCGCTAAAAACTGGTGAATTGTATTCAAAAGCAAATGATGAAAACTTCTGTGAAACATTCGCGGTTTCCTCCAGAGGTATCGATTGGGGAATACCAAATAAATGATGGTTCGTGTTTATCTGATTGCTGAATATAAGTTCTTTTAATTTTTTCTAAAATGCATCAATTTTCTTATTGTGATTAATGGAATCGGAGCCTCCCGATAGATATTCCGACAAAATCTCCTAAACCAGCCTTAGCTAGATGCCAATAGTTCACACAAACAGTGAAATTTTTCTTGCTCTTCTTCATTGCCCAGCTAGTGGCGAAACTCTAATACACCCTTCGGTATTATGATATTATTAGAGAAGCCTGTTAACTATTGCTTTGATCATTTCCAGTATCAATTATTTAGATTCATTTAGTAATGATGACGATAATTTTGATAGACATTAATTAGTTCTCAATGTTGACTATTAAATCAGTATTCGCCATATTATAAAGAGTAAACCTTCAATTTGCTTCAATCGTCATCTTATTACTTGTCTTTTTGGAGACTGACTTTGGTTGCAATCAAATCGTCCATCGATCCTGGAACTTAGCTATTCGGAAAGTTCAATCTGACTAGATTAGAGTGGTGTACAATAAAGAGGAAAAAAGTAAGTTTGAAAAGTATTAAAAAAGCCTCGATTAATATAAATAGTGTCAACAGTTACAGTCGAGTCCCTGAAATTGTCGGTTCCTAAAACTGTAGACTGACTTTGGTTGCAACCAAATCGTCCATCGATCCTGGAACTTAGCTATTCGGAAAGTTCAATCTGACTAGTTTTTATTGGTGTCTTTTGAATGTCGCGCCTCATTCGGCCTCAAACAACTGATGGACAATTTCAGGGACTCGACTGTATTGAGATAAAAATCAAATTCTAATTGATGACTGAAAAACTCTCTTCAATTCATAAATTCATCCATTTATTTAATTCGATAAAAGATATCCAGCAAATTATGAAAATAACATTTACCTGAAAAATTTGCTTAGCAAGTAAAGAAACAAGCGATAACAAAAACACTTGGCATTGATGGTAAATTGTATTCAAGTACAAAATGATGAGAATTGTCGGTGAAACAGTTGCAGTTTCTTCCATAGGAGGTAGTGGTAGCCTCCAATGATGGACTGACTTCCATCTGATCGTTGAATATCAATTTTTAATTTTCTGCAAAATGTGTTTATAGTAATGAACAAATTCAATTCTAATTAACGATTAAAAAACTGTCTTTATTTCATAAATCTATCCAATCATTTTTATTGACTAGAAGACAATCTGTAAATTTAGAGAATCAAATTCAGCTGAAAAGATTATTTAACAATTAAAGAAACGATTTAAAGGAAGAATCACTCGCTATAATTGATGAATTGTATTCAATAGCAAATGATGAAAACTGTTGTGAAACATTCGCGGTTTCCTCCAGAGGTTTTTCGGACTTTATTTTCACCAAATAATGATGGCCCAGCTTTATCTGATTATTGAATATTAATTCTTTTAAAATTTTCTAAAAATGAATTTATTTTCTTGTGGCAATGAATACGAGTGATAGGAGTACAAAAATGAAATTTTTAGAATAAAATTGAATCAAATCATTATGAAAACAAAATTTTTCATTGATTTTAACCATTTAATTTTAATTATGGTGATTATTTATCACATCTTTGTGTTTTTACGTTTACGAGCGCTTAGAAACTCCGAGAGCCTTGTTCATCTTTCATTTTCATGAAGTATTTTTGAAGTATTTACGATTAGATGATTGACTCGAACATGAAGGTTTATCTTGAGAGCTAACCACTGGTTGAACAACAGCTGGAGTAGATGGCTGTGGAGGGGCCATTTCAACTGAATTTGATGGCTTCATCGATTATTGAAAGCTAACAGTCGATTCGCCAATACCTTTAGATCCCTCTTTAAGCAGATTGATTTTATTTTTCAATTCGCAAATCTCTTGTTCCAATTCCTTCTCTTCTTCATTATCATCGTTTTCATCACCTTGTTCTTTTTCACTTTGTTTCCAAATAGAATACTCTTTTTCAATCATTGATATTTTGATTTCCAGGTCCTGATTTTCCTTCTACCAGTTTCCTCAATGTATTTCTGGCGAGCAGCTTCTTGGGTTAATAATTCACTTTTCTGATCATTGAATAACAAGAATTATCTGGTATCGTTGGCAAAACCATCGCTTCAACTTGGTTTGAAAGATTGGTACCCATTTGCACGAGGTTTTTTTCGTATAATGGTATCAGTTTTATTAATGTGTGATGTTCTATGAAAGTTTTCTGATTAACACGAGCTGCAATCTATTCGTCTTCTATTCGATTTATTTCTTCTTTCCATCAATGTTCAAAGTTATATTAATATGATCTCCCCAAGATTTCATCTTTTTATCCAGATCTTGTACTTTATTCGGTCTCAAGCTCAACTCCGCGTTGTTGTCGGCACTTCAGTGATGTATTCACCAGCTGCAGACAAATGATGAACTCGTTTTACCATAAATAACTCATCAATTCATCATCATGGCTAATAAGGTGCATAGCGGTTGTATGCCCCACGAAAAAGCGATGCCTGAAAATGAAACATAGAATTGCTTAATGAGATGGTATCTTTACAATTATAAAGCGAATGCAACAAAATTTCTAATTATTGAGTTGAGTGGAAAACCATTTTTGGCCGATTTGATAGTTCATTGTACATTTAAAGTATAAAATAGGAACATTAGAAATGTTGTCAATTTTAATAAAATCCTGGAATGCACATTCGGTCAAGTTTCCCTCAAAATGGTATTCTAAATGATTCACTTGAACTTACCCCATAATTAGTAACTGGACCTATTCCATGGCTGATGTAGGCTTCCGGATAAGAAACTATTGGACTGAAAAGCTTTACAAAATTGAAAAAAATTAGAAACTTTTATAACAAACAACAAATTCAACGGAAAAGCACATAATCACGCATTATTTTCAATGTCACTTCACCCGATGAGATCATACATTAATAAACCAGATTTAGTTTTCAAATTATCCAAAAGATGGCAAAACTTGTACAATATAATAGAGGAAAATTTATCGTTGATTTACATTGTACTTTAAATCAGATCAGCTTTAATTAAAATTTGAATAACCTGTGCACCTAATGATTTGCTTAATTTTCTCTTCATTTTAAGTGCCTAAATAATCAGGTGAATCTGAACTTTTCAACATTCTATCTCAAAATACGGAAACCTCAATTTTTGAAGCATTGACATGGAAAAATGGAGAAAAGGAAAACCGATTTTCTTTTTTCAATTATCATTTACAGGAAAATATTCTTGAATTTTACACTTGAAACTAAAGAGGAATGCCGAATGAAACGAAAAAAATGACATCTGAAACTAACGAATTGAAGTCTTCAAGTTGAAATTGTTCTGAATTTAATTGGGTTTTCAAAAGCCTTACATAATATTTCTACACAAAAGATAACTCATTGACTTATATTTCTCCATGAATGATTCTTATTCATTATGAAACCTATCATTTAGCTCCTTGATTTTCTTTAAATTTCTAATGAAGTCTCTTTCAAATCTATTTTACGTCAAATTTAACTCATTTTACATTAAACATTCAATCAGCTAATAAAAAATAACTGAAATTTGAGGAATCGATTGAAATTCATCCAACTGATTAACTCGAAATGTAATGATTGCTGTTACCAATCAGCACAATATCCTCTTTCATACTTGAGCTATTCTTAAATTATCCTGACAATCGTGAGATAATGTTTCAGAGAAAATATGTTTTCTTCATTAAATTTTAAAATTACATTTCTGCAACACTCAAAATTCCACTCATGAAACTTGTTGGGAATAAAATTTAATGAGATAGATTGAAATGAATGGCTGAAAAACAGTTTCAATTGAAATAACTCGACCAAACACCAACTCAAACTAAACAACCTCAAGTCTATCGATCACACTGAACCCAATTAACGAATCAAACTTACTCAAGTAAGTTCATTTTTGAATGCCAAATGCTCATCTATCTCGATATCAGATAACATTTTCTCTGCAAACTAAACAGTTTTCAGCAATTCTGCAAATCTAACAGACTATTGAGGAAAAGCGGGATTTTCATCTTTGAATATTTACAACACTTTCTCTCATCTCTGGTTTCATCTCCCTTCCTATTTAACCACTTACCGGTATTTGATATCTATCATGGCCATGAGGAAAGCCCATGAAAGGATCTTGATAAACAGGACTACTTTTCGGAAGGAATCGCCAAGAGAACGGAAAATGAAAGAAAAAGTGAATTAATGCTTGAATTGTTTTCTGTGTTTTTTGCTTCACGTGTCTCAACGAGAAATTATTTTAATGTATTTAACAGTAAATGCTATCAATTGACTCAAATGGATGGTCCATTGGGATTAATGTCCACTTGTTGGAACACATTTGTTCAGTCTTGCTGGACGTTAATAATGATAATAATCTAGATTCGTTGGTAAAAAGTGCAACTCTAGATTCTAATGTTTCTCTTTACCAACAATATTCATTAATGATAATAGAAACTAACTCATCCCCTGTGAATAAACACTCATCTACATCAAAGATGGTGGTTATAATTGCACTTACTTTTCCCATTACTTACTCTTGTAGACAATCAATTGACCCTTTCCTTGCCTATTTACCTCTGTTCATCTCTTTAAATCTTAAAGGATCAAATTATCTGGTCTTTGCACAACAATCAACAAGCTTCTAATTCACACTAATTTAATTACTAATGGTAACTTGTCCAGACTCATTTTCACCTTCAGTTACCTTGGGATGTTTTCAAACCATTTGTATTTTATTCATATCTATTCATTTCGATATGTTCAGTTGCTTTACTAAGCTCATTTTTCAGCAAATAAACTACTTTTGACTCAAATTATGTTTCTATTTTGATTATTGGACTTAGTTCTGAGAAGATATTTAAGACTAAGAAAAGTAACGAAAAGAATCGCAAAGGATCATTTCAAAATTTGCCTGTTTTCAGATCATTTTTAAATTAATTTTTATTATGTATTTTTTATGCTATTTATGAAAACATTTTTGATCTGAGTTACGGATCGGGCGATATTCACTAAAACAAGAAACTTGAAGGTTGAAAAATTAGTCAGATATTGGAAAAACTGTGAATATATTAGACCAGATTATTATTAAAGGCTAATTATGGCTAATAATTACATGAATCATTAGTTTATACTGAAATCAGATATTCACTGCTTTGCTCTGGATTCTGTATTGGTTCGTCTAACGTTATTGAAAGGCAAATTAGATGCAACTGAGCTAATCTTGGAATCCTTTTGAAACTAATTTTTGAAAGCTGAGTTTTAGTATTTTTGTCACTCATGGACGGGCAGATTGATTAACACAATAATAATTTAGATTGGTGCCTAAACATTCTTGGAATTTTTCGATTTTTGTAGCAACAGCACAAAAAATGCATAAGACAATTATTTTCAAAATGATCTGGTTTGGACATATTTCTTCGTTGGATGTCATTTTAGACTAAGCTCTCGAATTATCTCTTTGATCTGTTTTGTTTTTAAAATGCAATCTTTATTGATTCTAATTCAATGAATAATCATTTTGCTGAATTATTTATTTTGTTTGATTTCATCTGTTGAATCGCCGATGAAGCGAATGTCTGGTGATTCTGTTCGGCTCAGCCTTTTGACTTTTCAAAAGCTCAGTATTTTGATTAATATATTTGATTTTCAGGGGAAACACTTTTAATGAGAAACTGTTCAAGTTCATGATGAGCTTATAAGCTACTTTCTGTATCAATATTGATATCAATATATTTCATTATCATCTCTACCATGGATGCTCATATATTATCAATATTATTCAGGTTTATTGATCAATTGCAAAACCAATGAAAAGGTACTCAAAGGCAAATACAAATATCAATCGGATTTGCTTTTCTGTTTGCCTTTTATTTCTTCTCCTCAATAATTTTGGCCTTTTCCACATTTGCATATTCATTTCGTTAGACTGACTTTTTTCAATTGAACCTATTAATAAGGTAAAGGTATTTCAGGTGAAACTGCAATAACTCACAGGGAACAACTTGTTAGTCAAACTGAACAGTAGACAGGTTGAGACGTCGTCTCGTTGTAACACAAAAGTTTATCCACAAATCCATTTAAATGTAAAAGTTAATAGCAAATGATTGATTAATATTGAGCAAAGTTTCAATCAATTTTCACGCTCTTCTGTTCGCATATTCAACAATCCATTAATATTGGATCCTTTTCATCAATAATATTCAATCTCAGTATTTCAACATTCGTTCAATACTTCAAGTTCAAGACTTGGAGGAGCAAATTTTTAATCAAAACAATTTAAATCGAAAATTCCATCAAATAACCCTTCAGCTCATTCTTTCATAACGAAAAAACACTCAACCTGAAATTCAAAACTCAAGGCAAAGAAAAGCAAATAAAAACATTCCCAAAAATAATCCAATTTTACATCAAACATTTTCAGTGCCAAAAAAATCACTCCTCATGAAACCAAAGTTCATGGACTCAGACTCAATCTTTTCAACTTCGATTGAAATACGAATCCAGGAAATGTCGTTTATCGATGATGGAACAATTTCATAGTTCTCTCGATCAAAATTTGCTCTTCTAAAGATTACTTGAACGAACGAAGACGAAGACGTTCCAAAAGTTTTTTTTTCAATGAACCTTTCGAACCAACTGGACTGTTGAAGATGAACATTGATGAGCGTAAAAATTGTTTGAAATTTGTTCAATTGAGCAGAGAAAAGAAAGGATTGAAGAAGAGAAGAGATTCAAACTTACGGAGCATACCCATGCAGCGAACTAGTAGCCACCGATAACGGAGACGGATGCCGAACAAATGCATTTACCAAAGAGCTGGTTCGTGCTGTTCTCGGTGCTCTTGATAGCGTCACTTCCCTTAAGGCTGTGGCCGACGATGTTGGCTCGTCAGCCAGTGGGATAATTGGTGACACAATTGAGGAAGAGCCAGTTTTGGTGGAACCAGAAAAGTATTTAAATTGTATGGATATATATTTATATCAATATGTAGACATGGTTCATACGTGAATTGGTGTCAATTTAGTGTGTATTTATGTGTAAATGTGTGTCAGTCACAAGAAAACGTTTCAAGATGATTGTGCGAACAAAGCGAAATGAAGAAATAAGAAGAAAAGATGAAAACAAACATGCAATTAATCTAAGGTGATAGGTGATGATTACATGAATACGACAGTAACATGATTAATGGATTGGACTTTTTTTTCATTTCTAGCCTTTCATCTCTCTTCCATACAACCTTGTCATTATATTTACATCACAAATCATGTTGACACTTGATTCACAAAATTCACTCTTCAATTCAATTTTCAACTCTTTTTTTTCTTCTTCTTCTCCTCGCGTCTCAGGTCAGTCTAATCTTGTCCATCTAATATTCAAGTCATTTGCAACTTACCATTTTTCAATAAAGGTGTAACATTTTTCTTGCTGTTATTTCGTGCGGTTGCGTTATTTACCTAATCAGGAAAAGTGTCAAAAATGTAACAATTTACGACCAAAAAAGTGTTTGCATAAAAAGGAAAGAAAGGTTAAGATAAAGTTTAAGTGAAAAGACAAAATGAAACTGCCAAGGATGAGGTTAAAAATGGTTTTCAACAAAACGATAAGATTGATTTACTTTTTCATGATCAACAATTTCGATTAAAATTGTTCAAATCTATATCTTTAAATCATCTCACAAAGGTTCATGATCAAACTACAACTCAACCTAAAGTGAAAGAAATGTTTGAAACTGAACAATCTATCAACATTTGCAGAAATGGAATAACCTTAGAAAACGATTCAAAGTTCATCTCATGATTTTCTTCAACTGAAATGAGGTGAAAATTAGGATGAAAATCCCCAGTCAGAAAATTTGGGGGAAAAATGTTTCTCTTAATTCTCGGTTAACCTGGAAATGAGCTTCAAAGTCGAGTTACGAGTTTAAGTTAATGTTCTGCGAATCAATTTCTACATGAGTTGAAGGTTTTCAACTTGTTCTGAACTTGGATCATCTGAAATGTTCTGTGACTGTATTTGCTCTTAGACTGTGTTAAGATAGTTAAGATCAGTTTAATTAGTAATTATTGCAGTCGAGACAAGTTGTAATATTGTTTATGAATCGCTTTTTCGATATTTTTTTGGTTCTTTGATCAACTCTTTAACTGGTTTTCATTATTGACTAAAGATAAGTCCTCAATATTGACTGTGTTTACACTATTTACTGGCTAATCAGATAAAATGATACAACTGATTAAATAGTGTGTAACTCATGAAAAACACAGAATCTAGTTTAACACTCAATCGAGACAAGTTACATCCTGATCTCATTTAATGGTCCAAGTTGACAATAAATTGGTCAATTGATGATTTCACTTATTCAATAACATTTTTACTTTCCCTTATTATTATTACTATTATGAGTCTTGTTATTGTTGGTTCATTTTTGCCTCTCACTTCTCATGGGTTAAACATGAATGCTGACCAACAATAGAAAGCAGCAAGACTTTGACCAATCGTCACTATTTAATGAATTCATTAATACAATTAGTTGACCAGTGAATGGAGGGAAAAGAAATGAAAGAATTGGACGAGAAAAGATTAAGGTAATAAAGAATGATCAAGGATAAAATGGTTCGATAAACTGTCATGAAAACAGAGGAAAAAAGGTGATCAAGAGATGAATATCGTTTAGATTTGATTGAGCCAAGATTCAACACAAAATGCATTTTCACTGCGATTAAAAGGCGTACGATTTCAACCTAAGATCAAAAATTAATCAAACGTTTAAATGGCTTGAATTCAATCCCATGCAATCAACTAATCTGTAAACCGTTTTGCTGAACCTTTTCCAATTTTCGTTCTCTGCTCTTGATAAAGTCAAATAATTGAGTCATGCTTTATGGTCAATCATCATGCATTCCAATAATGTCATTGAAATGGGAAAGGAACAATTTCCAGTGAATGTTGGAAAGGGTTGGGTTGTAAAAAATAGAAATGCAAATTTACCTCAATCTTGCGTCCTTCAACGATGGAACCATTAAGCTGATTCTGTGCTCTTTCCGCATCCATGGAATCAGAAAAAGTAACAAAACCAAACCCCTGTAAAGACAAAGAATCAATTGATGAAAAGGTTGAGACCAGGTTAGAGTCACCTTTATTGGTAACAATGTTGAGCTTTTAAAGAAACATTCGTCTAAAATTGATGAAAGCTTTGACGAAACACAAATGAACCGAACTCATGTCTACACAAAAATTATTAGATTCGTCAAGCAATTGGCTAGTCAATTAAAGATGTTGTAATTACTGGTAACCAAAGATTAAAGTTACCAGACCTTAATCTTTGCTGGTAACCGGTTTTCTGGTTAAAGGGGAAGGAAAAGTACTATGGATTGGTTCCAGGTATTTTATACTCAACGGATGGCGACAATTGGTATAATAGAATGCAAAATTGAAAAAAAAACTAAAAATGATAAGAAAAAAGTTAAGATAAAAAATTTATCAAATCTCTTCTACTTTACTCTTTGGATCGGTTACTTCATGACCGGTATCAACCAGAGTAAAGGTTACTTTACTTTTTGGTATCAACCCGATTATAAATAACTGGTTAATTTTGGTTGCTCCAATGTTAGGGAATCAATGTTTGATTCCTTTGTTAAATCAGTACCCAAACTGGTTAAAGATAAAAAATTGGGTTTTCTAAGTTTTGAAAGACAACTACAAAATAACAAGTTATTTTTGGAGTTTTTTTGGAGTTTTTCTTATTCTTTTCTAACTCGTTCAATTTGTTCCAATGTGTTTTTGATTAAAAATTTAGACCATATGGCGTTCCTTTCAATCTTATTGTTTACTCTTAATAAACAATTGATTTCGACTTGGAATTCCATGCAACTCTGAACAGTAGACCTTCGATTTAGTAGGTTACCAAATGAGCTCTTAGAATAGCTATCAATAGCCAACTTCGTTCTTATAAATGTAATCACAAGGTTTCACACTAAACTCAATCATTGCTTTGTGCCAAAACAAAAACGAATCAAGTTTACAGCTAAAAACATCGAGATATTTTGCCAAATCTTAATTGCAAATTTTTGCAGTTAACTAATCAACTTGAAACTCGCAAGTAACCTGAAAACCCAAAGTCTTTCCCTTTTAAGTGCAATAATTGTTAATGAATGTTCAAATTACGTTCATCAAATCGATTGTTTGCTCATTAAAAAATTATTGTTTCCCTTTCATTATTCGTAAATTAACGAAACCCTAATATCATGGGATTTCAATATTTCTTGATGAATCTCAATATAAACCAGTTAGGTGAATAGCCAGACATGAGAAAAGCATCACAACTGGGAATTTTAACCCTGAAAGGTAAACATACATGTTTAATAGTTTGATATAATGCATTCAGTTGAAAGATACAGTTGATGATTATTAATTGATTTATCTGATTGATTCATACAAGATCGAAAAGGCTTTCTCATTAATCAATTAAGGCCAAAAATTGATTGATTAGTTGCTCTCTGGTAAAGATTGGGTTCATCTTTAATCATCTTCATTCAGACTGATCTCTAAATGAATTGTTCAATTACAAGTTCGATCCATTTTTTGTGCATTCTTGACGTTTCTTTATTTTCTCATTCAATCGGAATTTTCTCACTTCTCATTGCGATACTCAATGATATTTCACTTTGTCAGATTCACTCGGACTTCTTGCTTTCATCAAATGTTTACCTAATTTCTTGAAGGGTTTCCATTGAACAAAGTTCAAACTTATTTCAGTTCATTTTATCACTTCATTTGTTTCACACCTTTCATTATTCAATAGATGAAGCCAAAGATTCAAAAGAAGGTGAAATTTTCCAAGAAATCGCAGAATATCAATTCAATGGAAATGTTGAAAGCATTTTTGCTTCTCTCAAGGAAACCATCAATTCAGCTATTCAATGATCACTGAATAGAGTGAATCATAAACAGATCAAAAAGGTCATCATTCAATGTTCAATAACTGCAAGGTGTGAACGTCTAAAGATCTGTTTTCATGTGAAGAACTTCAAGTTTCTAAAAAATCCTTTTCTGTCTCACCAAAAGTTCCAAAATTAAAAACATTTCACCAAAAAAATCTTCAACAATTTTTATCGAACCAAGAATGAACAAAGTGTAATCCAAAAAATTGCTTCATTAGTTGATCAGATTTTCGGGTGTTCTTGGGTTCAATTACTAAATGAATAATTGGATTTTCCCTGAACAATAAAAGCATTACTTGTAATTGAATATTTGATTACTCACCTTTGATCCTCTTTCATTAAAGATAATCTCAACATCAATTATCTGTCCAAATTGCTGTAAAAAAGTAAAAGAATAAATTAGTCGAAATATGAAAACTCGCGAATGGACAGTCAACGAATTAATCTGCTCAATTGATAATCAGTCTTGAAGAGACGAAATTTCAACTCCCTTGAGTTGTGATAATATCGAAATTCAATTTGAAAATGAAAATAAAACTTTTCATGTTTGTTTTGGAAGAAGGAAAAAGATTGGACTTTTGCTTTTCTCGTTTAAAACTATTCACTTCAGTTTATCCGATTATTTAGCCTGAAAGGAAAAAGGTTTTCCACCCAAAATGGAAGCCTTTTTTGGCTCATAAATTGATAATGATTGTACCAATCAAGATAACCAATAACATACTAATTATATTTAGTTAGCGAAACAACAAAGTTTAGCTTCCAGATTTTTTAGCTTCACTTTGATCAAATGGATGAAGGGAAAATCTAATGAATAAAACAATTATTCTCAACAATCGATAAGTAATAATATAAATTGTAGAAGCAAAATGATAAGTTGGTTAAACATTTCATGGAATGGAAGAGCAAAGGAAAACAAGTTCAATGTGAATCAATTTAACATCATCTTGTAAATGTTATTTAAACAACCAAATGCAATAAAAATAATCAGAAGCCAGTCAACTGGAATGGATTTGAATTTTTCATCACAACTATTAGTTAATCTCGATGTTCCAACACAAAAAGAATGCAAAACATTTCTCAGTAGATGGTCAAACTCGATTAAGTTAACAGTTCAAGCTGATTTTTGAGGTCAAAAAACACTAAAATGAATCAAAATTATGGTTCTGTACATCTACAAATCATATTATTTTCATGAAAAAGTAAAGCTTGATGTTGAGTTTCAAGTTTTAACTTTATTTATTTGCTGGAATTTGAGTCAAATTGAGTTTGAAAAGAAACTTGGCAACGAAGTTTGGAGCTTTTTTATCAAAAATTTTCAACTTTGCTTGTTCCAACCTCATTGATGAACCCTGTAATAGCGAAATAGAAACATCGATTTTGTCTGAATCATTTCTTCACTTTCTTATTCTTTCCTAATCTTCTGTTTCATGGTAATCATCATCCAAATGTTTCTTTGTTGCTTTAGACACAAAGTGAAGTAAATAACAAGCAATATCAACATTGTTATCCAAAGAAAAGTCAAACAACAGTAACAATAATAATGGATAATGTTCAAGGAAATGTTAATCAATGGACGAAAGAAAATTGTGTGAAAAATAATTCTGAATCAGCCAAAAGTATAGCAATACAACGCGCAAGTAAAGGAAACAAATATCGAAATCTTTAAAAATATCAATTTCGATAGAATCAATTTGAAATCAGGAAAATTGTTGGATGTGAAACTTATCATTTCGAGAATAAGATGATTTTTTATCGGTATTAATGCCTAATCCAGGATTGATTTAAAATGGTTTACTGCCATCATGAACATTCTGCAACTGACAATTGGAACTGGACGTCTTTTTTCATTGATCTCAATTTTATTTTCTAAAATTTTGGTATGAAAATGGTCAGAAAAAGATGCAAAACCAGCCGTAAGGCCAAAAAATGTGATCGCAATCTATATTTATAAATCCAAACTAGTACGCATTCCATTTGTCACCTCGTAACTGTTATATGAAAATTTAGCTTCTAAAATTACTGATTTCGGGGATCGTTCGATAAAAAGCAGGATTCAACAGAATAAAGGTCTTTGTCGGGGTTGCAGAATGGAGTAATTCTTTGATTCTGATATCAGCCATGAACTATTAAGAGGATGTAACTTTCGGTCATATGAAAAGTAACACAATCTCATCAAACTTTTAATGGTGATGACGTTACTGTTACTATTACTACCAATATTCAGACTGACAGATAAATCACCGTGCTTGGTGGAATCGAGACTTTCCTCCTTCTCAGGGATTGTGACATGAAGAAGATGTACGATACCTGCTGCTCAAGGCTTGTTGGCTAAAATATTGGGTTGGGGAATAATTTGCTTCGTTTTTTGAGTCGTAATAAAGGGCTAAAATAAACACATAAAGCTATAGAAACCATAACCATACTCAGTTTTTTAGAGAAGAGACATCACAAGATTCAATTCTGTACAATTAGGAAAATGAGGCTATAAAATCTAGCATCATCAGGACTGGAACCAGTCAAAGTTTTTAAATAAAAAGACTCATAAAATTTGTACTTTTTGATTTGAAATAAAAGATGATTTAAAACATAAAACTTTAGTAGTCTTTTTGGCTTCCCCAATCGTTTACTGTCCTCAAGACTAATGATCTAAAGAATCATGCAAAATGAATGACTATTGAAATTGAATCAAATATTTACTGTCAAATTTAAATATTCATGATGAATAACGTCAACCATCATAAACGAAGCTGAAAACCTGTAGCTTGAGCAAGATTAAAGTTGAAGTTGGAATAAAATGTCAAATAAATGAAACTTACACCAAAAAGTTGCCTTAAATCTGGATCACGAAATCTGAACGGAATATTACTAACATGCAACCTTTTGGGTTGATTAATGCCATTAGAGGTGAGACCACAGTTGATCGGGATTCCTCCACAGTTGGCATCAAAGGCATTCCGTGTACCATTTGATTCGGTTAAAGTTATCCTCACACCTTCATCAGCATCAGGATCAGTTTGCTATTGAATGCCAAGGAGAGACAGGAAAGAAAAAAGAAAAAGAAAAATGATTTGATTTGAAACAATAATAAAAATGAGAGAAATAAAGATTCAAATGATCAAGATCAAAGCTTAAAGTGCATAGTTGGATGCCATTCATGGATGAACAGGGAAACAAGTGAGTGAGAAAAGGAAGAAAACTTTTGATGGAAGAAGGAGGAAAAGTGTACAACTCGAGTAAAGATGATGAAGAAGATAATGGGAAAAGAACAGGGAAGATGAAGAATGGATATAAAACACAGAGAAAAGTAGAGAAAGGGAAAGGTTGAACACAAAAAGAATCTTGAGATTCATGAAATACTCAGTTGAACTAGAAGATCAAGAGTAATGTAATTCTCCATTTTTTTATTTTATTTTATCCAACTTGTTCTTTATTTCATTCTTTACCGTTTGCTTTTCGCTTCATCACTAAAATTCTTGATTGTTCATGTTGAAAAATCTGCTCTTCATTTCTCGTTATTGGTTATTTTTTCCTCATTTATTTCATTTTTCATTTTCTTTTTTTCATCATTTTATTTTATTTACCCAAGTCCTTCATAATTTGTTTAAACTCTCACTTTCATTGAAAATTTTTGTGGTAAAAAATGGCTTTTAGTTTGTTCTGGGTTGTTCAAAATTGTTCAGCTCAAAATTGGATTCATGTTTGCCTAATTTTTAGGTCTGGTTAAACAATGTATTTACTCTGGGCAAACAATCTGTTAATAACTAGAGTTTACTTTTGCTTACCGTTTGTTGTTCAACTGCGTTTGACTTTCTAAGGCCATTCATGAAACTTGGTTCACAGGGTTGATTATCGAGTGATACTGACGGACTGGTTGATGAGGTTTGAGTCAACGTTTGACTGGTGCTTTTGTTTGATTGATTAGACTGGTTGCTTGAGTGCGGTGATGAGCAGTGTTGCCCATTAAAGTTGGAGGTTAACAGGATTGAGCTTCTCGGTTTATCGGGTAAACTTTCAGTGTGTTGACCCAAAAGTTGACCATTGGCTAGGCTTGTTCCATTCAGTCCGTTGACTAAACCATTACAGTTGACATTTGTGTCATTGGCAATTGGTGCTTGATCACAGTGTGAACCATTTGGTGTTGACGATGGACTCAGTGAGGTGAATTGTGAATATGGTGAGCAAATACTTGTCATTGGGTTAACCAATTGTTGAGCCTGTTGTAGAGTCAAACAAATTACAATTAGATCACTTGGAGGAACATTGAAGTTACAACAGAAACAGAAACAGAAATGAAAAGCTTTTCCAATCAAATAAACCTTCTCCAGCCTCCAACCACTTAATTATCCAGTTCAAGACTAACCATTGACTTTGATTGGAACAGACTTTTTCTGTCCAGACTTTCTTGAACTGGACAATTTAGCAATGAGATGAGATCAAGCCATTAACAATTCGAAATGATCAACGAAGAAAATTTGGTAAATTCCTGGTTAACTTGAATAAAGTACTATCGGTACTCGATTCTTGAATCACACTCGACTTTTATGCTTTTATTTAGTTTCTTATGTGAAATATCAATATTTATTTTGAACGATTTCCCAACAATAACAAAGAGCAGAATAATTGTCGAGATAATCAGTCCGAATTTGATTCTTGATGTTATAAAATGTTGTGGATTCTAATGGTTTAACCATTTACTAATGCTTTTTTGTGGCTCTAACCAGACATTAGATGACATTTAATGGGAAAAGAGAAGGAAAAGAAAACATTAAAAGTAAACTCGGAATTTTCATGTTATCCCTGTCCATTGAATACTCAATAACAGATTAATTTGAAATTCAAAATAGGATGAGAAGGAAAAGATTGAATGAGATTGGAAGAAGTAAAAGGAAGAATAACAAGCTTTAAAAACATGAAATTTTATTTTCAATGAACAATTGGAATATGAAAATGATGCATATTTTTTCAACTAAAACAAGTTATTGTTGTGAGAAGAATGGAAATGATAACTGAACAAGAAATAGATTTTCAATTGTTGCCTGATCACAGTTATTGACGATCAATTAAATGATAAACAACAACCGATACAAGGTATTTTCACCGTCAAAATTCATCTTCAATTGAATGGTTAAAAAGGTAAAATTTGAATTTCAAATTAAACCAATTCAACGAGAAAATATTGGACCAATTTTTACGCAAAAACATTGTAAACTTGAAAATGGAAATTGAAAATTTCTCTTCGAGATTCACCATTTTCCATGGAATTATTTTTCGAATGCAAAATGATTAAAACTGGTTAAATTTTGGTTCATTTGGTTTCATTATTTGTTGACCAAACTGATAGCCAAATGTAAAGAAATGTTTTACCTTAAAAAAGTCATTTTTTGTGATCAATAAAAGTCGAAATTTTGGACCATCGAAAGTATGACATTAAATTGAAAGGAAACCAAAATACATTGAATCGAAATCGCTAATCAATAATTTCAACTTTTTCTTCTTTGATATGAAAAGATTCCTTTTATATCTGAAAAGTATGAAAAGTTCTGAATGTAATCATTCTTGCAACTCTATTTCCATGAACATTGAAAATTGAACATTTTTTTATTACTTTAGTGATTTGAACCTTTTTTTCAATTTTAGATAAATTTTTATCAGATGAATGCGAACTTAAAGGCAAAAAATTTCATTCCAACATTCAGAACATTTGGACTGAAAGTTTCGTCAGATTGACTTTTGTTGGAAGCTTCAAGGCAAAACTCACATTTTGATTACGAGAATATTTTTATAGCCAAAAATGTCGGAATATTGAATAGAAGCTATTTATTAAACATTTTAGTTCGTTTTGATGTTTTATTCAAAAATAGATTAAAAAGAAACAATTTTTTCATCTTCTTTAGCATTTCAATACATGTTATCTAACCTGGGATTGATCTGGTTGGAAGGGTTGATCTGGGAGTGAAATTTATGTAAACAGAGAAAAAGTTTGATAAATTTTGCGATTTTGTGGAAAAGTGGTGAAACAGTTTGAAAGGTTTACGGTAAACAATGAAATCTTATTACCATTGATGTGATTATAATTGTTGTAAGTTTCATGTGAACCCAGAATTGGTTGATAAAGATGCGAATAAAAATGTATAAAAATGACAAGGTAAGCAGATAAGAGGAGGAAAAGGATGAATCTCAGGTGAATTATTGAACAAGACAAAAGAGTAAATATTTGCCTTGAAATGTAAAGTACTCAATGTGGTCAAGTAGACTTTCAATGCTTTTTTCACTTTTCCAACAAATTGTAGTTCCATGAAAATTGTCCAATCGTCCATCATGATCATTAAATGAATCATCAAATCACACAATCTACCATCAATGTGCCAACGTTCAGTTGTAAATCGAAATTCAGATGAAAGAAAAAATCGATTCAACAGAATCACAATTAAAGTTGTTTCAACTCAGTCAACTGAATAGCCAATTAAAAGGCGATGAAAATTGAATATTTAATATTGAATTATTGAACGTTAAACTGATAGTTTCATGGTAAAGATACTTGGTGACTTTAACGTGACAACAATGCAAAATGAGGTTAAGCAAAAAAGGATAATTCATCAAACTCCATGTTGGCCTCAGTTCGACACACATTCATCTTATTCTTGTTCATTCACTTTCACCATCTCATCACAACTGATAACCAGTCATCTTGTTTCATGAATACTGTTCCATGCATTTCTTGGGTTCCCTTTAATCTTTAAACCCAAAAAGGCGTTCATGTCAATCAAATGCATTAATACATCATAAATAGTAATGAAAGACTGAAACATTGCAAGTAAAATGTAATACATTTAAAGACTTGGTAAAGATGAGAAAAGTCGAGTTTACCAGAAAAAAAAGTTGAAATCAGGAAATGAAAGGCAAAAAAGAGATTTTCTTTTCTCATTTGTTTTTCCAACCATTTTATTAACTAAACTTTATTCCAATCTAATGAATAAACTCTAATCACTGAATTGATATACCATGAAAAATGTGAAATGTATTTAATAACGAAATAAAGGTTTCTCTTTAAATGTATTCAACTTTGTTTTTCCTCTTATTATATCTTTTGATGGAGCTGTAAATTATTGTACCACTGAATATACATGATCATCAAGTTGATTCAACAGGGAGGTGAAATGGTAATAAGGAAAAAAAAGTTGAGCAAAAAAAAACAGAGTTTATTAATAATGTAAAAAGAAAGGTAAATCTGATTTTGTGAAGGTAAATGGAAGAAAAATTTCACTTTTAGATTCCCTTTTAACAAGCAAACTAAATAATCACACAAATGATCAATTGAATTTTGAACAATCCTTAAAACTTTCATCTGTTTAAAACTATTTCACCTTTCAACACTCAACTTTAATATTGTTTTTTAGGTTTGATTGTTGCTTTGATATTGTTTTGGGTAACAGCGAAACAAAAGATAATTTAAATTGTAACAAGACTAAATTGAATATTAAATTGTACTTTCAAATGAAAATCAATTGAATCCCTTGAATTTAAATCCGAGAGTTTCTCTGAAAGAAAATTGAAAAAGCAAATAATCAAACAATTTTAATTTTCTTTTTGAATAAAATTAATACTTATTTATTTGGCTTTCACTGGGAATGCATTGGGCTTGTGTTTCACTCCCACTTGTGAAGAATGGGAAATGTTTAGGAATTGATAAGTGAAATGATGATGGAAGAAGTGGATGGATGGAAGATAAAAAGTGAGAAATGGTTGAGATAATTTGGTTTGAAATTGTTTGATAAAAAAATGGAAAGATTGAATAAAAAGATACTTCTCATGAATAATAAGAAACTCTGAATCGCCATTTTTATTCCATTCAACTCTTCTCATGATTCCTTTTTTTTCTTTTTCTTTTTTTTCTCCTCTTTCTGGTGAATAAATATTATTCACAAGTAAATGTTGTTATTGAATTATGATCATGTAAAGAAGGCTATTATTCATTCACTATTTACGTTGATGAACAAATCAAGCAGCCCAATTTATCATCATATTTCGATAAACATACGGTTATGAGTTGAGGCGAGTCAAGCTTATTTTTCGTCCTTTTTTAGTTCAGATTATCTTGAATCATTTACAAAATGATACAAACAAACGTAGGATGAAAGAGTCTTTAGATTACAGAATTTCTCGACATCGAAACCCTTTACTGGTTTAGTCTGTTGATTCTTCTTGTTTACTGACAAAACTTTTAGAACAGTTCAAATATAGATGAGAAAAACTTGGAAAAACCAAGATTCAGATTGAATTTGCCAACATTTCCATCAAATCATGAGGGTAAAAATCGTTGTTTGCCAAACATTATCTTCGCAAATTACACATTTTACAACATTAAAAGCTGCAAAGAGTTTTAAGCTTTCATAAATATCAATAACATCCATTGCAACGTTATGCTACAGAGTCATTAAAACATTAAGCTTGTAGCTTCGAATCTATTAAAATATCATTCTTGTTGCCGTTTTAAACATCATTGGTTTCAAGTTTGAACAGACGAAAGACTCAACCATAAAGTCAAAAGCACTCTTTGCGTTTTGAATGGGATTGAAATAAGTTGTTTTGTTTAACATCAACTTAAAGCAACTAAACTCAAAGTTATAGCAATGGTTTCGGCTTCAATAGTAAATAATAAACTTGTCTTCAAAGTTACTTATAAATAAGAAGTACTATTGTCTATATCCATCTCCCGAGCCAACAGTCACACCTCTTATTGCTATCAGTAAAACAGGTCGAAAACCCTATCGAGGTGATTGCTGTTCATATGCTTATTGTGCTTTCAAAGTACAGATTACAACCTCGAGAAACCGATCTTCAGTTCAAACATTTGTGTTATTCAATTTGTTGTTATATGACCATCGACTCAAAATCAACGCACAATACGAAACAAGATCATCGACTCAATCGCCTTCTGGCTTATATTATGAGCCTATCCGTCAATATGTTTAGGTATGGAGATGGATGTAACCTTACATGGATAAATAGCTTGTAGCAGAACTTTAAGGATTTTAAGCTATTTCGGTTTGAATCTCAACCAATTTTTTGTAGCATGCCGTGTTTAGTCTCAACGAGTAAAACTACTTTACCAACCAATTTCGTTGATTCTTTAGTTGATAATCCAATGCATTTAGCATTTTTCTCCTCGTATCCTTTTATTTTCCTTGCAATCTTGACTGCTTGGATTATGACG